GGCTGAAACGCTGTCATCCGGATCGGAGGCCTTTTAAGATGAACTTTGGATGGTTCAAAGCTGATTGGCTGTGTCGCAGGTGGATGAAGGAAAGCAATCAGTTTCTTCAATTGAACTTCTGCCTCGGCTCCATTTTAATGGGTGAAATAGACGTCCAGAGAACTACAAACCCCATCAACACCTCCTTTCTCTGCAAATCTCACAATTCTAAACTTCCACCATAAAACAGGCGAATTCAAACGAAGCAATTTGGGGATGTTGCCTTGTGTGCTTCTGTACTTTTGTACGCCCCAAAATTGACATGCAGAGGTTTGTCAATACCTCGCGGGGAGGATTTTGAGTCTCACAGATTCCTGTGAGTTGGATAAATTATCCCTTTTTTTTTTTTTTTATGCGAGTGAGAGCGTGCAGGCAATTTGTGCACCATGTGCAGACTAGAACTACATCTATTGCACAGGCACGACAAGAGAGAGCGGGGTGGGATGTTTCAGTGAGTGAGTGCTTGTTGCTATGATGCGTCTTTGCTCAGCAACTTGGCTCGTTGTAACCAGAGATGGCAAAAGTACTCACTTTCCATACTTGAGTAAAAGTACAGATACTTGTGTTAAAAAATACTCTGGTAAAAGTGGAAGTACTGATTAAACTTCTTTACTCAAGTAAAAGTAACAAAGTACAGGCTTGTAAATTTACTTAAAGTATAAAAGTAAAAGTAGAAACCACTTTTTTCATGCCGTTGCCTACATTTTAAATGGATGTCTGCCAATAGGACTAGATCTCCGTTGTGTTCATTTTCAATCATCTCGTCGTCCATGCTACTATGCTAACGCCACCGCCACAAAGCTGCAATGATTTACCGCCAATGAATACCGCCGAATCTGTCGATTCATCTTGTAGTGGTGCGTCAAATGCAACGTAGATTCCCATCCAATTAGATTGAATTTGGTTTTGATGACGTGAAAAATAATAACGGTAACTCCATTGAAATGATTCAAAACTAAAGTAACGAGACAATTTTTTTTTTTTTTTTTACAAACTTTGTTTATTTGGTTTTTAACAAGAATTGCATAGCCATACATTTACAATGTGATGCATATAAAACAAACCATACAATTCTCTTGAGTTATAAGAACAAAACAAAAAACACAACAAAACGACCTCCAATCACTCCCAGGCAATAAGAAAAAGTCATAAGAAAAAGGACACAAGCACACACAAAAAAAAGTTTTGAAATAGACAAAAATTAAGATGCATTCTGCTACACCTAAAAAAATAAAAATAAAAAATAAATAAATAAATAAATAAAAATTATGAAAAAAAATCTGAGAAAAAGGACACAGGATGAGCAGACAAATATATACACGAAGGACTAGACTGGGACAGAATCAAAATTAACTTGACCAAACAGTCGTCGTAATGGCTGCCAGATTTCTGCAAATTTCGAGCCAATTTTTTAAAATGTAAGGAGTAGAAGTAAGAAGTCGCCATAAAAATAAGTAGTAAAGTAAAAATATCAGAAAAATCTACTTGAGTACAGTAACGAAGTATTTGTACTTCGTTACTTCCCATCTCTGGTTGTAAACCAACCAATCAGAGCGCAGCTCATCTAAATATTCATGATCAAACCATAAAAGGAAGAAAACCTGTGGTTTCATTCTAGGGTTTTTAACCAGGCTGCATTAGGGCTCATAGAACAGCTAATATGCCATTTCAGCCCAACCAATGTTACACACCCTATTCAGAGACCTGAAGGACCAGATACCCTATAGAATCATTCTATCACCCTATTAGAGACCTGAAGGACCAGATACCCATTCTATAGAATCATTCTATCACCCTATTAGAGACCTGAAGGACCAGATACCCATTCTATAGAATCATTCTATCACCCTATTAGAGACCTGAAGGACCAGATACCCTATAGAATCATTCTATCACCCTATTAGAGACCTGAAGGACCAGATACCCTATAGAATCATTCTATCACCCTATTAGAGACCTGCAGGACCAGATACCCTATAGAATCATTCTATCACCCTATTAGAGACCCGAAGGACCAGATACCCTATAGAATCATTCTATCACCCTATTAGAGACCTGAAGGACCAGATACCCTATAGAATCATTCTATCACCCTATTAGAGACCTGCAGGACCAGATACCCTATAGAATCATTCTATCACCCTATTAGAGACCTGAAGGACCAGATACCCTATAGAATCATTCTATCATCCTATTAGAGACCAGAAGGACCAGATACCCTATAGAATCATTCTATCACCCTATTAGAGACCTGCAGGACCAGATACCCTATAGAATCATTCTATCACCCTATTAGAGACCTGAAGGACCAGATACCCTATAGAATCATTCTATCACTCTATTCAGAGACCTGAAGGACCAGATACCCTATAGAATCATTCTATCACCCTATTAGAGACCTGAAGGACCAGATACCCTATAGAATCATTCTATCACCCTATTAGAGACCTGAAGGACCAGATACCCTATAGAATCATTCTATCACCCTATTAGAGACCTGAAGGACCAGATACCCTATAGAATCATTCTATCACCCTATTAGAGACCTGGAGGACCAGATACCCTATAGCATCATTCTATCACCCTATTAGAGACCTGAAGGACCAGATACCCTATAGAATCATTCTATCACCCTATTAGAGACCTGAAGGACCAGATACCCTATAGAATCATTCTATCACCCTATTAGAGACCTGGAGGACCAGATACCCTATAGAATCATTCTATCACCCTATTAGAGACCTGAAGGACCAGATACCCTATAGAATCATTCTATCACCCTATTAGAGACCTGAAGGACCAGATACCCTATAGAATCATTCTATCACCCTATTAGAGACCTGAAGGACCAGATACCCTATAGAATCATTCTATCACCCTATTAGAGACCTGAAGGACCGGATACCCTATAGAATCATTCTATCACCCTATTAGAGACCTGAAGGACCGGATACCCTATAGAATCATTCTATCACCCTATTAGAGACCTGAAGGACCAGATACCCTATAGAATCATTCTATCACCCTATTAGAGACCTGAAGGACCAGATACCCTATAGAATCATTCTATCACCCTATTAGAGACCTGAAGGACCAGATACCCTATAGAATCATTCTATCACCCTATTAGAGACCTGAAGGACCAGATACCCTATAGAATCATTCTATCACCCTATTAGAGACCTGAAGGACCAGATACCCTATAGAATCATTCTATCACCCTATTAGAGACCTGAAGGACCAGATACCCTATAGAATCATTCTATCACCCTATTAGAGACCTGAAGGACCAGATACCCTATAGAATCATTCTATCACCCTATTCAGAGACCTGAAGGACCAGATACCCTATAGAATCATTCTATGAACCCTATTAGAGACCTGAAGGACCAGATACCCTATAGAATCATTCTATCACCCTATTAGAGACCTGAAGGACCAGATACCCTATAGAATCATTCTATCACCCTATTAGAGACCTGAAGGACCAGATACCCTATAGAATCATTCTATCACCCTATTAGAGACCTGAAGGACCAGATACCCTATAGAATCATTCTATCACCCTATTAGAGACCTGAAGGACCAGATACCCTATAGAATCATTCTATCACCCTATTAGAGACCTGAAGGACCAGATACCCTATAGAATCATTCTATCACCCTATTCAGAGACCTGAAGGACCAGATACCCTATAGAATCATTCTATGAACCCTATTAGAGACCTGAAGGACCAGATACCCTATAGAATCATTCTATCACCCTATTAGAGACCTGAAGGACCAGATACCCTATAGAATCATTCTATCACCCTATTAGAGACCTGAAGGACCAGATACCCTATAGAATCATTCTATCACCCTATTAGAGACCTGAAGGACCAGATACCCTATAGAATCATTCTATCACCCTATTAGAGACCTGAAGGACCAGATACCCTATAGAATCATTCTATCACCCTATTAGAGACCTGAAGGACCAGATACCCTATAGAATCATTCTATCACCCTATTAGAGACCTGAAGGACCAGATACCCTATAGAATCATTCTATCACCCTATTAGAGACCTGAAGGACCAGATACCCTATAGAATCATTCTATCACCCTATTAGAGACCTGAAGGACCAGATACCCTATAGAATCATTCTATCACCCTATTAGAGACCTGAAGGACCAGATACCCTATAGAATCATTCTATCACCACTTTGAAAATGGTGACACTAGATAGGAAGATTCTTCCAAAAAAAGTCCATGAGCTCCAGGATCTTCTTGGACAGAAGCTGCTCCTCATGTGAGCAGATCGCTCCCACCAACTCTTCAAGTTCGAACAAACTTCCACAGAGTTTGGTTTGATCAGTTCAGAAGATATTCGGTCCACAATGAATGAAGCAGAACCTGAGGAAGCTTTGAGGTGTTGAAGGGCAGATGCTTCAACTCATCTCAGCATCTTTACCTCAGAGCCAGACCAAGCTCAGGTTATTACAGCAGAGAGGGTCATTGGATTGTTTGTCTGGATGCCACGCCTGGATGCTGTGTTCTCTCTGAGTTAGAGCGGAGCAGAACCGGGAGAGATGCTCACCTCGGGCCGTGTGGCTTAAATCAAACTCATTCTGAGTCTGGAGAGCATTACTTTGGCTTCAGAACTATCTGAAATACTTTTTTTTTCATGGAAATCCTTCAGATTGTTGGACCGGGACTCTAAACAGAGAGGCCCCTTGTACTCTAACATCAAACAGTCCATCTACGGAGCTGAGAACGAAGAAACATGCAAACTGTGACTATAAATATGGGGAGGGGGGGAATTCTTGTAAACATAGCTGATGGTTAAATGATGCAGAGACCCTTAGAGACCCTCGATCCTGTGATTGGCTTCACATGCTTCCCATTAGACGAAGCAGTGGGCCTCCTCTCAGAGCCCCAGCTTTTCTGGCGGCTGATTAAAGACTGTATGTGAGAGTGCAGCGCTGGAGTACATGTGATGATGCACAATGATGGAAAGAAGCCAGACACCGATGTTCTCCGCTAGATGAAGTGTGAACAGGCAACTATTTGGTTCAAGGATTTCTCTTCTGCAGGGAGGTAGGATCTTACCTCAGGAGAAAAAACGTGATGGCGGAGCTTTAACAGCAGTGATGGGGGAGGAACAGGAAGAAGAACCAGAACCGGGGAAAAGGGTTCTGTTTGTTTTTCTGCTAATAGGAGCCTCATTACGCAAGAATGAATACATTTGGGGGGTTTCAAACAGTATAAACTGGTGTTATTTTAGTTTCTACACTTTCATATGTGAATTTGTAGTTCTGTATTATTTTTGTCTTTAACATCTCACACTGCAAAAACCATCTGGAAATAATTAAAAATGTCTTAAATCAAGTGCATTTACCCTTAATTTGAGTAGATAAATGAGAGGATTTGCCAATGGAATTAGTATTTCTACTCTTAAAACAAGACAATTAGATAATATGCACTTGAAATAAGGCAATGCAATTGTTTTTTTGTTGTTGTTTTTTTATGTAAATTGTCTTGTTCTGTTGGCAAAGTGAATTACTTCCGTCCTCAATTTAAGAAAAAGAAAAAAATTATTTATTTAGATTTACATTTTTTGCAGTGCAGTGCTAGCCTCGTGAGACCATCCTGATCTCGCGAGCTTTCAAGGTTTCACTCGCAGATCAGTCTGGAGACTCTCCGTTGAAGAAAATTTGGAGCCGTTCACCAAACGAACGTCCAATCAGCGTTGGCTTTGAGGCGGGTTGAGGTGTGACGCAACGAGAAGCACCACAGTTCAGTCTAAAGAACATGGCGGCTTCAGCCCATGAAACTAGCGTTAGCGTGGCTATCGAGCAAGTTTTATGGGAATTACAGAGTATTTCTTCACTGAAAGAAGAGCAAAACACTGCTCTGGAGGCTTTTCTCAGAGGAAAAGATGTTTTTGCTCTTCTCCCGACTGGTTTCAGCAAGAGTTTGATCTATCAATTGGCTCCTGTTCGTCGTCGCTCTGTTAGTACGTCATATGCTTCGTTGATCTGATTGGTTTATTTGGCCCGTCTATCACCAACATAGGCCAATCACCTAACCAGTATTTTCGCCCCTTCCCAAAATTACTTCAACGGAAGGTTTCCAGATGGATATGCGGAGCTAATCCATCTGGAGGAGTCAGGTGAGTGCAATGCTGCCCTCTTATTAACGGCTTATGCCTTGCATGTATAGTTCATCACTGCACCAGGCTATGTAAATGTAAATCACCATATTTGTCTGACCTGATTGAGTTTCCTTTTTATGAGTGAAAAAAAGCATTTTTGCAATTTTAGCATTGTGTCAAAATCACATTTCTGTATAGCACACTGCTCACTAAAACCTTTGAACGGAACAGTAAAAAATTTGGACTGAATAAATTGTAGCATGTTTGTTCCACAAAGGTACATAATAGGATTAGGGCCACTGGAAAAATAAAAAAGTTACTGATTTTTACATTTTATTTCAGTATAATGTGAAAAAAAGTCAGAATTTTTTCTCAGAATTCAGATTTTTTTCCCCATATTAAACTGAAATAATATTTAAAAATCAGTTAACTTTTTTTTTATTTTCCAGTAGCCTGGATCCAGTAACGTTCCTTTGTGGAACAAACATGCTTCAATTTATTCAGCCCAAATTTGCTTGACTTATAGTAAAGATGTGGATCTATAAAGTCATTATTTTTTTCTTTGTTTAATCACCTATAAATCAGACATGCTGATATTTAAAATAGTGGTTCCACCTGAAAACAAACCCTCAATGCCTTTCTGTTATACAAATACAAACAATTTTATTTCCTATTTATTCTATTCAGTTTATTTCTATAGCTCCAATTCACATCATGTCATCTCAGGTCACTTTCCAGTTCAACCAGATCATCCAGTCAGATTGATTCAAAGTTTTCTATCTAAGGAAAACCAGCTGATTGCATCGACTCATTGACTCTTCAGCAATCCCTCACACTAAGCATGCTTGTAGCGACAGTGGAGAGGAAAAACTCCCTTTGAACAGGAAGAAACCTCCAGCAGAACCAGGCTCAGTGTGAGCGGCCATCTGCTGAGGCTCACTGGGGTTCAAGGAGAAACAATTTATAGTTTAAAGGCTGCACTTGCTTTAATTCACATGTATAATTTGAGGCAGAATTTGCTCCTAAGACCCTCAGGGCTGAAGGGGTTATCTTACTAGTTAACATAATTTAATCAAAGCTTTAGGAAAAAATGGGTTTAAGGTATTTTTTTCTGGATTTCATGCAGCTGAGTTTTTGTTTTTGTTGTTTTGCTGTAGTCGGAACAACAGTAAAGTTCAGATCCTGTAGAGGGCATCCCATAAACCCTTTTGCACCACCTGCACTAGGTCCTCCCTCTCATGCACCATCAGGCTCCATACCACACCATCCCACTGAGAAACAGTGTGCTTTCATTCTTTGCCATGAAGCTTTTGAGCAAATGAAAATAAAAAAATTAAAAATAAGAATGAATGAATCCTGTAGGAAAATCAAATGTCGGTATCCCAGCATAGATGCTGCAGATGAGACAGAATCCTCTGTTGAGCCATTCTCTCCCTGCACTGCTGCCATGATTATAACAGAGCTGTGTCGCCCGCCGGTTTTCATTGCTCTCATTGCCAATGAACTCAGGGGAGCAGGAGGTTCTTATTATGTTTGTAGGGTTGAACTTACAGACCAAAACCATTATCTTTAATCTTCTCTCAGCTGTAGTCCTGTCTGCCCACAACAAAAACAAACAGATAAAGCTGGGAGCCTCGAGCAGCTGTAGGCATCCACGCCGCCGCATTTAAAGCCAGCGAAGACCTTCAATGATCCCGATATTACATCATCGCTATATTCATTAAGTTAAAATGGACCTGAAATTCCATTAGCATAGGGATATATACAGTATTTACAGTGCGTCCACATATGACAGCTTTATGTTTTTATAGTAGGATCATTATACAGGTTATTGCACAGAGTGTTTACATGGGTATTTATATAGATGGATATTTATATATAAAATTATTGCACAGGGTATCAAATAGTAATTGCACATTATACATTGCACAAGTTATTGCGGTTGTAGTGTGGCATTGTAGAGTCTGGTTGCAGCAAGATTGACCTGCCGTAGCTAGGGTTGGGAATTAATAAGATTTTCACGATTCAGATTCCCTTATCTTTCCGTAAAAATTCAAAAAATATCCACTGGACTTGGTTTTCAAGATTTGAAGACGTTTCGCCACCTCTCCAGGAAGCTTTCTCAATTCAAAATTTTTGAATTGAGAAAGCTTCCTGGAGAGGTGGCGAAACGTCTTCAAATCTTGAAAACCAAGTCCAGTGGATATTTTTTGAATTTTTACGGAATGACTATGACCTGGATGACTGAGAACCTTCATCAGCAGATTCCCTTATCGATTCTCTTATCGATTGTGTGAAACAATGAACTCGGTTAGTGCGCGGTGACATTCGTTTACCTTTGCCTGGGACGTTCTATTTCTGCCTGCCTCGGCGAAAAAAAACAGAAGGCAATATGCTGATGAAGGTTCTCAGTCATCCAGGTCATAGTCATTCCGTAAAAATTCAAAAAAATATCCACTCGACTTGGTTACCAAGATTTGAAGACATTTCGCTTCCTCTCCAGGAAGCTTTCTGAATTCAAATGTCTGGATCCGCAGTGAGTTTGAGTCTTTTATAGAGAAAGCCTTGTATCGCTTGGAAACATGCAAATGGTAACCGATGAATGGGTCGTTTGGTTCCATTGTTAGCAATCCCCCCCCCTTTAACGACCGACCCTCAGAATCATAGACAGGTTTCAGATATTACAGGCTAACGATGGAACCAAACGACCTGCTCATCGGTTACCATTTGCATGTTTCCAAGCGATACAAGGCCTTGTCTATATAAGACTCAAACTCACTGCGGATCCATCTTTCTCTTCCTTAAAATTAAGCCAAACTTTCGATCGGTTTACCTGATGGGGCGCCATTTTTTTTGTTTTGCTTTTCTAGACTTACGCCTGGTCATGTCGCACTTGCTCACTGAAACCTGACTTAGTGCCCAGCACTAGGCTCTGGGGCTGCCTGGAACCGAGCGAGCTGCCAAATGGTGCAATGGAATTGGAACACATGGAACCGGTTCTGTACAGGAATCGGCTTTCGATTCCCATCCCTAGCGGTAACGCTCCTTTTACAAACAGGGTGTAAAAGTCTTTGACTAAAGAAGCTACTCAGCTCCTCTCCAGTCTGCTGCAGAGGGTGGAAGGTGGTGTCCATGATGGATGGAAGCTTGGACAGCACCCTCCTCTCAGCCACTTCCTCCACTGAGTCCAGAGTGCAGCCTAGGACAGAAAAGGCCTTTCGCAAAAGTCTGTTCAGTATCTTTCTGTCCCGCTCTGCACTGCCAAGGGCCCAGCTGACAACAGCGTAGAGGGGCCTGCTCACTCCAAAAGTGCCTCAGCCTCCTCAGTAGGTGAAAAAAACGTGACGTAACTTACGTAGAAAAGGTGACGTAGCTCGTGCTGCCCAGCGCTAGGCTCTGGTGCTGCCTGGAACCGTTAAAAGAACCATTAAGCGAGCTGCCAAACGGTGCCATGGATTTGGAACGATTCCCATCCCTATCCTCCACTCCGACGTCAGGTGGGTAAGCAAACTGCAGCAGGTCCAGGGTGGGGGACACCACGGTGCGCAGGTGGGTGAGGATGAGTCGCTCCATGGTCTTCTTCAGTTGGGAGGTCAGGGTGACTGGTCTAATGTGGAGGGGGAGCTCATGGGGATTGGGGTTAGGTTCCAAGAGGAATTTTTTAAATATGTTTTTCTTCTTTCTACTCAGATTTTCATATTTTACAAATAACTCTGGGGATTTTAAATCACTTTTTTTTTTAATAGTTTAAACTCCAGACTTAAAGAAAAGCTTACACGTTTAAGTGTTCAGAGATCTGTTTCTGTATATATAATAAAACTCAGATGTGTTTGAAATTAAAAACATTAAATTGGACACTGTCCAGCATGTCTTACTGTTTGCATTAGCCGCCATGTCTGCATGGGTTCAGAAAGAGTAAAGTAAGTAAAAGTTTGGGGTGTTTTGGCGACAGTAGTGAGAGCAAAGCGCTGCGACAGAACCAGCGGGTAGTTCCCTTCGTCTGAAGAACGTACTGGTTCTCATGACTGTCTAATAGTTCCCGCTCATCCTGGCTGTGATGTGGCCAGGCGCTGTCTGCTGCCCACAGATTACAGGAAGTGGCTCAGTTGATAAAGTAGAGCCAGATGCTGCGTGGAGGAACTGTTTGACTCCATTAAGATGTCGGAGCCACAGGCATCTCTGCTCTCACCATAGAGAACTAAAAGGTTTGGGACAATAGCTGATGGAGTCAATAAAGCTGTTTGTTTCCTTCTGATCTGCTGTGAACACTAAACAGACCAAGAAGGCTGGATATGAGGAGTAGGGTGGACTGCTGAGAGATTCCCACCCATCCGTCTGTCCACCCATTTGTGGCTGGAATGTCAGAAAGACATAAACCTTTATTCAAAGAAGTCCAAGAAGATCCCAAAAAATACTCGACTGAATTCAGAAGAGAAATACAAAAGAAGTGTCAATTTGTTCACCCAGATCCTGCAGCCCAACCAAGATGGTAGGAGCCTGCATCATGGTATGGGCTTAGATCAGTGCATGTGCTGTAAAGCTAACCTGACTCCGCCAGATGGATTTGCTCCACATATCCGTCTGGAAACCTTCCGTTGAAGTAATTTTGGGAAGGGGCGAAAATACTGGTTAGCTGATTGGCCTATGTTGGTGATAGACGGGCCAAATAAACCAATCAGATCAATGAAGCATATGACGTACTAACAGAGCGACGACGAAGAGGAGCCAAGTGATAGATCAAACTCTTGCCGAAACCAGTCGGGAGAAGAGCAAAAACATCTTTTCCTCTGAGAAAAGCCTCCAGAGCAGTGTTTTGCTCTTCTTTCAGTGAAGAAATACTCTGTAATTCCCATAAAACTTGCTCGATAGCCACGCTAACGCTAGTTTCATCGGCTGAAGCCGCCATGTTCTTTAAACTGAACTGTCGCGCTTCTCGTTGCGTCACGCCTCAACCCGCCTCAAAGCCAACGCTGATTGGACGTTCGTTTGGTGAACGGCTCCAAATTTTCTTCAATGGAGAGTCTCCAGACTGATCTGCGAGAGAAACCTTGAAAGCTCGCGAGATCAGGATGGTCTCACGAGGCTAGGGTAAAGCAGTATTAATACAAAAAGAAATGCTGAGATTTCAGAGGAACATCTGCTACTGTCTGCGGGAAAGTTCCGATTTTTCCAGCCAACGCCTGAAAACATCGTTCTAAAGTCCTGGCTGAGGAAGAGGAGGGTGCAGATGCATTCATGACTGACAGTCAGAGGAAGGTGTGACAGTAAGGAACCAAACGGGACAAAGACATGTTTGCACCTGGAGCTCTTCAGGGATTATTTCTCTGGTCAGCCAGGCCAACAATGACCCTTAACAACTGCCTTTTAAGAGGAATGGGCCTGTATTGGGTATTGAAGGCCAATAACGACCTCAACAACTCCCATCATTAAGGGGTGGAGCTGCTTTTCCAGTTTCAATTTGTATGTTTTCTAAACCATTGCAAGACTTTTGTTGGGCTACTCTATAAAGCCAGGAACTCAATGCTAATCCAGACATTTTGAATTGAAAAAGCTTCCTGGATGGGAAGCGAAACATTTTCAAACTTGGAAAAAAAAGTCCAGTGGTTTGTTTTTTAACTTTTGGAATTGTTTGTCTCAAACCAGAGATGCGTTCAAGTGACAGAGAGTGGGGAATTTTTTTAAAGTGGTAACGACCTGCAGCCTGGGGTTCATGTTTCGGATCTCAGAAACTTCTTTAAATGTAACACATCCAATATTGATGTCTTTTGCGTGACTCACCAAGTCTTTGGTACAGTGGGTACTGCTGTGGATTAACCTCCCCATCCAGATGTTCAGCAGACCTTCATCTGTGATTTTCTTTGCTTTAGGAGGACAAAACCTAAGGGCTGTTCCAGCACGATGGGGAGGCGGAGTCTCCTGCTCTGCCTCGTGATGGCAGCGTGTCTCTACGGCAGCCGCGCTCAGACCACAGGTGGGTGCAAAAACACCGCTTGTCTTCCCACGCAAACACTGTCATGCTCCGGCTACACACTGAGAAATAACACTTGGTACAATGATTAACTCAGCCTGACCTGCATGCAGCGGCTCATACCGCAACTACACCAACACCAACACACGTGGTGAGCTTTAAGGTTCGACGTCACCCTGAGCTGTAAGAGCACTGATACTAACGCACATGTCTTAAGAGGGCGGTTAGCTGGTGTACCTCTGAGCAGTCAGCATGTTTCCTGCTGTAGATTCCGGTCTGCAGATTTAGGGATAAATCCTCCAGGAGTACGAGAGGATAGAATTAATGGCAAATGTGGAGAGGTCAGCTTAGGTCAGTGTAGGTTACAGGTTAACATACTCAGGGGTTAGGCTGGGTTAGGGGTTAACATACTCAGGTTTAGGGTAGTTTATGGATTAATCTACGGAGGGTTAGGGCAGGTTAGGGATTAACATACTCAGGTTTAGGCTAGTTTGGGGATTAACCTACTGAGGGTTAGGGCAGGTTAGGGATTAACATACTCAGGTTTAGGCTAGTTTGGGGATTAACCTACTGAGGGTTAGTGCAGGTTAGGGATTAACATACTCAGGTTTAGGGTAGTTTGGGGATTAACCTACTGAGGGTTAGTGTAGGTTAGGGATTAACATACTCAGGTTTAGGGTAGTTTAGGGATTAACCTACTGAAGGTTAGTGCAGGTTAGGGATTAACATACTCAGGGGTTAGTGTAGGTTAGGGATTAACATACTCAGGTTTAGGGTAGTTTGGGGATTAACCTACTGAGGGTTAGTGTAGGTTAGGGATTAACATACTCAGGTTTAGGGTAGTTTAGGGATTAACCTACTGAAGGTTAGTGCAGGTTAGGGATTAACATACTCAGGGGTTAGTGCAGGTTAGGGATTAACATACTCAGGTTTAGGGTAGTTAAGGGATTACCCTACTGAGGGTTAGTGCAGGTTAGGGATTAACATACTCAGGGGTTAGTGCAGGTTAGGGATTAACATACTCAGGTTTAGGGTAGTTTAGGGATTAACCTACTGAAGGTTAGTGCAGGTTAGGGATTAACATACTCAGGTTTAGGGTAGTTTAGGGATTAATCTACTGAGGGTTAGGGCAGGTTAGGGGTTAACATACTCAGAGGTTAGTGTCAGGTAGAGCTTTACCTGTCCTAATCTTCTGGCTCTGGCTATAGAATATGCAGCTTCAGGTCTAGTTTACCTGTTTAAGGTAAATTTTTTGGAGTGTAGTAGTTTCCGTAGTTTGAGCACACGTTTTGGTTAATTGTCAGAAAAGAATCAATTGATCCAATATGAAACTCTTCTGACTACTGTCTGCTGCAGGTTAGATGATGCCTGCTCAGAGGAACACCTTAGAACCCTCACAGTTTCACCTCGAGCTGTCATAAGGACGTATGCCTAATGCTGCGTTCACACCGGGGGCAGCTGGCGCGACAGAAGCAGCGAGTTTACATGCAAAGTCAATGGTTGACGCGCGTCAAGGCGCAGCAAAAAGTCCCGCGGCGCGTTTCGAGCAGCAAGCGCAGCGCGTCTGAGCAGCTGAAGCAGCGCGTCGGGCGCGTTTTGGCATCTGACGCGCGCGACGCGACGCAAACGCGTTGCTGCTCGAGATGGAAAAATTGAATTTTTGCTGCTCGACGCGCCGCGTCAACCAATCAGAGAAGCTGATCTGGGAGCTGGCTGGGAGAGAGACGCAGCGCTGTTGACACAGACTGCTCTGATCACTTCTCTTAAACAGTTTATTAAAGCATAATTAACTTAAAATATATACATCTGCCGGCAGAATATGTTCGCTTTTATTATTCTGGTGCCTGCAGATCGGATTATTTAGATGAAAAACACCTACCAGCCACCGCGGTAAACCGCGAGGAGGCGACCCGACCAGAGGCTGCTGATGAATGGATTCCTTCTGTCGGCGCACCGCCGGTATGTGGGGGTCTGAGCGGCTCCGACAGAAATAATATTGGAAGGCAGGATTGTAATCTGGATGAACTGACTCCACTGATGAAGTTTTCAGGTGTATTTTCTCACTTAAAAACATATTAAAACTACTTTATTCCCACTGATCACAGCAAATATAGCTGCAAGGCAGGGAAAGGATAGTGAAGCTCCGCCCAACGCGCGTCAGACACACTTTTGGACCGCGCAGCCAGAGCAGCAAAGCTGCTTCAGACGCGCGTCAGAATTCACTGGTACAAGCAGCAAAAATGAAGCAGCAGACGCGATTTTGCTGCTTTTGCTGCCCCCGGTGTGAACGCAGCATAATCCCAAGCAAAAAGCTAGTGATGAGTTTCCCGTTGCCACCTGAAGGGGCCAGCATCAGCTGGCAGCTATTTCTAATTCACACCTTTAGATGAAACACCTGGTGGTGTCCAGGAACTGTTTGAAACCAGACTGATCACACTTCTTTTTCTTCAACCTTTCACACAAACCTTCACCTCACTACCTTTATCGTAAAATCACGCTGGCACCTCCTCACCTGTGGCTGATCCACTCAGATAGCTTGGTTTGTTTCCGCCGGGTTTCTGTGAGACCTCTCCATGACCTCTACTCCTCCCTCAGTCTGCACCCAAGAGGCCGTAGCTGACTTGGTCTTCATGGTGGATGGCTCATGGAGCATCGGAACCGAGAACTTTGATCAGATCCGTCAGTTCCTCTACACGCTGGTGGACAGCTTTGACGTTAGTCCTGATCACGTCCGGGTCGGCCTGGTCCAGTACAGCTCCTCTCCACGTACAGAGTTCAAGCTGAACACATTCCAAAGCAAGAAAGGGATCCTAGAATACATCAAGAGGCTACCTTACCGTGGAGGTGGAACCAACACCGGACAGGGCTTGGACTTCATGCTGAACAACCATTTTGTGAATCCGTCCGGAAGTCGAGTAGAGCAGAAAGTGCCGCAGATCGCCGTGGTCATCACCGATGGCAAATCTCAAGACGAAGTGGCGCACCATGCTGAGAGGCTGAGGAGCAGGGGGATCATTCTGTATGCTATCGGCATCAAAGATGCAGATGAAAATGAGCTGAAGCAGATCGCAAACCGGCCACACAGTCAGTATGTCCACAGCGTGTCAGACTTCTCCGCCCTGCAGGGGATTTCTCAGAACATCGTCCAGACGCTCTGCACCACCGTGGAGGAGGCCAAGAGGCAACTCCAGCAGCTGTCTCAAGGTAAAGAGCTGCAGGTCACAGACAGTGATCTACTAAAGGATTCACAGAAGAAGTCTTTGGTTGGTCCATTTTCATTAAGATGAAACGATGTCAGCCGGATCACGTGGTCCCTGAGGGCCTTATGGCAAACACATGTAAGATGGTTCCTCTTTCAGTCCATCTTCTCAGATGTGATGATCTTAGATCCGTCATTCAGCTTTATACATGTGGAATCCTTAACCAAAGTCATTTTCCTAGTCAGATTGAGATCCTTCTAATTTGTATACATGTACCATCTGAGTATCCACCATTAAGTCATTAACAACAGTAAATCTAAAGGAAATCCAAAATGTTTGCCAATAAAGATAAGAGGTCTTAGAGTAGCAACAATGATTTAATTCAATTAAATTCAGTTTTTCTATAAACCATGTCATCCCAAGGCACTTTACAGTTCACCAGATCATCCAGTCAAACTGATTCAAAGTTTTCTATCTAAGGAAAACCAGCTGATTGCATCGACTCATTGATTCAAAGGTTATCCCTCACACTAAGGCTATGCTTGTAGCGACAGTGGAGAGGAAAAACTCCCTTTTAACAAGAAGAAACGGGCTCAGTGTGAGCGGCCATCTGCTGAGGCCAACTGGGGTTAAAGGAGACAGAAGCAGAGATAGAAAAAGAAGCATAGATACAAAAGGCAACTGTCAACCAGCTCCACAGGCGGCCCCGTCCAGGAAACACACAGCCAGGCAGACGAGCTCCGAGCCAGCTCCCATGTCAGAGGATGAAGAGAGCACATCCAGTTAGTCACAGTCAGAGAAACAGGACTACACTGGAAAACAGGCCAAGCTCCAACATCTAGAAACAAAGGTGTTGATGGCAGCAGCACAGCTGATATTTCTCTCCAGGATGGAGTCACAGCCAAACAGGAACAGACCAGATGAAGCTACTATGAGAAAAAGCAGAGAGAGCAGAACGTTAGAGATTGAACTAACAGATTCTGCAGAGTGGGAGAATAGAGATAGAATGAAGCAGAATGATGAAAAAGGGGTCCCTATGTCCTCCAGCAGTCTAAGCCTATAGCAGCAGAACTATAGAGATAGCTCAGGATAACCTGAGCCACTCTAACTAGAAGCTTTATCAAAATGGAAAGTTAAGTCGTTTGCGGTTTGTCACAAAAATTTGATTTTACCGGGTTTTTTAAGGGAGACTGAGTTTTAGGTACGATCGGTACCATCAGCTCATTTGCGCCTGTCCAAGCATATATTCATCCAGGTCGCCATAAATAATGTAATTACAGTACTAAAACTACTTATTTCTATCCTTAAAAAACTAAAGAATTCTAATAAAGTTTTTTTTACTTTATATGACCTTACTAAAGTCATATAAAGTAATATATAAATTCTATGACTACCACCGACTAGCAAGAAGTGGAAAAGCTTAATCTGTGGTTAGGTTCGTACATGGGAATTATTGTTGAGTACTTGTAAAGATGTGATTGGTAGTTGTAAGGTAGTGATTTATACTCATGCATCTGCAATTTGCGATTGGTAATTTGTTATTAGTGCTTCTAAATTTGTGAATATGACTCGCACAGTTGCAGTTGGTATTGGTAAAGCGGTAATTCATCCTCATAAACTTGTAATTTATATGTAAATTCTAATTTTGTAACATTGACCAAGTTAGACACCTGCTCATATATCTTTATTAACAGTTATCTTATTTGATGTAAAACAGTTGGTGCTCAGAAGAACTTGTTGCTCTGACTTGCTGAGGGTCAGACACACTTGGCGTTCAAAAACATCTCCGTGTTTACCACATCCGCGGGGCACTTCTGTTCAGAAACACAAGGTCCTCACAAACTTGGTTTATTTTGAAACCTTAGGTACTGCCTTCGGAATCATATTTAAATTTCAAATAATTCTCGCTTAAAAATGCAAATAAACTCTTTATGAGACGATACTGTCCCAAAAGTTAGAAAAGTCTTAAATTCTGTTAGGGTATTTTCGTTATCTTTTGCAGGCTAGTACGTCAGCCTGAACACCTAAATTCGGCCAATCATATATCAAAGGTTGTCTGTCAATCGAATTCTTTTCAGTCATAGCATCTTGATTCATATGTCGCAGCTAATATACGCACTGTTGAAATATGAATCATTTACTTTAGCATTGAGTTACATCCCCGTTTTCACAAGGACGGACATCACCAATTTAGTGCTACTTGGTCCCAATGTTCTTTCCCATTGGAAACCTACTAGCACTAAGTTGCTAACTGGTTAGCAAGATGCTTCCGACAAACTGGCCACAACCAAACTTGCTTGCGAACCTTCCGCCAAAACAATTCGGCCCCCTTGATGAACGCCCAATCACATTTAATTTATTCAGTCGTGTAAAGTTCGGCACTACTCGGGAGAATTCGGAAATGTAACTGTTGGAACAGCCGTTTCCCTACGATTTTAAGTGCAGAACCAGGTTTTGTAGTTCCTAACTTTTTTCTTATTTCCTTGCAGAATGTGCCATAGCCAACAAGGCCGACATCGTTTTCTTGGTCGACGGCTCCTCCAGCATCGGCATCCCAAACTTTCAGCAAGTTAGGGTGTTTCTGCGAAGCGTCGTCTCTGGCCTTGACATAGGCCCAGACAAAGTTCGGGTCGGCCTGGCTCAATTCAGTAATGAGCCTCACAAAGAGTTCTTGTTGAAGGATAACCTGGATGCCTCATCTCTACTGACTGCTATAGACACATTCCCCTACCGGACTGGAGGCACAAAGACCGGCAAAGCCATTGACTTCCTGATTTCAGAGTACTTCACAGAGGAGGCGGGGAGCAGAGCAAATCAGAGGGTACCTCAGATTGCTGTTGTCATCACGGATGGAGACTCGGAAGATGAGGTGGAGGAGCCGGCCCAGCGACTGCGACAGAAGGGGGTGATTGTCTTTGCCATCGGGGTGGGCAAAGCCAACCAACAGGAACTAGAGGATATCGCTAACCAGCCATCACAGCGTTTCCTGTTCACCATCAACAGCTACCAGGCCCTGCAGAGGCTGACTAAAGGTCTGCTGCAAACTGTCTGTGTGTCCATGGAAGACCAAAGACAAGGTGAGGCCAATCACTGGTTTGGAGGTCTTTGTTGGTTAGGTTGGAATGAAGAAGATCAACATGTATAACCTTGAAGGCAGAACTTATTTAGGATTTTTGCTTCTTTCAGCTTTGGCGGAAAAGTTTGCAGACATCTTCTTCCTGCTGGATGGTGGTATGACAGCATCTCAGTTTCAGCAGATCAAATCGTTCCTCATCAGACTATCCAGACAGCTTAACTTTGGAGATTCTGCATACCGTCTGGGCTTGGCCCAGTATGGTCAAGATATTAGGGTGGAGTTTCTCCTCAACCAGCACCAAACCAAACAGGAGACCCAGGCAGCAGTGAGCAGCGTCCAACATCTCCGGGCTTCATCTACCGAACAACGAAACCTGGGCTCTTCCTTGGCCTATGCCAGCGCTAACTTCTTCACCAAAGAGGCAGGAAGTCGTGCGGATCAAGGCTACCGACAGTTCCTGGTTGTTCTGAGTGCGAAGGATTCCAAAGATCCAGTGTTTAAAGAATCCCGCCTGATCAAGTCAGCTGGCATCACGGTGGTGGGGATGAGCCTTGGAGCTTCCATGGAAGAACTGAGTGTGGTCGCCACTGCGCCATACATTTACCGGGTCAATGCCACCTTTGTTCCTCTGCTCAGACAAATCTTTGAAGCAGAGGAACTGGAGACCTTTCAGAGTGGAGGTTAGTTTTCTATGGCTTTGCTTCATTATGTATTGCTATAACTCATCTAGGTAAGATATAAGATGTTTTCTCATGTTTACCCCAAAGATATTGTCAGTTTATCTGATCAGTGCATGTGGAAATAATCATCCTTTTTTGTCTCTTGGGAAGATTTTTGAAAGTCGCTAAATGAAATCTTTACTTGTCCAACCTTCAAGTGTTCTTCCAACATCAAGAAAATGTTCATGCTAGTTTCTTGTAGCAGATACTCAGAAAGGCCTTTCTTTTGACACATGATTTCTACAAGAAATTGTGTTCTAAATGAAGTGTCAGTCGACGACATTTGGACCCTGGTCTACAGATATTGCAAAAAAGTAGAGCTAAATAAGCAAATAAAATTCATTAATTAATTGCACGTGCAATAGGTGGACGTTACGGGCTCCTTTGATTAAATCTGACCGGTCTTCTGTCAGATGAGCATACCTGGTCAGACCAGCATACCAATAGTCAATACCCGTTTATCCCTTTAGTTTATCGTTTAAGTTTTGTGCAAAAACGAAACTTTAAATTACCTCAACAGGCATGTATCCCTTTAGTCATGTACAAAAAATCATCTGCTGGTCAGAGCTCCAAGCTTTCCTTCTAAAATGGGTTGTTGTATGATGACTTAATTCTGGTAATATTGCAACTTTTTTCTCCGAAAGTTACGACTTTATTCTCGTAAAGTTACGACTTTATTCTCAAAAAATTAAAATAAAAAAAATCCCTGGCCTGGCTCTAATACTCTGATATAATAACGATCTGACCTTAAATTGTTTTAGTTTTTTTGTACATGACTAAAGGGATACACGCCTGTTGAGATAGTTTAAAGTGTATTTTTTGTACAAAACTTAAAGGAATAAACGTAAATGTGACGTCTTGTATTGACTATAGGTATGCTGATCTGATAGAACACCAGATTTAATGGGAACAAGAATGATAATGAGTAGAAATTGAGGGTGCCACGCATGATCAATCTGGATTTGTAGGATAATCTAGAAAAAAAAATGTAACTAGATTTTTATCAATTTCTCTACAGACTGCAAAGCTGCCAAACTGGCCGACATTGTGTTTATCATTGACGAGTCGGGAAGCATCGGCGTCCAAAACTTCCAGCTGGTGCGCTCCTTCCTGTACTCTATCATGAACGGACTTGAGGTCAGTCCAAGCAAAGTCAGAGTGGGGATCGTGATGTACAATGAAAAGCCTACAGCGCAGGTCTACCTCAACTCATTCAGGACAAAAGATGAACTGCTAAACTTTATCAAAATTCTGCCCTACCGTGGGGGAGGCACAAACACAGGGGCCGCCTTGAACTTCACACGAGAAAACATCTTTGTCACAGAGAAAGGAAGCAGGAAGGATAAAGGTGTGGAGCAGGTGGCGGTGGTAATCACTGATGGAGATTCCCAAGACGCTGTGAGCGAAGCAGCAACTGAACTTCGGCGTGCTGGAGTTACGGTTTATTCAGTGGGAGTCGAAAATGCCAACTATGAAGAGCTGATGATGATGGCTTCCTACCCTCCACAGAAACATGTTTTTATTGTGGATAGCTTTACCAAACTGAAATCCCTGGAGCAGAGCCTGCAGAAAACCCTCTGCTACAACATCATCCGGCAGGCGGTCTCAGTCGGTACGAGGAGATCCAGTATCAAAGAAGGTCTGCAGAACCACTTTATAAAATCTGCAATATTTACAAGTCTTCCAGCTCTCATCAACTGATTGGAACAAGGCTAATCTCTGCGTTTCCTTTGCAGGTTGCATTCAGACAGAGGAAGCCGACATCTTCTTCCTCATTGACCAGTCAGGGAGTATTTATCCAGCTGACTTTGTTGACATGAAGAAGTTCCTCCTTGAGTTTATAGAAACTTTCCGTATTGGGCCACAGTACGTCCGTTTAGGTGTTGCAAAATATGCTGATTCACCAACCCTTGAATTTGATCTGACGACCTACACGGATAAGAAGACATTGGAGGAAGCGGTACAGAGGATCCAACAGGTTGGAGGCGGTACAGAGACTGGAAAAGCCCTGACGTTCATGAGTCAGCTTTTTAAGACCGCCATGACGACCCGCGGACACAAAGTTCCTGATTACCTGGTGGTTATTACTGATGGTAAGTCTTCAGATGAAGTCAAGGCTCCTGCGGAAGCTCTGAGGGCGCAAGGTGTTACCGTCTACGCCATCGGAGTCAAGAGCGCGGACGTGCAAGAGCTGGAAGAGATTTCCAATGACCCTAAAAGGACGTTCTTCGTCAACGACTTTGATGCTCTAAATCCAATCAAGGACGATATAATCACTGACATTTGTACTACCGAAGGTAAGAGCAAATCTCCACACTGATTTTTCTTGGAAGGGGTTTAGGTCTTTTTATGGGCAGCTTAAAGATTGACCAATCAGGAACGTCTTATGCTACGTTCAGACCACATGCAGCAGAGGCAGCAAAAACGCACTTGCTGCTTCATTTTTGACGCTTCTACAAGTTTAGTTCTGACGTGCAGCTGACGCATGTTGCTGATGCGCGTTGGGCGGAGCTACCCTATCCTTTCTTTGCCTGTAACAATGGCAGCTATATTTGCTGTGATCAGTCGGTAAAAAGTAGTTTTAACACATGTATAAGTGAGAAAGTCTACCTGAAAACATGGTCAGTTCATCCAGATTACCATCCTGCCTTCAAATATTATGTCTCTGTGGGAGCCGCTCAGACCCCCACATACCGCTGTCACTGGGAATGCGCAGTGCTAAAAGTTCTGGTAAATTGGCTCGTAGCTCTGCTTCAACAACAGGATTTGTCCACGAACACGTTAAGATGGCTGACTGAATTTACTGTTTTCGCAAGCGCTGGAAGCAGCGAAAAAAGCTTCTGCTTCAAGGTCAGATGTCCAGTAAAATGTGTCCAGATGCATCTGATGCTTCTGCTACTCCTGTGTTCAATGGCAGAGAGCGGCTTTGCTATATTTGCTTTGATCAGTGGCTGTCACCAGGAATCCCCAGCAGCAGCTTTTAAATGAAATTTCTTTTTGTTTACATTCGTGTATACAAAATGACAAAATAAATCTGTCTAAGTCTAAGCAGCTACCTCAGGCCTTGTCGCCTCTTCGTGGTTTTCCGCTACTGTTTGCAGTGGCTGTAAGGCATTTTTTTCATGTACGTAATCCAAACTGCTCCAGCATAATAAAAGCGAACATATTTTGCAGTCATGTTTCTAGATTTTAAGTTAATTTAGTCGTTAATAAACTGTTTCAGAGGAGTGATCATAGCGCTCTGCATCAGCAGTGCTGTGTCTGACTCCCTGCCAGCTCCCAGATCAGCTTCTCTGATTGGTTGATGCGGCGCATCCAGCAGCTAAAGTTAAATTTTTCAAACTCCAGCAGCTGCTGCTCCTGCTGTTGACCTTTTGCGCTAAACCATTGACTTTACATGTAAACCAGCTTCTTCTGCTGCCTCTGCTGCTAGCGGTCAGAACGTCGCATTAGAGGTCATGATTAATGTTTTAACCTTTTGAACACCTTCATGTTTCTCATTCCCATATCTCTGAATATCTGTCTACAGTTTGTAAAGATGTACCAGGTGACCTGATGTTCCTCGTGGACAGCTCTGGGAGTATTTACCCAGAAGACTACGAAAAAATGAAGGACTTCATGAAATCTGTCATTAGCACGTCTTTTGTTGGCCAGGACAATGTTCGTATCGGCGTCATGCAGTTCAGCGATACCCAAGAGGTAGAGTTCAACCTCAATAGATACTTCACCAAAAATGGCATTTTAGAGGCCGTCGATGCCATGTGGCAAAAAGGTGGAGGAACGCTCACAGGTAGAGCAATCTCGGAGGTGTCTCAGTATTTCAGTCCAGCCCAGGGAGGACGCCCAGAACTGCAGCAGAGGCTTGTAGTGATCACCGATGGTGAGGCCCAAGATGAAGTTAAGGCGCCTGCAGAGGCACTTAGGGCCAAAGGAGTTCTAGTCTATGCCATCGGAGTGATGGAGGCCAACACCACCCAGCTTCTGGAGATCAGTGGATCTCCAAACAGAATTTATGCGGAGAGGGACTTTGACGCCCTGAAGGATCTCGAGAGACAGCTGTCATTGGAGCTGTGTGATCCAGAGAGAGGTAAGGAAAATATTTGTTTTCCAGTTTGAATTTATATACTATGCTAGGAAAGGTACCTCCTTACATAGTTATAATCATAGAGAAATCGTATTTAAATGTCAGATCATTCTGGCTTAAACATAGGTATATAAATGTATTCTTTATCAGAAGATATTGTACCAAAATTTTGAAAAATTCTATTTTAAATTTTCCCGTTATCTTATGCAGGCCGGTTAGTTCTACATCAGCCTCAACACCCAAATTCGGCCAATCATATATCATCGGTCATCTGTCAATCAATTTTTTTTAGTGATAAGGTCTTGATTCATCTTGAGAGCGAATTGTTGGCTGTTTCTCATTTCACAAGAACGCGAGTACGGACTCATGTTCATCGCAAAATATTGGTTGAAAACTTGCATAAACATTTTAAGTTACCCTTAAAACCTCCAAACCAAATGTTTTTTTGTTAATTCCGTTTTTTCAAGCATGCTTTCAGTAATATGGGAGCTTATTTCTCTTTAACATTCAGATCAGTGCTGCATGTGAACGTGAAACTGAACAAAGGGAGTAATTCCTTTTGCTAAAAGCTTGTTTTCTCTTTCATCAGACCAGTTTTTCATCTTTGCTTCTAGAGTGTAAGAAGACCGAACAGGCAGACATCATATTCCTGGTGGACGGCTCCACAAGCATAACGCTGCCCAAGTTTAGAAGCATGCAGAAGTTCATGCAGTCCATGGTCAATCAAACCACAGTTGGAAAAGCCCTGACTCGCTTCGGCGTCATCCTCTACTCCACCAACCCCAACTCCATCTTTACTCTGAATCAGTACAGCACCAGACAAGAAGTTATTCAAGCAATAGCAGCTCTGCGGTCCCCGTATGGAGACACCTACACTGGACGGGCTCTGACCTATTCCTTACAGTTCTTCAGCTCTGAGCACGGAGGGCGGGCGGAGCAGCAGGTGCCTCAGATCCTCATGGTGATCACAGATGGAGACGCCACTGACCGTTACAATCTGGCTGAGCCGTCTAAGGCCCTGAGAGATAAAGGAGTTAACGTGTTCAGCATCGGAGTGGAAGGAGCCAATGTGACCCAGCTGGAGATCATGTCCGGTCATGATAAATCAAAGGTTTTCTATGTGGACAACTTCGACGCCCTGGAAACTCTCTACACGAACATCACTAAGGAGCTCTGCAACTCCACCAAGCCAGGTAAGAGAGCACACAGGCAGGGGGCGGATTTAGGAAATTTAAGGCCCTAGGCAAAGACAGGCTAATCTGACTCCGCCAGATGGATTTGCTCCGCATATCCATCTGTGAACCTTCTGTAGAAGTAATTTTGGGAAGGGGCGAAAATACTGGTTAGCTGATTGGCCTATGTTGGTGATAGACGGGCCAAATAAACCAATCAGATCAACAAAGCATATGACGTACTAACAGAGCGACGATGAAGAGGAGCCAATTGATAGATCAAACTCTGGTCGAAACCAGTCGGGAGAAGAGCAAAAACATCTTTTCCTCAGAGAAAAGCCTCCAGAGCAGTGTTTTGCTCTTCTTTCAGTGAAGAAATACTCTGTAATTCCCATAAAACTTGCTCGATAGCCACGCTAACGCTAGTTTCATCGGCTGAAGCCGCCATGTTCTTTAGACTGAACTGTGGCGCTTCTCGTTGCGTCACACCTCAACCCGCCTCAAAGCCAACGCTGATTGGACGTTCGTTTGGTGAACGGCTCCAAATTTTCTTTAACCGAGAGTCTCCAGACTGATCTGCGAGTGAAACCTTGAAAGCTCGCGAGATCAGGATGGTCTCACGAGGCTAAAGACAGGCAGGGGGTCCTCTGAATCTAGAAGACAACACATAAACAGCCCCATTCTACAGATATAGAAATGTTAATAGAATAGACATCCATTATCTGTCCCTCTCTTCTTGTCCCTTTTCTTCTTGTTTTCCTCTCTATGTTTTGTACTCAGCTGACTTTTCATGCTGTCTCTAAAGGAATGAAAGATTTTTTTCCCCATTTTTTCATTGTTCATCGTTACACTCCCTCTATCTGCCTTACCTCCTCTAGCTGTGGTGCAGAGGAGGCATCTTTGAACCTTTTAATTCCAGCAGCTTTTCTCCCTAAAAAAACATCTGTTGTTTTTTTTCCCGTAGTTTGTGAGAAACAGCAGGCTGACCTGGTCTTCCTGATTGATCAGTCTGGCAGTATCGACCCAAAAGACTACACCATCATGAAGAACTTCACTGTTGAACTGGTGAACAGCTTTAAAGTCAGCCAGGATTTGGTTCGCGTGGGACTCGCCCAGTTCAGCAGCGAATTCGAGCACGGGTTTTACCTAAACGAGTTCTTCCAGGAGGTGGAGGTGTCCAGCAAAATCCTGAACCTAAGACAGCTGGGTGGAGGCACCAAAATCGGACTGGCTCTAGATTCCATCAGGGAATATTTTGAAGCTTCTCGCGGTAGCCGTAGATCTTCAGGGATCTCACAGAACCTGGTGCTAATCACTGATGGAGATTCAGAAGATGACGTCGAGGATCCAGCCGATCGTCTCAGAGCTTTAGGAATCGAGATGTTTGCCATAGGCGTTGGTGACGTCCATGACCTGCAGCTGCTGCAGATCACCGGTGATCCCAGGAAGCTCTTCACTGTGCAGAACTTTGGCAGCTTGGATGCAATCAAACAGAAGGTAGTAGACACCATCTGCAAGTCCAAACCTTCCTCAGATCCGTCTGGTGAGTTACAAATTTAATATCAATCTCTGTTTTATTTCTTCAAGACTGTCTGTACATTATCCGCTCTAGAAGCACAAGATCTATATCCAGCCATTCAACAAAGATGCTGTTCTGGAAAAATTATATACAAAAAAGTGAATTGTGAAGTGTATTTACCCCTAATTTGAGTAAGTAAATGAGAGTCTACCGATAGAATGAGTATTTTCGCTCTTAGAATAAGATAATTAGATAATATGCACTTAAAATAAGACAATGCAATTGTTTTTTTTCTTATTTTAAATTAAAACTGTCTCCTTCCATTTGCAAAATGGCTCTAGTTTTAAGACAAACCAAATTTTTTGCAGTGTGCTACATGGCTGTGCATCTGATTTTGGCATTTGGCCAATTAGATGAGTCTTTGAATGATATATTACCTACTGTAAATTAAGGTGAAAAAAAGTTAACAAGTTGAGAAAAAAAGGTCAAAAGCTAATTGAGAAGTTAAAAAGTAAAGTTAAAAAATGAATAAGCCTAATTAACAATTATATTTAGGTTTATAAACTAAAAGATGTAAGTGCCAGTACCAGCATGTTAAATGAGGAAGTCATGTCCCCTTTTAAAAAGCCGTTGCGCCCCAGGGGCTTCCTCACGGTTCTTTTCCTGGGAGCAAGTTATTTACTACTCTTAACTCAAACTGGGTAATAACATGTAAAAAGGACTATAAAACAGAGGTAAAAAAGTAACAGAGTTTATTCCAGATCAGGTCGTTACAGGACAGAGAAAAATGCTTGGAGCTTGCACAGCTGTGGGTTCAAAAATCACGTCCGCGAGCGTCCGGCAAAGATTGAGCCCCGAACAAGGTCATCTTCTCCTTCTTATAGCTCATGAGTCTATGTGTTGCATCAGGTGGATGCTTAGCTGTCTGTATCAGAAACTGACACGCCATCCATGCCCTGACCTATATGCAGCTTGCCTCTATGCCTCAGGGTTACAGATAGCTCTCCTCTATCAGTCCGGCTCCAAGATGTGCCCACACACTCACCGGCCACTTTATTAGGTACCCCATGCTAGTAACGGGTTGGACCCCCTTTTGCCTTCAGAACTGCCTCCATTCTTGGTGGCATAGATTCAACAAGGTGCTGGAAGCATTCCTCAGGGAGTTTGGTCCATATTGACATGATGGCATCACACAGTTGCCGCAGATTTGTCGGCTGCACATCCATGATGCGAATCTCCCGTTCCACCACATCCCAAAGATGCTCTATTGGATTGAGATCTGGTGACTGTGGAGGCCATTTGAGTACAGTGAACTCATTGTCATGTTCAAGAAACCAGTCTGAGATGATTCCAGCTTTATGACATGGCGCATTATCCTGCTGAAAGTAGCCATCAGAAGTTGGGTACATTGTGGTCATAAAGGGATGGACATGGTCAGCAACAATACTCAGGTAGGCTGTGGCGTTGCAACGATGCTCAATTGGTACCAAGGGGCCCAAAGAGTGCCAAGGAAATATTCCCCACACCATGACACCACCACCAGCCTGAACCGTTGATACAAGGCAGGATGGATCCATGCTTTCATGTTGTAGACGCCAAATTCTGACCCTACCATCCGAATGTCGCAGCAGAAATCGAGACTCATCAGACCAGGCAACGTTTTTCCAATCTTCTATTGTCCCATTTCCATGAGCTTGTGCAAATTGTAGCCTCAGTTTCCTGTTCTTAGCTGAAAGGAGTGGCACCCGGTGTGGTCTTCTGCTGCTGTAGCCCATCTGCCTCAAAGTTCCACGTACTGTGCGTTCAGAGATGCTCTTCTGCCCACCTTGGTTGTAACGGGTGGTTATTTGAGTCACTGTTGCCCTTCTATCAGCTCCAACCAGTCTGGCCATTCTCCTCTGACCTCTGGCATCAACAAGGCATTTCCGCCCACAGAACTGCCGCTCACTGGATGTTCTTTCTTTTTCGGACCATTCTCTGTAAACCCTAGAGATGGTTGTGCGTGAAAATCCCAGTAGATCAGCAGTTTCTGAAATACTCAGACCAGCCCTTCTGGCACCAACAATCATGCCACGTTCAAAGTCACTCAAATCACCTTTCTTCCCCATACTGATGCTCGGTTTGAACTGCAGGAGATTGTCTTGACCATGTCTACATGCCTAAATGCACTGAGTTGCTGCCATGTGATTGGCTGCTTAGAAATTAAGTGTTAACGAGCAGTTGGACAGGTGTACCTAATAAACTGGCCGGTGAGTGTATTCTGTTTATTTTTAAAGACACGAAGGCTGTCTTGATTAGATGACCTCCGTACACACCGTGACATCCACAATGTGAAGGAAGGCCATCTACTCTGTCTAATCTGGCTAATAAAGTAACAATGCACATGATGTATAAAGAATAAACCTAACAAGCATTAATGCCTTTAAGTTGATGTTGGACCAAAAAAAAATGTTTCTTTCACTCTGAGTATTTGTCATGTATTTCTTACAGAAGCACTTTGTTATTTTTCCTTAAAATATTCAAGAAAGTTGGCATTTCTTGTTACTTCATTGACATAAATTTCTGCCTTCAAAATATCCATATTTTTGGAATGTAACAAAGGTGAAAAGGTCTTTCCCTGGATTCCAATTACACTTTTGGCTTGAAATTTACATGTTTTAAGTATTTCACTGAATGTCCTAGAAAGGGTTAAAACCAACCATGAACTTTATTTTCCGGCAGATTGCACCATCGACATCGCAGTAGGGTTTGATATCTCTCGACGAAATGCTGAGACTTTAGTCAGCGGCCAAAACCAGCTCAGGATCTACCTGCCAGAGATCACCCAGTACCTGTCCTCGGTGCCACGTCTGTGTTGTACCAACGAAGCCATCAAGACAAACTTAGGCTTCCGACTGGTGGGCAGAGATGGACGCACCTTGAACGACTTCAACTTTGAAGTTCACAATCCGGATGTGGTGAAGAAGGTCATGTCTACCAGACTGACGGAGCCCACCTATTTCAACACGGCTCTGCTGAGATCCTTTGAGAGGAAATTCAAGGAACAGTCAGGAGCAGGTGTGAAGGTGAGTCAGAGACCTGGGAGACACTCCCTCTGTATTCCCTGGTCTAGGTGAGGTGGACTAGCCTCATGAGACCATCCTGATCTTGCGAGCTTTCAAGATTTCACTCGCTAATCAGTCTGGAGACTCTCTGTTAAAGAAAATTTGGAGCCGTTCACCAAACGAACGTCCAATCAGCGTTGGCTTTGAGGCGGGTTGAGGTGTGATGCAACGAGAAGCGCGACAGTTAAGTCTAAAGAACATGGCGGCTTCGGCCGATGAAACTAGCGTTAGCGTGGCTATCGAGCAAGTTTTATGGGAATTACAGAGTATTTCTTCACTAAAAGAAGAGCAAAACACTGCTCTGGAGGCTTTTCTCAGAGGAAAAGATGTTTTTGCTCTTCTCCCGACTGGTTTCGGCAAGAGTTTGATCTATCAATTGGCTCCTCTTCGTTGTCGCTCTGTTAGTACGTCATATGCTTCGTTGATCTGATTGGTTTATTTGGCCCGTCTATCACCAACATAGGCCAATCAGCTAACCAGTATTTTCGCCCCTTCCCAAAATTACTTCAACGGAAGGTTTCCAGATGGATATGCGGAGCAAATCCAGCAAATCCATCTGGAGGAGTCAGGTTAGAGGTCTGCAGGAAGGAGGTATAATAACAGATTCTGATGGACGGATCATATGATCTAAGACATCAACCCAGCAGGCAGCTGCTTACCGCTGGCTGCTGGCTTTGAGGCGGGTTGAGGTGTGACGTAACGAGAAGCGTGACAGTTCAGTCTAAAGAACATGGCGGCTTCAGCCGATGAAACTAGCGTTAGCGTGGCTATCGAGCAAGTTTTATCAGAATTACAGAGTATTTCTTCACTGAAAGAAGAGCAAAACACTGCTCTGGAGGCTTTTCTCAGAGGAAAAGATGTTTTTGCTCTTTTCCCAACTGGTTTCGGCAAGAGTTTGATCTATCAATTGGCTCCTCTTCGTCGTCGCTCTGTTAGTACGTCATATGCTTCGTTGATCTGATTGGTTTATTTGGCCCGTCTATCACCAACATAGGCCAATCAGCTAACCAGTATTTTCGCCCCTTCCCAAAATTACTTCAACGGAAGGTTTCCAGATGGATATGCGGAGCAAATCCAGCAAATCCATCTGGAGGAGTCAGGTTAGAGGTCTGCAGGAAGGAGGTATAATAACAGATTCTGATGGACGGATCATATGATCTAAGACATCAACCCAGCAGGCAGCTGCTTACCGCTGGCTGCTGGCTTTGAGGCGGGTTGAGGTGTGACGTAACGAGAAGCGTGACAGTTCAGTCTAAAGAACATGGCGGCTTCAGCCGATGAAACTAGCGTTAGCGTGGCTATCGAGCAAGTTTTATCGGAATTACAGAGTATTTCTTCACTGAAAGAAGAGCAAAACACTGCTCTGGAGGCTTTTCTCAGAGGAAAAGATGTTTTTGCTCTTTTCCCAACTGGTTTCGGCAAGAGTTTGATCTATCAATTGGCTCCTCTTCGTCGTCGCTCTGTTAGTACGTCATATGCTTCGTTGATCTGATTGGTTTATTTGGCCCGTCTATCCCCAACGTAGGCCAATCAGCTAAGCAGTATTTTCGCCCCTTCCCAAAATTACTTCAACGGAAGGTTTCCAGATGGATATGCGGAGCAAATCCAGCAAATCCATCTGGAGGAGTCAGGTTAGAGGTGGACCACCTGTGTTTGGAACTGTGAAAGTCTTATGTCCATAAAACATCAACGTATGTCTCTCAGCTTCGCTGGACGGCAAAGCTTCATCTGGTCGTTTACTTTTCAGTCCAACTGTTTGGAACGTTTGCTGAGAATAAAGATTGTGCTAAAATCAGACCCTTATTTTGAAGGCAGGCAGGAAATACTTCTTACTTTTCTGTTCAGTTCAGTTTATTTCTATAGCTCCAATTCACATCATGTCATCTCAGGTCACTTTCCAGTTCACCAGATCATCCAGTCAGATTGATTCAAAGTTTTCTCTTTTTATCGATATACCAAATTAATAATTCAATATTTGAAACTTGAGATCCAATTTAAATATTTTTTTAATCTGGACACTGTTAGGGTTGTTAAGTTTCCCCAACTTTAACCTATGAAGAAATAAACAAAGACAGTGTAAGATTTTTCCTGACCGGGCTTTGCAAAGGGAAAATACACAGAGCTTTAGGATCTCTCTGTGCATCTTCGTCTTGCTCCACGCTTGCAGGCTTTTTTATTGAACAGTCAACACATTACAACAGCAGGTGTTAGTTTCGATTACGCAATCTCTTAGACATAGCATGAACCTTTAAGATGGGGAACTTGTCTGGTTTCAGTATACGCTTTTAAAAAAGGTGTCGGGGTTCATGAACTTCCCTTTCTGTGCTTCTCAAATGAAAAGCAGGAACTTCTGTGCTTCATTCTCGCAAAACATTTGACCGTCTTATGACCTGCATACACTATTTCCACTGATGACAGTACCATAGAAAAACAAATGATTTAAAAGCAATATAAAAGATATAAATGAATAAAATGATAAAAACAACAGAAATCATAATAACTCCAACAGACTCCATCGTTAATATGTTCCTGTTGGTGAATTTAGGGCACAAACTAAACATTTAGTTTATGATGTACTTAGTTTTTCACCAATATGAATATTTATGTGGTTTAATTTCTGATCAACTGGTTCTAAAGTAAAAAAAAAACCTGTTGGTTCCTGTTTTGATCAACTCATGTCTTTTTACAAAGTCTTGGTTCCCACTCATGTTTTCCTCAAACTGAAGTAAATACGAGCTCCATCCTGGGAGGAAGGAAACACAGCAGATAGAAGATGTTTGTAAGTCAATCAGAAGAAGAAGAAGAAAACTGTTCTTAGGAGTTCACGTTATTCTCCTCAGATTGGATTATTTTAACCTAACTGACCTCAGACGGTATCGGAGTTCCTCTCTTGCATTTGAAGGAGTAGCATTACTTCAAACTGTGACCATCTTCCTCCAGGTGCTGGTGATCTTCTCAGACGGACTTGATGAAGACGTGATGTTACTGGAGAACGAATCTGACAGGCTGCGGAAGTCAAGTAAACACGGACCTGGATTAATGCTGATGTTGCCATGGTAACTCTTCATAAGTTAATCGGGCATTTATCTGTTTGTTTTGCAGACATCAGCGCTCTGCTCGTCGTCGCTCTGGAAGGCGTCCGTAACGCCCCGCAGCTGCAGATGGTCGAGTTTGGTCGAGGGTTCGGATACCAACTTCCTCTGAGCATTGGCATGCCGAACGTCGGGGGAACCATCCTCAAGCAGATCGTAAGATTCTGATGTTTTAGAATAGAATAGAAAATCCCTTTATTGTCCCACAATGGGGAAAATCTGGTGTCTGGCGGTGGGTTGGAGCACATGACCCATTTATGGAGGCCTTAGTGCTGGACACGGCCGACCCGGGTTCAAATCCGGCCTGAGGTCGTTTGCCGCATGTCTCTCTCCTCTCTCATACCCCGTTTCACCTTAATGAGATGGAAACGGCCTGATGATGTTACAGCCGGAGGAGTCTGGAGTTCACAGGGCCAACCAAGAGAAGATCAGAGGCTGATGTTCAAGAAAACAAACCGATTACCAATAAATGAATAATCTTCCTGTTGGCAACATTAGAAGTTGATCAACCTTCCCTCATTTTTTAAGCCAACAGCTGCTGCAATAAATCGGCAGGAGATAATGTAAATATGGATTATTTTTCCAAGTCAACAGCGGTTTTTCCAGCTGGATGACATGTTTTCCTCTTCTGATCTGTCTTAATGCTGCGTTGCTGATCTGAACATCTTCAGGGACTCATTAGCTGCAGGAATATGAAGATTGTTCAACAAAGATCCTCTGACAAAGCAGCCTTACCAGGGCTGGTTTGCAGATCCCCCAGCTGCTCCGTCTATCCGCAGTTTGGTTTATAAACAGCTGGAGCTGTTGGCTTTTAGGCTGAAGTTTACTTTCTCTGGCAGATTAATATGAGTTTGCAAATCATAAACATATCAGTGGGAGTTCTGCAAAGTGTGGGGGAGCAAGTTCTTTCCAGGAACAGAGGAGTCGACAGGGAGCACAGAAACCCTCTGAGGGCCGCGGCGATCAGCAGCTTCTCATTATAGTTTCACACACAGGCTGTTCTAAACACTGCATTTCATTTCAGTTATTATTATTTTAAGGTTTAGAACGTTTAACTGCAGAAAATATCAAAACAGAACGGGACATGGATTGCTGAGGATAAGTGGACCGCAGCGGCTGCAGGGGGGGCGGGGCACCTCCCAATCACTGACACCCTGGTTTAACAGTTCAGTCCATCCTCTCTGAGGAAGGCAAGATCCAGCCGATGCACCGCAAAACAAGATCCGTCCCCAATGCAGCAAACCCAGTGAGCAGGCACACCGATCCAGGTCAGAGAAACAGTTCAGAACCGGACAGTTCACTGATCCAAGGTTCCAGGAATCCTCAGAGCGTAGGAGTCCAGCAGCGAACTCAGACAGAAACCCTCTGATGAAAATAACTGACTAATCAGGTTCTTTTTTAGAGATTCTGGTCCAAAGACGATGACTTCTATTTTGTCTGCATTCAGTTCAGTTCTGTTCAGTTTATTTCTATAGCGCCAAGTCAGAACAAACGTCATGTCAAGACACTTTACACTTCACCAGGTCATATAGTCAAACTGATTCAGTTTTCTATCTAAGAAAAACCAGTTGATTGCATCGACTCATTGACTCTTCAGCAATCCCTCACACTAAGCATGCTTATAGCAACAGTGGAGAGGAAAAACTCCCTTTGAACAGGAAGAAACCTCCAGCAGAACCAGGCTCAGTGTGAGCGGCCATCTGCTGAGGCCCACTGGGGTTCAAGGAGACAGAAGCAGACATAGAAAAAGAAGCATAGATACAAAAGGCAACTGTCAACCAGCTCCACAGGCGGCCCCGTCCAGGAAACACACAGCCAGGCAGACGAGCTCCGAGCCAGCTCCCATGTCAGAGGATGAAGAGAGCACATCCAGTTAGTCACAGTCAGAGAAACAGGACTACACTGGAAAACAGGCCAAGCTCCAACATCTAGAAACAAAGGTGTTGATGGCAGCAGCACAGCTGATATTTCTCTCCAGGATGGAGTCACAGCCAAACAGGAACAGACCAGATGAAGCTACTATGAGAAAAAGCAGAGAGAGCAGAACGTTAGAGATTGAACTAACAGATTCTGCAGAGTGGGAGAATAGAGATAGAATGAAGCAGAATGATGAAAAAGGGGTCCCTATGTCCTCCAGCAGTCTAAGCCTATAGCAGCATAAAAACAGAAAATAGCTTAGGATAACCTATTTTGTATGAAGTATACGAAAGTACGAGTCATCCAGGTTTTTCTGTCTTCAGACATGCCTGTAATCTATGTAATGGGTTAGCTTCATCTGGATTATAGACATATAGCTGGGTATCATCAGCATAACAGTGGAAATTAATCCCATGCTGTCTAATAATTCTACCAATTGGGAGCATGTATAAAGTAAAGAGAATTGGTCCTAGCACTGATCCCTGTGGTACTCCACAGGTAACCTTTGAGCATGAGGAAGATTTTTCATTAATGTGAACAAAGTGAAACCTGTCAGATACGATTTAAACCTGCCTGCAGAGGTTCTGCTTTATCATAGTTCTTAGTGAAGATTTTAGTGACTCCATTTGCGATGTCTATTTAAATGCTGCACATCTTTAGCTGGTCCAGATGTTTTGCTTGTTAGCAGTAACCGCCCTGCAGCTTGTTGGAGAAAAAAAAACAGAAGCTTCATTTTAACTAGATAAAAGCCCAAACATCTGTAATTAACTGAGAAAAGAAAGGAAACAAAAATGTTTCTCTCCTCAGAAACATGCTGTTAGATGTTCTGGTAGAATTTAAGAAAAAATTAACCAATAAGATGAAGACTCCAGGTGCTGCAGGAAGGCTTTAATCTGAATGACGCCACAAACATGAGCAAAAACCTGTTTTTATTTTATAATCGGACCAGTTCTTCTGATCCAAATGTCGACCTCTGTGCTGTTTTCTGTCTGTTCTGCAGGACGCGGTGTCGGATAGAGAGTGCTGCAACGTCATGTGCAAATGTTCCGGAGCAGAAGGAATCCGAGGCTCTCGGGGCCCCCCGGGGTCAAAGGTGACCGGACTGCACGCGTTTGAACTTCACAGACATAATGAGCGTCAGAAACATCAGAGCAGAAACCTGCAGCTCTGGTCGGTTCTGATGTTTCAAAGGGAAGCAGGTCAGACTTGATGCATTACTGGGACGCTGTGAAGCTGTGAGTCAGCAGATAGGCCTGGCGTCCACTAAGATTCCCAGCAAGGGACAGTTCCTCATCGCCTCTGAGATCTTTTTCAGTCTGAATCAGAAAAGAAATGTTTGTTTTGGCTCCTGATGAATAAATATTACGTGTATTGATATTTAAAGTCCTCCTCAGTCTGGGGAGGAGGATGAATAATGATGATGATCGCCTGGGTGTTTCTGAGGAAGCAGGTTCTCTACAGGTGAAGCTCTCTGTGTCCTCTGCTGGACATTTCTGTCTCTAACTCTGTGGTGTCCTCCTGAACCAGGGCGTTCGGGGACAGAAGGGTTACGCCGGCTTCCCAGGAGAGGAAGGAGCTGCCGTGAGTCTCTCTCTTTGTATTCTTAAAGCTTTTATATTCAGCTTCACTCTGCTTCATTCAGGCTATGGGGAGAAATTCATTCCAATATTATGCAGGGGAAAGTTGAAAAAAAAAAAAGTCTTTTGAAGAAAATCTTGTTTCAAAAGTGTTACTTTGAAAACAATCTCAATTAAAAGAAGGCTTTAAGTGTCATTTATAATTTCCATGAAAAACTTCATTGTATATTTTTAAAGTTTGCTATTTTTCAGATGTTATTTTCGATTTTCATCAAATTTGATGTATGCTTTTTTCAGATTTTATTTTCCAAATGTTTATTTTTTCGAGGTTTTATTGTTTCTCTGATTTTATTTTAAAAAAAATTCAGAATCAGACATACTTTAATAATCCTAGAGGGAATTTACTTATTTCCATTTAAAAAAAAAAATTTTTTGGATGTTTTTATTCAGATTTTCTTACAGTTTTTGTTCCATTTTCTTTATTTTCCTAATTTCATTTTATAAAGATTTCTTGAGATTTTATTTTTATCCAGAATTTATATTCTATTATTTTTATTTGTTTCAAATAAAATTTTTTCATATTCAATTTCTTTTTTTTTTAATATTTGTTCTTTTATTTTATTCTTATATAAAGTTTTAACTTTTTTCCAGATTTAATTTCTCTTTTTTCTTTCAAATATTTACTCAGATTTAATTTTTTTGTCAGATCCTATTTTTTTTTAATTTTTGGATGGAGAATTTTTGACGTTTTATGAAGTATTCTTGTCAAACCTCACCGTATCGCTCGGTTTTCCTCGCACAGACCAATAGAATCGCTTCTGCTCTGTGTGAATTGTAGCAGCAGTCTTTCTAAAAATATTGGTAGAACTTTTGTATATAAATACATTTTTTTATTTCCTTTTCAAAGCGTGCTATTTGCTTTCAGAAATATTGGATCAGATTTCTCTCCATACAGCCTCCTTGCCTTTCTTCTCCATCTTGACGTTTCAGCTCATCTCAGCTTGTCTCCTGTCGTTTCTCTGAACTCGTCTTCTCTGGTCTCTCGTCTCCACGTGTTTCTTCTCGCCTCACCTTCTACAAAGAGTGTAAACCTCGCTGGATTCAGGCGTTCTGATGATGCGTGCTCTGGTGGCGATGCTGAGCATCAGAAGCTGAGCCCAGCGGGAGGAACCTTTGCAGAACTTAGAGGTTCTGCCGGTTCCATCATGTAGAGGCTAACATGCTGAGTGGGGTCTGTCTCTGCAGGGCGAACGAGGCCCCCCTGGACCCACCGGACCTCAGGGAGTCCAAGGCTGCCCTGGACTCAGAGGGCAGAAGGTAGAGTAGATCTCAGCAGAGCATTAATTTCTGTGATCAGAACCGAGCGTCGGGTCTAACCGCAGTTGCTTGTCTCTGCAGGGAGGACGAGGCCTTCGGGGAGACAGGGTGAGTGAGTCAGAGCAGCTGGAATGAGCTGCATGGACTCTGGAATGTTTGGACAAACATCTGAGTCCAGATAAGGTCAGATTAGATGCTTTGCTTCCACCGCTGCAGGGTGAAGACGGAGAGGACGGCCTGAACGGAGTGGATGGAGAACAGGTACCAGCACCACACTGCAGCTGCACCAGGTTCTGTAATCTGGGCCGGTCACATGGGGGACATTAATAGTCCTGAACGTGAGACACTAAAATTAGACACTATAATTTTCTCTTATTTCAAGTCCATAACTCAAAGCCTGTAGATTTGAAGTCTAAACGTCGTCTGTCTTCCCAGAGGACGTCCTCCCTTCTGTGTCCTGTGAGGACGATGTCTCCTAGAGCAGCAGCGGGTTTCAGCACCGTCAGGACAAAACTTCCAGAACCAAACTGTTGACTTATGGTTGACTGGACAGGCAGGACTGTCCACAGAGACCCCTGCTGGTTAGAAAGGGGACTGCAGGCAGCATTAACCATCTATGGACTATAAAGCCCTTCGGTGTAGGAGAGCAGGAGGCGGGGTTACCAATCTACTGGCTCTGGAGAGCAGAGTTCGCTGCTTTTAGATGTTGTCTCCAAAGTCTCCAGTAGCAGAAAAAAGTCTCTAGATTTGGCGCTAGGAGCTTTTTAGAAATCAAAGTGCTAGAGGGGTCTGAAAAGTGGCTAAATATAGCGACTAAAGCGCTAAGTTGGCAACACTGCTCTTTGCATGGTTTGTTTTCAAATGGTTTGCTGCTGTCTGTTTGGACCTTTCTGAACATGTGCAGCAAATGGACTGATCCAATATGGTGGACACTGAAGGGGGGGGGCTGAGACACACTTAATATTATCAGCGTTCTGATGGCATAATTAATGTGCATAAAGAAGGAATAGTTTTATGGGGCCCCCAGGAACTTGGGGCCCTAGGGAACTGCCTAGTATTGCCTAATGGTAACCCCGTCAGGCTTTAGTGTGACGGGGTGGGAAATTTAAAGCAATATGGCTCAATTTCTGGATATGTTCAAACCTGATGGTGCCGTTAGCATTAAGAAACAATGAAAAATGAATGATTAATACAAATATAATTTCAAAATTTGATTAACAAATTGTTTTCCCCACTTTTTGTGTGTGACGGCGTGGATATGCTACGGTTAACAGAAAGGATTTTGAAGGAAAAATTTACCAAAAATTTTCTTAAAGAAAAGCAGAACTCACCATTGTTTGGACTTCCCTTCTTCAAACTCTTGATGATGTCACTTCCGGTTAGTGATGTCACTTCATGTTAGTGATGTCACTTCTAGGAAGTGTATTGCATTTTGGCGCAAAATAACATTGGTGTGACGGGCTGGAATATGAAATTGATGGACAAAATCATGCTATTTCAATAAAAAATATGACATTTTAATATAATTAACACATTTCCTATTAAGAGGAAAGTATTTCTAACCATAACAACAAAAGATTTTTGAGATTTATTTCATATTTATTAAGTTTTACATTACACGAATGAGAAAAATGGTCAGAGCGGACATGAGAAAATGATTGATAACATAAAAAGTTATAAATGTGCAAAATATATATTTATTATTCAATTTTATTTGTCCTCGTGCTACCAACTAAACTTGAATCAATGGCTTTAGACACTTAAAGTATTACTGAGAGTTTTATTATGCTTCCTATTCTTCTTTGAGTGTTATGGACCCAAACTTAACAGTTTCCATGGAATGAACCTGAAAATGATCCTGATTCTTTGAGCTGGGCTCGTTTTCAGGTTTTCAATGTTTCTCAGCTTCAGCGAAGCCGATTCTATGACTGTATTTCAGCAAAATCCCGTTAATCAGCTAAAACCTAAAACCTGGACCTTTCTGGGTCAGCCGGACCCAGGACCGGATCCTGAATGACCTCAGAGGAGAAGCTGGAGGCCCTGAGGAGCAGGTGTGGGTCAGACGCTGCCGCTCGCTGATGGTTTGGGGTTTCAGCTGTGAGGAAATGAGCGGGCGTTTTCAGGAAACGGGCTGATTGGAGATTTTTCAGGCTGAAACCGTCTTTTTTTTTTTTCTTCCAGGGAGAGGCTGGAAACAACGGAACTCGTGGAGAAGGTGGAAACCCAGGAAACCCGGTAAGCCTTTCCTGATCAGATCTGAGGAGACTTATTTCATGCTTTCAGGTTCTCCAAAAAAACGTTCAAGACATTTTAGCCAATTAGCTTTAATTAGTTTCTGCTGCGGATAAACATGATGGAGCAAAGAAGCCGGTCAGAGAAGACAGAGACCTCCAGAGGGGGAGTTAATGACTCAGGCTGTAGATCTGGATTAATAGACTCCAAACTGGGAAATGGATCTAAGGGAAACGGATCTATGGAGAGGAATTTGTTCCATTATTATTGAAAGGAAAGAAAATGATTCCAAAATAAAACTTTGGAAAACTTTTTATTAGATGAGTTTATAATATTTATGTATAAGGTTCAACCAATATTTCTACAGTTTGTTTTCAGGTTTATTCTTTATATGTATTGTATCTTTATTTATAGATATTTAATTTGCCAAACTTTTCAACAAAAAAAAGTTATACTTTGTTTTTCCAAGTTTTTTTCAGATATTTTTTCACATTTTCTTTTACAATGAAAGCTACTTTTTTTAATCCGTTTTCACATATTTTGCGTACTTGTGTGATCTGTGTGTGGCTTTTATTGGTCCGTACAAAGAACGTCTAGAAGTTTAGAGGAGGAAATCTGTGAAACGAGATTTAAAACTTGTAAGGTTCCTGAAAAAAAAAAGAAACTTTTGCATAAAGGTTAAAGGTTACACTCCAAACCTTTTTTTTTTTCATGTTGATTGAGAAATTTTCCATGATTGAGAAAGTTCCATGTCTGAAATGTATTTTCTTCAAATTCTTTTTTTCAACATGTTCTGTGCTTCCAATAATGTCAGATTTCTTTCCATAGCTCATCACAGACTCATTGGACATTTTTTTTTGTACACCGTATTTATAAACACAGATTTTTTTTTTTAGCACCATATTTATAAACACAGATTTTTTTTTAGCACCATATTTATAAACACAGATTTTTTTTTTTTAGCACCAAATTTTAAACACTGATTTTTTTTTTTTTTTTTACACATTACATTACATTACAATTTTTTGCAGGCAATTACCCTCAAAAAGTTCAGCTGCAAATAATTTGCAAGCTTCAAAAAATTTGCTCGCAAAAAATTCACCAGCAAAAAATTTGCCTGCAAAAAGTTTAGCTGAAAGTGTGTTGACCTTTTGGTGAACTCAAGCCAAAGCGATCTAAACTCAATGCAGGCGAGCAGCTTTTAGCCAATGAAATCATCTCATTTGGTCACGTGACACAACAGGCGGTCGTAGCTTTGTTCCCTCCTGAATTAAGCTGAACGAGGAGTTTTTCTTGTTAAATAGAAATGATTACAAAATGTCAGGTATCTACTAATAGCCAGCCATTAGAGTTTTTAATCTAAGCTCTTGGTTTGATCCGGAAGAAGCGGCCGGTGGCAATTTTTTTTGTTTTCTGAACAAATGTGCTGCTATCATTGGCTAGAAGCTGCTGACTGCATCGAGAGTAGATTGCTTTGGCTCGAGTTCACCAAAGGTCAACACATTTGCATTCTAGGTTTTGCAGGCAAATTTTTTTATTGCAGCTGAATTTTTTGCAGGCAATTTTTTTTTTTACAAATTTTCACCAGATAAAAATTTAGTGTAAATTCAACATGTAACAAAAGTTAAGTGTTTAAAATCTGGCGTTTAAAGAAATTCAGTGTTAAAAAAAAAAAAAAAAAAAGGCAGATTCAAACGAGACAGTTTTTCTTCCATAATCACAAAGCCCGCCTTAACCAGCGTGGAACCAGCAACTCTTAACTTCAGTTCGTTAAAAACTTTTCATGATCTACTGGTGTTTCAGAGACCTGCTCTGATAAAACCAGTTCATCTGGAGAGGATTCAGGTTCCACTGGATCAGAGGAACTGTTTGGTGTTTTGTTTTGTTTTTCTCCTGGTCTGAGTCACCCCAGAGCAGCTGACCTCTGACCTTTTCCTCCACAGGGTATCCCTGGAACCAGAGGCGGACCAGGGCTGAAGGGACAGCGAGGGCTGAGAGGAGATCCGGTGAGTTTCTTCTTCTGCTTCTTATCTGAGCTGCAGAAATGAGGCTGAAACCTGCAGAGAAGCAGCATGAAGATGGAATCAATCAAATTCCAGGTTTTTAAGCCTTCAGGGCTTAACCCCCCCCCCCCCCCCCCCCTGTTCAGCTGCAGCTCTGGCTCTGCAGCACGACGGGAATAATGTTGGATCATGGCTGACATGAAGCAGCGCTTCCTCCCTGATTTATGGTCCAATAAAAAGAACAAAGTGGAGCTCAAAGATTATCGGAGCTTCAGAGCCTGAAAATCCTTTAAGCGACTAAAGATCAGCTTCTGTCTGTCGGTTTTATTTCTCTGTGAAGAAGCAGACGGTCTGAACAGGAAGGATCCGGTTTAACCGACCTACTGTTAGCTGAACCTTTACCGAGGAGAGCAAGAAGAAGAAGTTCTCCTGGTTTCCATGGTAACGAGCAGTGTTGTATAGTAACAAAGTAAAAAAAACTTCACTATAGTGAAGTAAGTATATTTTGGAGTACTTTATACTTTCCAAGAGTATAATTTTTTTGAGAACTTTCACTTTTACTTCACTACATTTACGAACTTAATTGCGTACTTTTACTCCGATACATTTTCAATGTTTGGTTTAGTTACTACTGAGTAAAAAAAAAAAAAAAAACACAGAGAGAAAAGCAACTGTTTTGACCCCGCCTACTGACTACACAGTTTAAATTTATCCTACACTTGGTTGTTTATATTATTTTAAGTGAATTTAACCTTCAAAGTTTACCAAAATGTAAAAAAAAATGTCATTCAAACTGCATTTACTTTTTACTTATACTTTTTACTTGAGTACATCTATTTTTACAGTAATTCTTAGAGTTAAGTTCGAGCCATTTCAGATACTTTAAGACTTTTACTCGAGTAACATTTCACTCAGTGACTTGGACTTTAACCAAAGTAATATTTTGGAGCGGTACTTATACTTTTACTGGTCCAGATTTCAGTACTTTATCCAACACTGGTAACGAGACGCCTATCTGGGATCTTTGGTTCTTTCCACAGCAGGAACACTGGTCCCTAAAAGTTCATGTAGTGGAGATGGATTAGAACATGTTCAGGATTAAAGGGACGTCGGCCCCAAAATCAGATCCCTGTACTTCACCTGACTGACCAGTCTAACAGGCCCACAGCACCACTCTACCACCACCATACCTCTCAGTGGGAATGTTAGACGCACGGTTCGTGTCTGAAAGTTATGGGATGGGGGGGTCACTAGATCATCAGAGAACCAGTTAAACCAGTATAAATGTTTCTGAGTCCAGAAGAACCTGAAGAAGAGGACCAGCTTTAACTGACAGAAACGAGTCCAAACATCCAGGGACTTTGTGCTAAACACGAAAAATAGACTTTGATTTTAGATGTTCTGATCCAACATGCCTCGCCGAGTCTAACCTGTCCCTCGCCGAGTTCAACCTGTCCCTTGCCGAGTCTAACCTGTCCCTCGCCGAGTCCAACCTGTCTTTCGCCGAGTCCAACCTGTCCCTCACCAAGTCTAACCTGTCCCTCACCAAGTCTAACCTGTCCCTCACCAAGTCTAACCTGTCCCTCACCAAGTCTAACCTGTCCCTCACCAAGTCTAACCTGTCCCTCACCAAGTCTAACCTGTCCCTCACCAAGTCTAACCTGTCCCTCACCAAGTCTAACGTGTCCCTCGCCAAGTCTAACCTGTCCCTCGCCAAGTCTAACGTGTCCCTCGCCAAGTCTAACGTGTCCCTAGCAAAGTCTATCCTGTCCCTCACCAATTCTAACCTGTCCCTCACCAAGTCCAACCTCACCAAGTCCAACCTGTCCCTCACCATGTCTAACCTGCCCCTCACCAAGTCTAACCTGTCCGTCGCAGAGTCCAACCTGTCCCTCACCAAGTCCAACCTAACCAAGTCCAACCTGTCCCTCACCAAGTCTAACCTGTCCCTCACCAAGTCCAACCTGTCCCTCACCAAGTCTGACGTGTCCCTCGCCAAGTCTAACCTGTCCCTCGCCGAGTCTAATGTGTCCCTCGCCAAGTCCAACCTGTCCCTCGCCGAGTCTAACGTGTCCCTAGCCAAGTCTAACGTGTCCCTCACCAAGTCTAACGTGTCCCTCGCCAAGTCTAACCTGTCCCTCGCCAAGTCTAACGTGTCCCTCGCCAAGTCTAACCTGTCCCTCGCCAAGTCTAACGTGTCCCTAGCCAAGTCTAACCTGTCCCTTGCCAAGTCTAACCTGTCCCTCGTCAAGTCTAACGTGTCCCTCGCCAAGTCTAACGTGTCCCTAGCCAAGTCTAACCTGTCCCTCACCAAGTCTAACGTGTCCCTCGCCAAGTCTAACCTGTCCCTTGCCAAGTCTAACGTGTCCCTAGCCAAGTCTAACCTGTCCCTCACCAAGTCTAACGTGTCCCTCGCCAATTCTAACGTGTCCCTCACCAAGTCTAACGTGTCCCTCGCCAATTCTAACCTGTCCCTCACCAAGTCCAACCTCACCAAGTCCAACCTGTCCCTCACCATGGCTAACCTGCCCCTCACCAAGTCTAACCTGTCCGTCGCAGAGTCCAACCTGTCCCTCACCAAGTCCAACCTAACCCCTTCACCTGTCCCTCACCAAGTCCAACCTCACCAAGTCCAACCTGTCCCTCACCATGGCTAACCTGCCCCTCACCAAGTCTAACCTGTCCGTCGCAGAGTCCAACCTGTCCCTCACCAAGTCCAACCTAACCAAGTCCAACCTGTCCCTCACCAAGTCTAACGTGTCCCTCGCCAATTCTAACGTGTCCCTCACCAAGTCTAACGTGTCCCTCGCCAATTCTAACCTGTCCCTCACCAAGTCCAACCTCACCAAGTCCAACCTGTCCCTCACCATGGCTAACCTGCCCCTCACCAAGTCTAACCTGTCCGTCGCAGAGTCCAACCTGTCCCTCACCAAGTCCAACCTAACCAAGTCTAACCTGTCCCTTGCCAAGTCTAACCTGTCCCTCGTCAAGTCTAACGTGTCCCTCGCCAAGTCTAACGTGTCCCTAGCCAAGTCTAACCTGTCCCTCACCAAGTCTAACGTGTCCCTCGCCAAGTCTAACCTGTCCCTTGCCAAGTCTAACGTGTCCCTAGCCAAGTCTAACCTGTCCCTCACCAAGTCTAACGTGTCCCTCGCCAATTCTAACGTGTCCCTCACCAAGTCTAACGTGTCCCTCGCCAATTCTAACCTGTCCCTCACCAAGTCCAACCTCACCAAGTCCAACCTGTCCCTCACCATGGCTAACCTGCCCCTCACCAAGTCTAACCTGTCCGTCGCAGAGTCCAACCTGTCCCTCACCAAGTCCAACCTAACCAAGTCCAACCTGTCCCTCACCAAGTCTAACCTGTCCCTCACCAAGTCCAACCTGTCCCTCACCAAGTCTGACGTGTCCCTCGCCAAGTCTAACCTGTCCCTCGCCGAGTCTAATGTGTCCCTCGCCAAGTCCAACCTGTCCCTCGCCGAGTCTAACGTGTCCCTAGCCAAGTCTAACGTGTCCCTCACCAAGTCTAACGTGTCCCTCGCCAAGTCTAACCTGTCCCTCGCCAAGTCTAACGTGTCCCTCGCCAAGTCTAACCTGTCCCTCGCCAAGTCTAACGTGTCCCTAGCCAAGTCTAACCTGTCCCTTGCCAAGTCTAACCTGTCCCTCGTCAAGTCTAACGTGTCCCTCGCCAAGTCTAACGTGTCCCTAGCCAAGTCTAACCTGTCCCTCACCAAGTCTAACGTGTCCCTCGCCAAGTCTAACCTGTCCCTAGCCAAGTCTAACCTGTCCCTCACCAAGTCTAACCTGTCCCTCACCAAGTCCAACCTGTCCCTCACCAAGTCTGACGTGTCCCTCGCCAAGTCTAACCTGTCCCTCGCCAAGTCTAACGTGTCCCTAGCCAAGTCTAACCTGTCCCTCGCCAAGTCTAACGTGTCCCTAGCCAAGTCTAACCTGTCCCTCACCAAGTCTAACGTGTCCCTCGCCAAGTCTAACCTATCCCTTGCCAAGTCTAACGTGTCCCTCGCCAAGTCTAACCTGTCCCTTGCCAAGTCTAACGTGTCCCTAGCCAAGTCTAACCTGTCCCTCACCAAGTCTAACCTGTCCCTCACCAAGTCTAACGTGTCCCTCGCCAAGTCTAACCTGTCCCTTGCCAAGTCTAACGTGTCCCTCGCCAAGTCTAACCTGTCCCTTGCAAGTCTAACGTGTCCCTAGCCAAGTCTAACCTGTCCCTCACCAAGTCTAACCTGTCCTTCGCCAAGTCTAACCTGTCCCTCGCCAAGTCTAACGTGTCCCTCGCCAAGTCTAACCTGTCCCTCGCCAAGTCTAACGTGTCCCTCGCCAAGTTTAACATGTCCCTCACCAAGTCCAACCTAACCAAGTCCAACCTGTCCCTCACCAAGTCCAACGTGTCCCTCGCCAAGTCTAACCTGTCCCTCGCCAAGTCTAACGTGTCCCTCGCCAAGTTTAACATGTCCCTCACCAAGTCCAACCTAACCAAGTCCAACCTGTCCCTCACCAAGTCCAACCTGTCCCTCGCCAAGTCTAACGTGTCCCTAGCCAAGTCTAACCTGTCCCTCGCCAAGTCTAACGTGTCCCTCGCCAAGTTTAACGTGTCCCTCACCAAGTCCAACCTAACCAAGTCCAACCTGTCCCTCACCAAGTCCAACCTGTCTCTCACCAAGTCCAACCTGTCCCTCGCCAAGTCTAACGTGTCCCTCGCCAAGTCTAACCTGTCCCTCGCCAAGTCTAACCTGTCCCTCGCCAAGTCTAACGTGTCCCTCGCCAAGTCTAACGTGTCCCTCACCAAGTCTAACTTGTCCCTCGCTGAGTCCAACCTGTCCCTCACCAAGTCCAACCTGTCCCTCACCAAGTCTAACCTGTCCCTCACCAAGTCCAACCTGTCCCTCACCAAGTCTAACCTGTCCCTCACCAAGTCTAACCTGTCCCTCACCAAGTCTAACCTGTCCCTCACCAAGTCTAACCTGTCCCTCACCAAGTCCAACCTGTCCCTCTCTTTTCTCTGCAGGGGGAACCGGGCATCTCAAACACGTCCCCTGGAGCCAAAGGAGAAGCGGGATACCCAGGTCTGCAGGTAAAAGACTCTAATCTGCTCCTCTGTGGTGATCATGGAGTTTAGAACAAAGAGAAACGAACAAGACGACTAGAGAAAGGTGGGGGGGTGGGAATCATAAAGCTTCTCTCTAAGGATCCATCCACATTTAAAATAATAAAAACATGTTTGAAAGTACAGAAAGAAAATGAAATGATGCAAATGACTCTAAAGAAACATGTTGACCAAGTCAGAACCCAGAAAACTGCTGTTTAACAGATTCATAATGAGAGACGAGATTTAAACCGAGTGTCTAAAAAATCCAGAATAAAACCTGAAGGTGGAGCAGAAACTGGTTTCCTCACAGTTTTAATTGAACTTCAGCTTTTTGTGACCAGAACTGTGACGGTTCTGGGTCCAACGTCCCCAAAGTCTGACGTTTGTGTCTCTGAGCCAACAGGGGACCCCAGGACTGGACGGAGTGAGGGGAGAGACGGGATCCGATGGAAGCATGGTGAGGCCTCCGTCATCATCTGGCCTGCAGCTGGAAAACGGCTAAAACACGTTTTTTACTCCGTGGTTCCAGTTTCTTTTTTTTAAATATGAGAAACTTTTAGTCTTTGAAAGTTTGCCGTTTGAGCAGCTCAGCTGTTCTGTGGTGTTATTGGATAGAAAGCATCTGAAGCTGTCAGATGGTTCCTGGTGTTTACAGCATAAATTCATCCATTCTTCTTTTAACCTCTGCTGTTCAGGGTCTACCTGGAAGACCAGGAAATCCAGGATCAAAGGTAGGAGAACCAACACTGACCAACACGCTTCGCCCAGCAGGAAACCACTTAACCGTTTCTGCCTCCGCAGGGCGCCACCGGACCGAAAGGCTCTAAAGGATCAGAAGGTATCCAAGGGGTTTCCGGTGCTCAGGTAAGAACCTGGTCTCCAGCAGCTCCAGGTCAGGTGTTTAGCAGAAAGTCCTGCAGCTGTTCAGCTGTGCTGGAAAAGGTCCAGTTTTAGAACCTTTAGAACACCAAGGTTCTGCTGACACCGATTGTTTGGACTTATTATCTGGGATGCTTCTGTCTCTGCAGGGTCCCAGAGGGGTCCGGGGTCCTCCAGGACCAGGAGGAGTCCCAGGTCTCCATGGACCGCAGGTCAGCAGGAAGCATTTCTCTCACTTTTAAAGAACCATCACTTATAATATGTTCTTTATAAAAACTATCAACCTGTTTTTTTGTTTTAGTTTGGGTCCTAAAACAAAAGCCTTTTAATTTTATATGATCTTTTCTTATTAGAAAACAAAAAAATTATAATTTGTATTGAGTTAAGTTTGCTCCATTAATTGTTTTATAAAAAAAAAACACAATCCAGAAATGAAACTGTGAAAAACATGTTAATCAAAGCTTTTGATAAGTATATCCTCTTTTTCTTTTCAATTTTTTTCTTTATATTTAATTTTAAAAAATATATTTACATGTTTTATTTGTTCCAATTTTATGCTTTCAACTATTTTATAGTCAAAGATTTTAGATTTTCTTTAGGAAATTTTAGGAAATGCAGTGTTTTCCTGATCATACCTTCTTCCCCTCTGATGGCCGCTTATTAGTCTGCTGGACGTTTTATTGATTGATTGTTTTATTTCAATTTCCACTCAAATCACAAGCGTTTGTATCCAGCCTGGAGTGAAGTCAATGTGATTTAAAATTCAATCTGGAAAACATATAAAAAATATATTTATACATATATATATATATATATATATATATATATATATATATATATATATATATATATATATATATATATATATATATATATATATATATATATATATATATATATATATATAAAACTCAAACTTTATTTATAAAGCACATTTAAAACAACCGGGGACCAAAATGCTGTACAGGAATCCCAGTTAAGGAACATAAGATAAAAGCTAAGGCTAAAATACATAAACACATAAAAATAGAATAAGATAAATGTTTCAATTAAAATACCTTTTAGAATAAAATAAAATTTAAAATAAAATTTTGCCATTATCTACTTAGACATGATTAAAATATAAAACACAATTAAAAGCGTAAAATATTTTATATCTTTTGTAAAAATTCAGACATAGATAAATAAATTCAAATAAAATCTGATTAAAAAAAAGGAAAATTACTCTCAAAATATTTTTTTGAGTAAAATATTTGTAAAGATTTATTCGTTAGTAGCCTATATTTACATTTTAATTAATGGTTTTTATTTAAATTTCCATTTATAAAAGTTTTTATTTGCTTGCAATAATAATGGAACAAAATTCACTCTATAGCTTCACTGATGATGCTACGTTCAGACCGCTGCAGCAGGAGCAGTGAAAACGCCGCGTAATGCTTCATTTTGATGCTTGTAGAAGTTTAGATCTGACGCGCAGCTGAAGAAATATTTGATTCTTTACATACAGATAAATAAATAATAATAATAAATTAATCTCTACTCACTTTAATTTTGATAAGTTTTAAAGTCTCATCTTCGGAACACATTTTATTCAGTTGTCCTTTTTGAATCATGTTCTTTGCTCTTAATAAAAATTCAGTTTATTTCTATAGCTCCAATTCACATCATGTCATCTCAGGTCACTTTCCAGTTCACCAGATCATCCAGTCAGATTGATTCAAAGTTTTCTATCTAAGGAAAACCAGCTGATTGCATCGACTCATTGACTCTTCAGCAATCCCTCACACTAAGCATGCTTGTAGCAACAGTGGAGAGGAAAAACTCCCTTTGAACAGGAAGAAACCTCCAGCAGAACCAGGCTCAGTGTGAGCGGCCATCTGCTGAGGCCCACTGGAGTTCAAGGAGACAGAAGCAGACATAGAAAAAGAAGCATAGATACAAAAGGCAACTGTCAACCAGCTCCACAGGCGGCCCCGTCCAGGAAACACACAGCCAGGCAGACGAGCTCCGAGCCAGCTCCCATGTCAGAGGATGAAGAGAGCACATCCAGTTAGTCACAGTCAGAGAAACAGGACTACACTGGAAAACAGGCCAAGCTCCAACATCTAGAAACAAAGGTGTTGATGGCAGCAGCACAGCTGATATTTCTCTCCAGGATGGAGTCACAGCCAAACAGGAACAGACCAGATGAAGCTACTATGAGAAAAAGCAGAGAGAGCAGAACGTTAGAGATTGAACTAACAGATTCTGCAGAGTGGGAGAATAGAGATAGAATGAAGCAGAATGATGAAAAAGGGGTCCCTATGTCCTCCAGCAGTCTAAGCCTATAGCAGCAGAACTATAGAGATAGATCAGGATAACCTGAGCCACTCTAACTAGAAGCTTTATCAAAAAGGAAAGTTTTAAGCCTAGCCTTAAAAGTAGACAGGGTGTCTGCCTCATGGACTAAAACTGGTAGTTGGTTCCACAGGAGAGGAGCCTGAGAACTAAAAGATCTGCCTCCCATTCTACTTTTAGAAATTCTAGGAACATAACAACAAAATTCCCTCCTGATATCTAATGAGATCTCAGAAACTTTTCCGCCCTCTGTGAACTGGTGGAGACCTCTCAGTCAGCAGATCTTCATCACCCTGACAGCTCTAAAAGCGCTGGGATGTGTCGCCTCGTTTGTTGCCTTTAATTGCAGCATAAATCCTGGAGCCTCCGACACACATCTGGGAATCATCTGTCTCCAGCTTGGCAAACAGAGACATCAGAGATGGTTCTGCTCGTGTTTCATTTCCAGAATGTTGCTTAACTGTCCTACATGTTGGAGGACATCTCAGCGTTTGTGTTTCTCAGTGAACGTGGGACAAATCTCCACACAGAGGCCGGCGGATCGATTAGTCGTGGAGTTTAGCTTGTTTATTTATCAGCTACGTATCGTTTAGATTTTAAGTCTTTATGACGTAAAGATGAAGCAGCTGCAGATGAAGTTCTGGTAAACATGGAGCTGCAGGACGATGAAGATGTGATCATGATTTATTGTCTGATTTGATCTCACTTGGAGGTAATTTGGTCCACATGCAGACCCTTAGTGGGGATTAAGAGAGCGCCAAACGTCTGCATCTGGAGCGTCTATCAATCAGAGCATCACCATCCTGCAGTCCTGCTTTAATGCTTGATCTTATCAAACTCTACCAGAGGTCTCACTGATCCTTCAGTTACGATTCAGGCCATGAAATTATGGGGTGCCGTTTGTAAAGATAAGCCGTCAGAAATTAGGAGCAATATTTATGGTTATTTAGTCTGTTTAAAAGGAAAAATAAGTGGCTTATTTTCTTCCTTTTTCACTATGTCATTACTCAATTATAAAAAATCTTACTTTCTTAAATAAATATTTAGCTGCAAACTAAATATTTAGCTTGGTGCTACCTAAATAAATAGTGAATATGCAAATTCCCTTCCTGAAAAGTAAAAATCCTGTGAATCTCTATATTATTTGTACTAAATATTTAGTTGGTTAAATAAATATTTAATTTTGAGGTAAATATTTATATAACAAACTAAATATTTAATTTGTAAACTAAATAATTATTCAACAAACTACATTTTTAATTAGCAAAGTAAGATTTTTATAAATGAATGAATGAAAAAAAAATAACCCTCTTATTTTTCTCTTAAAATACGCTAAATAACCGTAAAGATTGCTCCTAATTTTTACTGCTTAATTTTACAAAAAGGCGCCTCAGATTAAATATCTTCCAGACACAGTTTGGACTTTTCTGATCCAAACTCATCAGTTTGTCTGAGAAACAGAAGCAGCTTTTGGTTTCATCCAAAGTCCACATGTGAGACATCGTCCTGCCGTCCTCTGAGCCAGACCAGAGACAGACCACTGTGGCGATAATCTGGGCTCTAGAGCAGAGGTCTTCAACAGGGGGTCCGCGACCCCTAGAGGGTCCGCGGAGGTACTGCATGGGGGTCGCGAAAATCTTGGTTGATGACTTTTTTTTATATTCCCCTCCTGCAATTTTTTGCACTAATTGAAATGTCTTTAAATCCACATGAACATGAATCCAACAGACTGCAGTAAACAGATAAATGGAGGCAGAAGATGTCTTTCAGTCATCAATGCTCACATTCAGCGACACACAGGAGCTCTTTCAATCTGGGCACCGTTTCATTCACAACACCTGTCCCATCAACCAGGAATCAGGAATACTTTAATAATCCCAGGGAGGGATTACTTTAGTTACATTACTCCATCTGGAATAGAGTGACTACAGGACCAGTTTGATAGAACACTATTTCATACAATATATATAATTAGGGGGTCCCCGCTAGAGCGATTCGATACACGTCCGGATACTTGGGTCACGATACGATATTATCAAGATATTGCAGAATCACTATATATTGCCATATTTTCCCCAGCTATCAAAATCAAATGATGAGATAAAACAGCAAGTGCTGTATTTTGTCATCAGAAAATATTGATTAGGTTTTATTATCCATGTTGTTTGGGGTTTTCTTCCACTGTGACTGCCTCAAATACAGATTTGGTGCTGGACGCACAGTTAAAGGGCTCCACAGCGCTTTCTGCCAGAGTGGTGGTGCAGAGGTAGCCCATTTTCCCATCAATGTTTTATGTAACCTTTTTTTTTTTTTTAATCGATACTAAGAAGTGAAAGATCGATATTATATTGGGCAGCCGAATATCACGATATATCGCCAAAACAATTATTTTCCACGCCCCTAGTCTCCGCTCCATCTCGCAACCAGTTTGGGGGTCCTTGGCTATGAAAACGTTGAAGACCCCTGCTCTAGAGGAAGATGCTGTAATCTGAGCAGAATAAAGGATGACGGCGTCCTGGAAGGCCTGATGTCCTCAGTGACGACGAGTGAATCGGTTCTGTTAATAGAAACTTGGCTGTTTGTTCCTGGATCAGATCCTAACCCGGAGCTTTGCTGCATCTCTCCAACCCATTCTATGGCGAGAAATTTGTCCCATTATTATATGAAGTAAAGGAAAAATCTCAAGAAAGTAAATTTGAAGAAAATCGATTTATGAAAAAGTATCTTAATTTTAAAAAAGGTTTTGAGGTATAATTTATATTTGCAAAAGTCCAACCAATATGATAACAGTTTGTTTTGTTTATTTTGTATATTTTAGAATATTTTTTCTCTTCACGTTTAGTTTTTTTCCCGCTTTTTGGGAGACTGAGTTTTACATTTTTTAACCCTTTCCACCTCTGACACTGAGCTTGGCCTGAACCAAATGCTGTTGCTAACGTCCGCCCAGAGCCGACGAAAATCTGTCTCCACCCCCAAAAAATGAAAAAAAAAAAATATAATACATCTAAAATAGTTTAATAAAATATTTATTTTTTATTGTGTTGTAAGGAAAAATCTGAATAAATTGCTAACTTTAAATACAGTTTAAACGTTTACATGTTATAAATTACTCTCGCAAACTTATTGTATTGACAAGCTTCTTCCGTTTCTGTTTCTTTTTTTTAAACTGATTATTTGCCTCCAATAATACTGGTACAAATGTGCCTCTTTATCAAATATCCATTATTATATCTTTGTTTTTATATAATCATCCTATTTTCATCGGTCGCTTTTCATTTCTTTGTTTGTTTATTTGAAATTTGCTCTAAAGATAAACTTGCCTTCATGCAACTGTAGAAACAAACTCACTGCTGAGTAAAGATGCGTTCAGGGAAGCTTGGATATAACGGCGACCTGCTGTCTGTGGTTCTCTGCAGGGTGGGCCTGGATCTGCCGGAAACAAAGGACAAGTGGGAAAGCTTGGAGCGACTGGACTGAAGGTGGGTGGCTCCCTTTGGTTCCTAAAACACCCGTCTGATCAGGAAATGGACCCGATCACGGGTCAGCTGCCCACATCAGAGTTTAGTTTATGGAACAAACTAAAAGAGAGGCCAAAATGGCGGCGCCCCTGGCGGCAGCGGCTGGCATACAGCTCCGACCAACTTGCGGAGATTTTCATAAAAATATACCGCCAAACCCGCTGCAAACTGCTTATCTACCTAGCAGATCATCACTGGACCGCCAGCGCCTGCTGGAGTTACGATCATGCAGTGTATTTGGACTTGTAACCACCACTACGCTCGACTGTTTACGTGACTCCGGAGTGCTCCGGGATCAAGCCCCGGAGGCCTGCGATGCAGCGGACCCGTCGAGCGGCTCACGCTGGAGGAGAGCCAAGCGAAAGCGGTGCAGCCGGCCGAGGAAACGCGGCTGTCGCGGAGGTTTAGCAGCCAAGCTAAAGGCTAACCCCCACAGACCATCGCTTCCATCCATCCTGCTCTCCAACGTACGTTCACTGGATAACAAAACTGACCATCTTCAACTCGAGCTCTCAGCAAAGAGGGAGTTTAGGGACTGTTGCGCTCTCATTCTGACAGAGACGTGGCTCACATCATCAACCCCGGACAACGCCATTAGCCTGGAGGGGCTAGCTACTTTCCGCGCCGACAGAAACAAAGAACTCAGCGGTAAGAGCCGAGGAGGCGGACTCTGTGTTTACATCAATAACAACTGGTGTAAAAATGCTAGAATAGTCTCAAGTTTTTGCTCTCCGGACATAGAGCTTCTGACTGTTAGCTGCAGACCCTTTTACCTGCCCAGAGAGTTCACTGTTGTTACCATCACAGCGGTGTATGTCCCCCCCAGCGCTGATACAAAGGAGGCCATGAGTGTTCTCTATCGGACTGTCTCTGAGCTGCAATCTACACACACAGAGGGCGTTTTCATCATTGCTGGAGATTTTAATCAGGCGAATATGAAAACTGTTCTCCCTCATTTTTATCAACACGTGGATTTTGCTACTCGTGGAGAGAACACTCTGGACTTAGTTTATACAAACATAAAAGACGCATTCAGAGCAGCCCCCCGCCCCCACATCGGCTCCTCAGACCACCTTTCTGTGATGCTAATTCCTGCATACAGACCCCTGCTGATCAGAGCAAAACCTACAGTGAAGCAGGTGAGGGTCTGGACGGAGGGGGCCATGGATGCACTCCAGGACTGCTTTGAATGCTCTGAATGGGACATGTTCAAATCAGCAGCAACATATGACAACAAGATCAATGTTGATGAGTACGCCATGACTGTTTCAGCCTACATCAACCACTGCATCGAGGACGTCAGCACAACAAAGACCATCACCACCCGAGCCAACCAACGGCCCTGGATGACTGAGGAGGTCCGCCACGCGCTAAAAGCACGGAACTCAGCCTTCAAGTCTGGTGACAAGGAGGCACTGAGGACAGCTAGAGCCACCCTGAACCGTGCCATCAGGTTAGCAAAGCGGAACCATAACCAGAAAATCCAGCATCTGTTCCACGACGCCAACAACACCAGGAGCATGTGGCAAGGCATACGGGCGATCACAGACTACAACACGCCCCCTGCCCCGGTGGATGAAGTTGATGCTGACTTCCTAAACGGACTAAATAACTTCTTTGGGAGGTTTGAGGCACTAAATCGCACTCCAGCAGTGAAGGCTGTCCCACATCAGGAAGAGGAGGTTCTCTGCCTTGACACAGCCGACGTGTGGAAGACTCTGAGGAGGGTCAACCCGCGGAAGGCCCCAGGTCCCGACAACATACCTGGGCGGGTGCTCAAGGAGTGTGCAGGTCAGCTAGCTGGTGTCCTCACGGACATTTTTAACACCTCGCTGGAGCAAGCCACAGTGCCAGCATGCTTCAAGTCTGCCTCCATCATCCCAGTGCCAAAGAAACCTCAAGTCACCTGCTACAACGACTACCGGCCCGTCGCACTGACTCCCATCATGATGAAGTGCTTTGAAAGGCTGGTAAAGGAACACATCGTCTCCAGTCTCCCCCCAACACTCGACCCGTTCCAGTTTGCCTACCGGCGAAACCGCTCCACTGAGGACGCCATCTCCTCTGCTCTTCACCTGAGCCTGGCCCACCTGGAGGAGAAGAACACCCACGTGCGGATGCTGTTCCTGGACTTCAGTTCAGCGTTTAACACCATCATCCCACAGCACCTGGTGGGAAAGCTGGAACATCTGGGCTTCAACACACCCCTTCGAAACTGGCTGCTGGACTTCCTCACCAACAGACCTCAGTCAGTCCGGGTCGGTCAGAACACCTCTGATGTCATCACCCTCAGCACGGGCTCCCCTCAGGGCTGCGTCCTGAGCCCCCTGCTGTTCACCCTGATGACATATGACTGCGTCCCCAGGTTCACCACCAATCACATCGTGAAGTTTGCGGACGACACCACGGTGGTGGGCCTCATCAGGGACGACAACGACCGGGACTACAGAGAGGAGGTGGAGCAGCTGGTGGACTGGTGCAGTGAAAACAGTCTGATCCTGAACGTGGAGAAGACGAAGGAGATCATCGTCGACTTCAGGAAAAACCGCCCCCACCATGCTCCACTGCTCATCAACAGCTCAGCTGTGGAGGTGGTCAGCAGCACAAAGTTCCTGGGGGTGCACATCACGGACAACCTCACCTGGACTGTAAACACTTCATCTCTAGTGAAGAGGGCACAGAAGCGCTTGTACTTTCTGCGGAGGATGAGGAGAGCCCGCCTGCCCCCGCCCATCCTCACAACCTTCTACAGAAGCACCATAGAGAGCGTTCTGACCAGCTGTCTCTCTCTGTGGTGTGGAGGCTGCAGAGCTTCTGACTGGAAGAATGTGAGGAGGGTGGTGAGGACAGCGGAAGGAATCATTGGGGCTCCTCTTCCCTCCATTAAGGACATTTCATCACAGCGCTGTGTGTCCCGAGCCCGTAATATCATCAAAGACCCCTCACACCCCCACCATGGACTGTTCTCCCTGCTGCCCTCTGGAAAGAGGTTCCGCAGCATCCGCTGCAGATCCACCAGGTTGTGCAACAGCTTCTTCCCCACTGCCATCAGACTGTTGAACCTTTGATCCACAATCCGAACTCTGCACCTATTGCACATTATCGGGCATCAAATGCTGCTGAACTTTTAACTTTTAGCCCTTTAAATTGTTCATCTCATTGTATTTTTCAATAACGCATTTTTTGCACAAATGCCATTTTTGCACTGAACCACTGCAACTTGCACACTGTCTCTTATCCTCTGCACTGTTCACACTTTGACCACTGCTGCACTTTTTGTATTTTTCTATAACTCGTGCCATTGTGAAATATCAATGCAACGTTCATAAGCTGTATGTAACGCAATTTCGTTCTGTATGCACCCTGTGCATACAAAATGACAAATAAAGAAGTCTAAGTCTAAGTCTAAGTCTAAGTCTAAAAACCAACGACTGCTGTTGTTCCAGGGCCAATCAGGAGACCCAGGTGACCAAGGAGAAGCAGGACCACAGGGAGCCAGAGGAGCACCGGTATGAGACCCCTGCTGGTTTAAAGAGGGTGAAGCCAATGTGGTTCTGGCTCTGATAGTCAGAGTTCTGTTTCAGGGTCCGGATGGCAGCGATGGTTTCGGACCTCCCGGATCTCCAGGTTCAAAGGTAGAGCTGATCTCTGAGACGTCAGGAGCTCTGGATGTTTCTCATCACTTCGTTTAACTGGAGGAAATGTTTGTTTTCCAGGGAGATGCTGGATTCCCTGGTTATCCCGGCCTGCTGGTGAGTCTGATTCCAATGACTCCAGATCAGATTAAACCAGATTAAATATCACTGCCGTTAATCTGGAGTTCGTTATCTGCTGAGGCCGTTCAGTCAGAGCATCAGTCTCACTGCTGGGATCTTATAGAGCCTGATCCAACGTGGAGGAAGATCTGCTCCAACGCCTGATGCTGTGAACGAGCTCAAAGTTCAGCTCGCACAGATGGAAATGAATCAGCTCAAGTTAATAGTTCACTTTTTCAACAAATTAAATTTCCCAAACCTAAAAATGAACTACTTTTAGTTCATTTGATAAATGAATCCTCAATCCTCCTCAATAGAACCTCATATTTAACCCTTTAAAGGAAAAGTCTGGTCAGCAAGAAATAACCAAAGGATCGGTATTTATACGTAAAACTAATACTTTCGCAGTGATTTAATTAATTTAGCGGCGAACAATTTTTTTAGTCCTGATCACTGAGTCTGGGAGCCGCCATTTTTGCCCAAATATAGTAAACAGTGTGTGAAATACATATTTGGGGGGGTCCCCATTTCCCGATTGTTGCGCAATACCGATCTAAATTTTCTCAATATGCAGTAGGCCTATAACATGTCAAAGTCAGCTTTAATGTCAATTCTTTACATTCAACAGACATACAAGGACTGGAGAGAACGTTTCTCATTCACTAACAGTGAAACCGATAAAGTGCACAGGCACAACAGATAAGATCAGTTCCTAAGACTAAAATTTAAACTGTCGATTTCACAATAAAATATAAAATGTACAATTATATAAAATATACAATACTTATGCTAGTGCAAAAAGGCAGATGGCAATGGCAGCAGAAAAACTATTATTATTACCAATTATGTAAGATATATTTGTAACAGTAACAGTGCAAAAGAACAGTAAATAAATATAGTAATAATAGTAGTGCAGGAGACAGGAGACAGTCAGTCTATGAAAACACACACACGGAAAAAGACTGTCTCTCTCTCTGTCTGTCTGTGTCTGTCTTTCACACACACACACACATGTCCTGCTTTAATCCAGTTTCTGACGAATGGAACTGTCACAGTCTTGGTTTTCCATTTGTTGTCCTCTGCTGCCTTCTTGTGTCCTCTTTCCCTAGCTCTGTTTTCTGCTCTGCCCTCACCTGTTTCCAATCCTCTCGTTAGCCCTCTCTTTGTCTCTGTCCCCTCTAAAAGCCTCCCTCTTCAGTTCCTGTTTGCTGGATCCTCGTCTAACGTCTGTCTGCTTTCCTCGTCTCTCCCTGGCTCCTAGAGTTTGGTTTTCTCCTGATGTCTCCCTGGATCTGGTTCGTTTGTAATTTCTGTTGGATTTTTGATTCCTGCCTCAGCTCCTGTGAACCTCATTAAACCCACCTAAATTCACCTCTGCCAACTTGCCTCTGCATTTGGGTCCTCATTCAACACCAAATCCTGACAGGAACTGGGTCGAATTTGTCCAGAGGAGGTCCGTTGAGGTCCACAAACAGGAGTGAAGACCTGCTGTCTTCATGCAATCTGTTCCGCGTTGCCCGTGTTACTAACTGCTGAGAAGCACATGGCTAATTTACATACGCTAACAGGATTGGCTGGCTCCACTTGGCAAAAAACAGAACATATTTGTGAATAAAGGTTTTGAATTTTAAATACTGGACATGTTGAGCTTAAAAACATTTTAGTGACCATTAGCGACAAAAAAAACATTATTTTTAATTTTTTTTGACACAATTTAAGACCCCTTTATATTTTGCTTTTGAGGTTTTCAGGTGGACCCCCCCGTATTTCACACTCTGATAGTAGCCCCTCCCTCCTGCCATCTTCCAGCAGTGACGTCACGGTGCGGTAAGCCTAGCGCCATTCTCCCCGCTTTCCAAGCTAAATCAATGGGAACTACTAGACACATCTGCAATCAACAACAATTATTGAAGATTTCCAGAGGACTTCACCATTGAAATTCACCAGAGCTATAGTGAAACTGACAATGCCCCAACAAAAGTTAGTGCCAACCATGAAATTTTGACAGAAAGAAACCCAGATTATAGATATAGATTATGTTCCAGGACAGGTTCTGCTATTTATCTGTTTTTGGAAGAGAACCTCTCCTTGGATCTGTGGAACGTTGTTGGGTTCCCCTTCCTGATGTTCCTCAGGACGGCTCGTGATGATTGGCTCTTTGTTCTGATGTCTTCAATTTATTGTTCTGATGATAAACGGGCGGCTTCTGCTCTGCAGGGGGAAGATGGGCTGCAGGGGCCCAAAGGAGAACCTGGACGCAGAGGGAACCGAGGTCGACCGGTGAGTTCTGTCCCATCAGGACCAGAATAAGTTTTTTCCCTCTGCTGGGATGTCTGTGATGTGTGTTTGGATTGATGCAGGGGAACTCGGGCCGACCGGGAGAATCTGGAATGTTTGGAGAACCGGGATACCCAGGACACAGAGTGAGTGAGGGATTAACTTTTACTCTCCTGAACTTTCTGATGAGTTAAAGATGGTTCCGTCTGACATGAAGGTCCAGCTGTGCTGACAGGCAGGACGTCCTGCAGAGAGGATCCAGAACATGGAAAGTCAAAAAAACAAACAAAAAACAAATTTTTTTTCAGTATATATCAGTTACCAAAGCTCAAAGGTAAAAGGTTATAACCTTAACCCTTCTGGCTGTAGGAAGCATAGACATAAAGAGTAGACCTCGCTTTGACTGACGTGGCGCCATCTTGGAGAGGTCGACCTGCTACTCTAACCAACTGGTTTAAGCAGAACAGGAGGATGCTTCAGCACTGCAGCGTATTTTTGTTGAAACAGTCTGTTGACATCAGGGTTCGAGGGAGAACGTTGTGAAGACATCAGAGCTTTGGAAGAAATTAGTAAATAAACAGCAGATATTACTGACAGACTTTAAAAAAATCCAATCCAATTTTATTTGTTAAGCACTTAAAAACAACCACAGCTGACCAAAGTGCTGTAAGGAAAAAAAAAAAATAAATCCAACATAAAACAGTAAAACACAAACCGGCTAAAATATGGGTAAAATAACATTCACATAAAGGTAAAATATTAATTAATACATATAAAAAACAAACAAAATACTGTACTGTACAGTGTTTTTACAAATATAAATACTGTGCATCTGAATAATAGATAATATATACACACTGTGTGCAGAATTATTAAGCGAGTTGTATTTTTGAGGATTATTTTTATTATTGGGCCATAATTGTGTTCTATTCAACCTAAAAGACTCATTAATATTGAAGTTTCATAGATTTGGAAGTTAATGTTTTTTGGCCATTTTATGAGGTAAATATTACTGCGCAGAATTATTAGGCAATGTAATAAAAAACAGATATATACCCATCTTACTTGTTTATTTTTATCAGGTAAACCAATATAACTACTCAAAATTCAGAAATAAACATTTGCGACATTCAAAACCAAAAAAACAAAAATCAGTGACCAGTATAGCCTTCTTTCTCCACCATGACGCTCTAAATCCTTCCATCCATAGATTCTGTCAGAGTCTTGATCTGTGTGCGATCCTCATGGCGTGCAGCAGCCATCACAGCCTCTCAGACACTGTTTTCCCTCCCTGTAGATCTCCCCTTTCATGAAGGACCACAGGTTCTCCATGGGGTTCAGATCAGGTGACCAAGGCGGCCATGTCATTATTTTCTCTCCTTTTAGCCTTTTTCTGGCCAGCCACGCTGTGGTGTATTCTGATGCGTGGGACGGAGCATCGTCCTGCAGGAATATCAGGTGTTTCTGGAATGATGGCGTCTTCTTCTTGTACCGCTGTTTGAAGTAGGTGTCTCCCAGAAACTGGCAGTAGGTCTGGGAGTTGATCTTGACTCCATCATCAACCTGAAAAGGTCCCACAGGCTCATCTTTGATGATAGCAGCCCATAGCATTACCCCACCTCCACCTTGCTGGCGTCTGAGTGGATAAGGAACTTGCTGCCCTTTACTGATCCAGCCTGGTGCCCATCCATCCATCTGGCCCATCTAGACTCTCTTTCATTCCATCAGACCAAAACACCTTGGAGGAATCAGTCTGCAGAGATTTTTTGGCCCAATCTTGACGTTTTGTCTTTTGTGTGTTGTTCAAAGGTGGCCTTTTTTCAGCTTTCCTTACCTTGGCCAGGTCCCTGAGGATTGAGCACCTTGTGCTTCTCGGCGCTCCAGACATGTTGCAGCTCAGAAATATGTGTGTGTATATATATATATATATATATATATATATATATATATATATATATATATATATATAGAATAGAATATTCTATGATTCTTAACCCCACTAAGATATTTAAAAAATTGAACCATGTTTGTTTTCAGTTAAATAAAAAAAAGCTGTGAAAATTAGTTCAATATTCAGCGAGTTAAAGTTTATTAAAATTAATTATATTCCTGCTCACACATTGCACAGTGGAGCTGCCCAAGTTTGCACCACCAAATCACGTCAGCGCCGATAGATAAAACCGATCGATGCGGGGTCTACTCTTATGTTATATCTATGATAGGAAGGGTTGAAGTCCTCCTTTTTCTAGCACCAAGATGGTTGCAGGACTTCTGAATGAAGGAGATTTCAGGGACAAAGTCCTCTGGACAGAGAAGACCAGCTTAGAGATATGAAACCATGATGGAGGAAACCGAAACCAGCTGATCAGCCTGAACGCACAATGACAGCTTTAAAGTATGGTGGGGGAGGGTTGATGATTTGGATTCATAGTATTACAGCTAAACAAGTTCTGGGCTTCAGAAGAGTTCAGGAAATGGGGCCGACGAAGCAGAAATATTCTGTCAAATAGAGAAACAAGTCATGATTATCTGTTTGATTCTCCTCAGGGTCCCAGAGGTCCTCCTGGAACCAGTCCTATGACGGTAAGTCCATCTGAGAAATGTTCTCACCGTCTCTGTTAAGCCTTTATTAACACTCATCTGCTCTGTCAGGAGTGTCAGCTGGTCACCTACATCAGAGACAACTGTGGTGAGTTCACAGCTCCTCCAAGGTTTCCTAAAAAGCATCATCAGATCAAACCTGCAGCTCACTCTTAACTGTCTCATCTGTCCTCACAGCTTGCTCCATCGGTACGTATCTCCACTCCATCAAAGACCTGCTGCTGGCACCATGCAGGTCCCTCCAGACCTCAGAGGAAGAGGGAGACTCACAGCCTCATTGCAACATCTGTGCTTTACCAGTCAGACATGTCTGACCGCTGTTCTGACAGATCAGCATACCCCGTCATACCAGCATATACACAGTAAAACGCATGCACGCGCATGCACAAAGCGGCATTTAAACAACTTATGTTACATTTGCAAATCAGTCTGTCAAGATCAGCATACACATAACCGTTGTGTTAGCTGCTACGTCAGGGTGAGCAGTAGCTAAAATAAAAAGCAAGGCTGTCTGTGTTTAAAGCAGTTTAGCTTTAAATTCTGTTTACCTTGGACTAAAACTTTTTGCTTATCATATCACGCATCAATAAAGTAGCGATGTAGACTTCTTTCCACTTATAGTGTCAGACGTATGCAAATTGGACTTACTGCGCATGCGTATTGACTATGGGTATGCTGGTCTGATGGAACACCGGTTCAGTTTTTAGAATAAAGCATAAAAGTTACCTGTAGGTTCTTATTTAGTCCAATAGAAAATGACTCTCTAGACTTCTGAAGTGTTTTAGTAAAGAGTTTTTGATTAAAACTCAAAAGAAGAGCTTGAAACTTAGCACTACAGATCGATTCAAATATGGACTGAAAATGGTGGGGTTCTTATTGGGCCTGCAGGACTTTTCCAGGCTGATTTAAGGGAAGCGAACATAAGGAGGAAAAATCAAGCAAAATCATGGCAACAGAACAAAATGCACTGCAAAAAAAACAATCTAAAAATAACTAAAAATGAGGAGGCGAATCAGGTAATCAGCAGATGGAATTAGGATTTCTGCCCTAGAAATAAAATAATTAGATATTATCTACTTGATAAAAACAATAAAGTTGTTTTTTTGAAATCTTACATGAAGCATGTGCTGGTGAAGATTCTCAGTCATCCAGGTCATAGTCATTCCAAAAAGGTTTAAAAAAACCTAATCCATTACAATAACACCATTACAGGGAAACCGAGCACCTCGCCTCTTCAGCCAGGCCAACAATTCCCTTTAACGACCCCCGTTACAGAGGTATAGGCAGGTTTTGGGTTTTACAGGCTAACAAAGAAACAAAACGACTTCCCATTCCAAAGGGGTGGACCCGTTCTTCAGGTCCAATTTGCATGTTTGCAAGGCTTTGTTCGATTAATGTATAAAAACCTGGAACTCAACGCTTTTTCTGACATTTTAATTTGAAAAAGTTTCCTGGATCGGAAGAAAAACGTCTTCAAACTTGGAAAAAAAAAAATATTTTGGAATACATCAAGCATAAATCATTTAATTTCCTTCTAAAATCAAAGGAAAAAAATATAAATAATTATTTTTCAACAAAGTTGATTGAAAGTTTCCATGAGTCCACAATAATTTCGAAAGTTTTTGAATTGAAATAAAATTATTCTATTACCTTGAATGCCTTAAAAATGCAATGAGAACAAATTCATAGTTGAAAATCCATAAATGTTTGAAACACTGACTGGTGTAACAACTTTTCTTTCTTCAATGTTCTTTAACAGCTCTGCTGGATGCTAATGCTGTGTTTGCAATATGTTTGCTCAAGATAAAGCCAGCTGTTTAGAGCGTAATCTTATTCAGATTTTATTACATTTTTGTTTATTTACCTGCATAAATAAACCATAGAACATTTACATCAATAAAAGTTTACTTCAAATAAAGTTTTTAACATTTTTATGGAAGAAATAAATGATGGATAAAAAAATCCTTCATGTTTAACCCTTTCTTTCAGTTCTGCTGAACTCACATTGTTCTTCTCTGGTTTTTAGGCCAGGCAGATTGCCCCGCATATCCCACTGAGCTGCTCTTTGGCCTGGATATGTCCGATGCTGTGACACAAGCCGCCTTTGACAGGCAGCGCTCTGCCCTCCTGTCTCTGCTGGAAGACATTCATATCGCAGAGAGCAACTGTCCGAGAGGTGCCCGCGTCGCTGTGGTGGGATTCAGCTCCCACACCAAATACCTGATCCGCTTCCAGGACTACCGCAGGAAGACTCAGCTGATAGAAGCAGTGCAAAACATCGCCTTGGAGAGGACATCCAACAAGCCCTACTTAGGCGCTTCAATGCGCTTTGTTGGGCAAAACGTCTTCAAACGTGTGAGAGCTGGAACGATGCTGAGGAAGGTGGCGGTTTTCTTTTCAAATGGGCGGACAGAAGACGTGGACGACATTGTCACTGCTCTAATGGAATACCGAGCTCTTAACATCATCCCAGCAGTTATTTCTCTGACCAGGTCTCTTGAAATAAGAAATGCTATAGAGGTAGGTCTGCTGCTCTGAGGTTTCATTTACTGATACCAGTCAAAGATTTTACTAAACCTGGCATTTCAAAAAAAAAAAAATCTGATCACATATGTTTTTTCATATTTTTGTTTAAAACTGAAACTTTAAACCAATGTGATTTCATTCTTTGGCAGATTACATGATCCCATTTGGCTGTATTCTGTTTGCAGATGATGTGAATCTGTTTGCAGATGATGTGAATCTGTTTGCAGGTGACGTCAAGCCGTTTGCAGGCCATGTGAATCTGTTTGCGTGAATCTGTTTGAAGACGATGTGAAGCTGTTTGCAGACGATGTGAAGCTGTTTGCAGACGATGTGAATCTGTTTGCAGATGATGTGATCTGTTTGCAGGTGATGTCAAGCCGTTTGCAGGCCATGTGAATCTGTTTGCAGACGATGTGAAGCTGTTTGCGTGAATCTGTTTGCAGACGATGTGAAGCTGTTTGCGCGAATCTGTTTGCAGACGATGTGAAGCTGTTTGCAGACGATGTGAATCTGTTTGCAGGTGATGTGAATCTGTTTGCAGGTGATGTGAATCTGTTTGCGTGAATCTGTTTGCAGACGATGTGAATCTGTTTGCAGATGATGTGATCTGTTTGCAGGTGATGTCAAGCCGTTTGCAGGCCATGTGAATCTGTTTGCAGACGATGTGAAGCTGTTTGCGTGAATCTGTTTGCAGACGATGTGAAGCTGTTTGCGTGAATCTGTTTGCAGACGATGTGAAGCTGTTTGCAGACGATGTGAATCTGTTTGCAGGTGATGTGAATCTGTTTGCAGGTGATGTCAAGCCGTTTGCAGGCCATGTGAATCTGTTTGCAGACGATGTGAATCTGTTTGCGTGAATCTGTTTGCAGACGATGTGAATCTGTTTGCAGATGATGTGAATCTGTTTGCAGGCCATGTAAATCTGTTTGCGTGAATCTGTTTGCAGACGATGTGAATCTGTTTGCAGACGATGTGAATCTGTTTGCAGATGATGTGAATCTGTTTGCAGGCCATGTAAATCTGTTTGCGTGAATCTGTTTGCAGACAATGTGAAGCTGTTTGCAGACGATGTGAAGCTGTTTGCAGATGATGTGAATCTGTTTGCAGGCCATGTAAATCTGTTTGCGTGAATCTGTTTGCAGACAATGTGAAGCTGTTTGCAGACGATGTGAAGCTGTTTGCAGATGATGTGAATCTGTTTGCAGGCCATGTAAATCTGTTTGCAGATGATGTGAATCTGTTTTCAGATGATGTGAATCTGTTTGCGTGAATCTGTTTGCAGACGATGTGAATCTGTTTCCAGACTATGTGAATCTGTTTGCAGACAATGTGAATCTGTTTGCAGATTATGTGAATCTGTTTTCAGATGATGTGAATCTGTTTGCATGAATCAGTTTGCAGACAATGTGAAGCCGTTTGCTGGCGATGTGTTTCTATTATGTAGAGAAAATGTGATTAAGTTAGCAGATCATGATTTTAGCGTTTGATGTGATTCTATTTGCAAATAAATCAAAATGATGTCCTGATATTCCCTCCACACACTAACAGCAGCTGTTTCCTTACAGGTTGATGACTCTGGTCATTCTATCTTCATACCACTGTTAAGGCAGGACAACCTGGTTAATGACTTGAAGAGGATAAAGAATTGTGCAATCTGTTATGGTAAAAAAAACTAAATGTATACTTTGTGTTTCATGATGTTTTAAATCAGAAAGCAAAATGACCAGGATAATCCTGAAATATTGATCTTACTTTCTTGGACCAACTATGGGTAAACAGGCATTTAGGGCCTGTGAAAGACCCTCAGAAACCAGAAAAACTAAACCCCTTCACAAGGTTATAGTAACAGCATGTGAACATTTGAAATGATGATGTGAAATGAGTTCCGGATCCAAAAGTGTTGGTCCTTAGTTCTGCTTTAGTTTAGATGAAATGTTGAGATTTAATGATGTATGAAGCATATGAACATTGGCTGATTTTATCCAGATACATGGTAAATACTGCATAAAATGTTCTGCCCCTTTTACAGACCCATGCAGACGCTCACAGGAGTGCTCTTTCATCCTGGACCCGCTGCCGCCTCAGCAGGTAGATGTGGACCTGGCTATAGTTCTAGACAGCTCCGGGGAAATGCAGGCAGATGAATACACTGGTGCCAAGCAGCTGCTGGGTTCTCTAGTGGAGCAGCTGGATGTAAGTTCTCAGCCCCGCAGACCTGGAACCCAGGCTCGCATTGCTGTGGTCCAGCAGAGCGGCACCAAGGAGGCCAGGGTGGAGTTCAACCTTCAGACTTACCAGAGTCAGGCTGTAATGAAGCAACACCTGATGGAGAAAATGCAGCAGCAGAGTCGTTCCTCGGTTTTGGGACAAACGCTTGACTTCACCCTCAATGAGGTGCTGCTGAAGGCCAGTCCGGCACGCAAAAGCAGGGCTATGGTAACCATGGTGGCCTCCCAGACAGCTTACATGGACAGAGAGCGGCTGGACTACATCTCCCTGAAGGCCAAGTGTGCGGGCGTGGCCATGTTTGTGGTGGCAGTCGGTGATCGGTACAACCAGACGCAGGTGCAGCAGTTGGCTGGTTCACCCACCCATCAGCACCTGATCCACCTAAACCGGCTGACGGCTGAGGAACAGGGCTATGTCCAGCGCTTCTTCAGAGTCTTCCTCTCTGTCCTCAACAGTAAGAGCTCAGTATTACAGCAAGAAAAGCTGCAGAACTGCTGCTGAAACACACCCGAACTAAAGCTGGTTCAAATCAGAGTCAAGCTGTAACACTGTGTTGGTCAAGTAAGCTTCCCACACAGCCCTAAGGAACAGTCACGTAAAAAGGATAATATTGAAGAACAAATAATATGGTAAAGTGAAATACCAAAAAATATTAAATAAACACAATAGGATAAGAATAATCAAATCTGTAAATTTGAAAAATAAAAATGAAATATCTATAAGCTTTGGGCCTTTAAAAGCATGCTAACTTAATAACACAACAGAAGTGGAACAAAAATCTGCAGAGATCTGCTCACCCTGCCTAGTCGGAGCTTCTCTATATGCAGTCAGTGTGACATGGGGAAAAAATCGGATCGGAGATTAAAAAGACGTTCGTAAGCTGTGTGTTCAGGGGTTTAGGCTCTGCTCAAGAATGAACAGAAATTCAGACAAAACTCAAAAGTGTTCAGTATTAAACTTTCTTTTCATTCTAGTTCTGCATTGGGATTGATTGTAGCTGCTAAATCTTTTTTTCTTTTTATTAACCAAACATCATACTATCATAATTTAATAAAAACTATCATAATTTAAGAAATTAAATGAAAAAATCCACCTGTGATCAGAAAATGGTTTTTATGCTTCGAGGATATGTGGAAGGATGGTGAGGTGGATGTTTCTGAACTGACATTGCCTCCAAAAACCCAAACAAGGAGCCCAGCTGTTACAGCTGGAATTAAAAAGACTTCCTGCATTTTCACCACATTCTGATCATACCTGCCCTCTGTTTGCAGCATTGTTTGTTGCGGCTGCCTTAAATAAACCCAATCTTTTCCCCCAAACTCTCCATTTTAACAGCCGTTCGCACAAACACATAAACTTAATTTTAAATAGGGTGTCTGCATCACTCCAGTGGATCATCTGCAGCACATCTACTTGTTGCTCATATTTTGTTGTCTTTAGAGGCATTGCAGGCAAGCATTGTCAGGTGTTGATTATGATGAGTTACCCATGAATGTTTTCCAGAGGGAAGAAACTCCTACCCTCCTGCTTCCCTGAGAGAGATCTGTGCCAGGCCGAACGGTCAGGAGCAAGGACAGACCTCCTTAACAGAGTAAGAACCTTCACCAAAACCAACAAACTCAGCTTCACTTGTTCATATTTAAAATATTTAAATCAGTTGTGCACCTGGGTTTGAATCAACCATTAGTAAATGTTAACAATTTTAATGTGTAATTGCAATTCGTTATTATTAGTCATTAACCAAACCAAAACCAGTGCCTCTTAATATTCCAGCTGTTGACTTGAGTGTTTAGCATGAGGCCTTTAGCGCAGCAGATCGCTGATATTAAAACACACTAAGAACGTGTTCGATTTCAGCAGCTGCGTCAAAAATAAGACGGCTAGAAGAGTTTAGCTGTAAAGTCAAACAGGTCCAGCCTTCTCCGGCTTTCACCGCCTATTGCTTAGTGTACGCTTTGTTGCCCAGCAACCATGACAGTGGACACCCATACCAGGCAAAGAATGGATGCCGAAGTTCTCAATATTAAACTCAGTGCTAATTATGTTTCCGACGAGCTTTAGTAGCACCGTGTGAATATCAGATTTATAGTTCCCACTAGTTGCAGAGATATTGGACAGATAAATGTCAGCCAAACCCATTTACGCAGGGACAGATAAAAAAGGCCTGGTTTATGCTGCATAAAAAGACCTTTAAGGACTTGCTAACACAGCTGACCCGATATGAAAAAGACTTGGACTCGCCCTGCTGTACAGTAAGCCATCTTTAGCCTGTTTCACCTAAGCATTTTTCAGCCTGAAACCATGCAGACGAGCCACCTCCCTGCTCCCTCTGGACGTCCACCAATCAGTGGAGCCCCTGTTTTTTTTTTTTTGCCTGCTGTGAGGTTCCAGAAAATATGCTGGGAGTAAATAACAACAATATCAATATAGTTTATTTCTATAGCTCCAATTCACATCATGTCATCTCAGGTCACTTTCCAGTTCACCAGATCATCCGGTCAGATTGATTCAAAGTTTTCTATCTAAGGAAAACAAGCTGATTGCATCGACTCATTGACTCTTCAGCAATCCCTCACACTAAGCATGCTTGTAGCGACAGTGGAGAGGAAAAACTCCCTTTGAACAGGAAGAAGCCTCCAGCAGAACCAGGCTCAGTGTGAGCGGCCATCTGCTGAGGCCCACTGGGGTTCAAGGAGACAGAAGCAGACATAGAAAAAGAAGCATAGATACAAAAGGCAACTGTCAACCAGCTCCACAGGCGGTCCCGTCCAGGAAACACACAGCCAGGCAGACGAGCTCCGAGCCAGCTCCCATGTCAGAGGATGAAGAGAGCACATCCAGTTAGTCACAGTCTGAGAAACAGGACTACACTGGAAAACAGGCCAAGAGAAAAAGCAGAGAGAGCAGAACGTTAGAGATTGAACTAACAGATTCTGCAGAGTGGGAGAATAGAGATAGAATGAAGCAGAATGATGAAAAAGGGGTCCCTATGTCCTCCAGCAGTCTAAGCCTATAGCAGCATAACTATAGAGATAGCTCAGGATAACCTGAGCCACTCTAACTAGAAGCTTTATCAAAAAGGAAAGTTTTAAGCCTAGCCTTAAAAGTAGACAGGGTGTCTGCCTCACGGACTAAAACTGGTAGTTGGTTCCACAGGAGAGGAGCCTGAGAACTAAAAGATCTGCCTCCCATTCTACTTTTAGAAGTTCTAGGAACCACTAGTAAACCTGCAGATTGAGAGCGAAGTGCTCTGTTAGGAACATAAGGAACAATCAGATCTCTGATATCAGATGGAGCTTGGCCATTTAAGGCTTTATATGTGAGAAGGAGGATTTTAAATTCTCATCTGGATTTAACAGGAAGCCAATGAAGAGAAGCCAGGATAGGAGAGATATGATCTCTCTTTTTCATTTTCATCAGAACTCTGGCTGCAGCATTTTGGATCAGCTGAAGGCTTTTAGCCTTAACAACAGCAGCTCTGATGCCTGTTTTCAAAGACAAAGATTTATTTTTAACCTGTTTAAACCCGACCAGACTTCATCCTCTGGTTGCTGTACTTCTGATCTGATGCCTGCCTCACACAGGGGTGGGTTGAATTCAACCCCCCTTGCATTGACCCTTTAACTGACCAATGGGCACAGCTGAATGTGTTTAAGAACTTTTGTCCCACAGTGAAGATGGAGGTTTCTTCTTCCCTCCTTCCTTCTGCTTCCAGGCAGGAACTGGTTAAACTGGGGTCAATCAGCTACCAGACATTCTCTCCAACTGTCCAAAAACAGGACAGTTGGACAGAAGGTTACTAGTTTTTAGGAGTTTTATCCTTTAAAAACAGCCGAAGTCCAGAGAAGAAGTCTTCTGTAGCGGGGGAGGTCTAGTTCCTGGATCTGAAGCTGATGTCCCTGCTGTCCTCAGTATTCTCGCTGACGCTGGGCAGCCTGAGGGGGAGGAGTTTCAGGAGCAGACCGGGGGCCAGACTCAGACCGACCTGCTGGACATCATCAAAACACCAAGCAGAGGAGACTGGCACGGAATGGACCTGAAAGGTACCAGACTGACGGCCAGTCCAAACAGTCAACCCGATCCCTGCAGACTGTAGTTTTGTGTGACTCTGTTTGTGCATGCGGTCTGGTGTAGTAGCTACCGTCTGCGTGTCCGGGTCAGTAAATGTGTGTGTTCTGCTTGCAGCCCGCTGTCAGCTGGATGCTGATATGGGTTTCCCGTGTACCGACTATGTCCAACGGTGGTTCTTTGACAGAACCATCGCTGCATGCTCCCCCTTCTGGTTCGGCGGCTGCGGCGGAAACGCCAACCGCTTTAGCACGGAGCATGAATGTTTCCTGACGTGTGGCGTCCAGAGTAAGTCCCTGTGTGACCCGCTCCCACCCGTAGAACCGCCTCAGCTTCCATGTGTGTCTGTGTCTGCACGCTCTGCTTCCGCTGTCAGATAACAGAGGTTCCTCAGCAGGTTCTGCAGCCAAACTCTCCAGCAGTGAGCCAGGTTTCCTGTTTTATTGCTCAAATTTCCTGTTTTTAGAGTCGATCCTCTTCATTCATGACCTTTGGACGCCTCTCAGCCTTCTGGAGATCTCCTCCAAGTGGAGGGGGAGCCGTTCTTTCTCAGGTTCTAATGCCTCTGTCGCACCTTGACGATTTACACCAGCGTACGCCCGACGTACGGAAAATCAGGCAAAAACAGTGACATACGCAATATAGTAGCAGGCTCGGACTGGGAACCATTTTCAGGCCTGGCATTTTTCCATCTACACTGGCCCACTTATAGACCACCGATGTGCATCATTTCATGGTCATTACGCTGCACTGCGTTATGCATAAGTTAGGCTGATCTATACTTTGAAACCAGCTCATCTGCGTTTGTGTCGCAGTGAACTCAGAGACGTCCCCCCGCCCCTTCCACAGACGCTCTGCTGCACCTCTCCCAAAATTGTAGGTGACTGGAGACAGGAGGCCTCTGATTGGTCAAATCTACATCCGCTCAGCTCTATGCATATTTCTTGTTTGGAACCTTACCGGCTTGTTTTGTTTGGAGAAGCTAGAGCGAGGTGCGCGAGAACGCTAGCCTCGTGAGACCATCCTGATCTCGCGAGCTTTCAAGGTTTCACTCGCATATCAGTCTGGAGACTCTCTGTTAAAGAAAATTTGGAGCCGTTCACCAAACGAACGTCCAATCAGCGTTGGCTTTGAGGCGGGTTGAGGTGTGACGCAATGAGAAGCGCGACGGTTCAGTCTAAAGAACATGGCGGCTTCAGCCGATGAAACTAGCGTTAGCGTGGCTATCGAGCAAGTTTTATCGGAATTACAGAGTATTTCTTCACTGAAAGAAGAGCAAAACACTGCTCTGGAGGCTTTTCTCAGAGGAAAAGATGTTTTTGCTCTTCTCCAGACTGGTTTCAGCAAGAGTTTGATCTATCAATTGGCTCCTCTTCGTCGTCGCTCTGTTAGTACGTCATATGCTTCGTTGATCTGATTGGTTTATTTGGCCCGTCTATCACCAACATAGGCCAATCAGCTAACCAGTATTTTCGCCCCTTCCCAAAATGACTTCGACGGAAGGTTTCCAGATGGATATGCGGAGCAAATCCTGGGACCCTTTTTCCGCCTAGATCCCCGCTCGTTTTGGCCCTCATGTCCCTCTGTTGTCGCACAAACTCGCCCCACTTCCTGAAAGCCTCGGCCGTATCTAGCCCCACAGCTAGTTCCTGATTGGCCCTCTGGCGTTGTGGCGTGGAATAACATGGCGCTTCAATATTGAGCATAAATCAAAAATGTCTGTGTCAAGCTCACTGCGACACGCTGCTGCGGGAGGATAACCAGGCCTTTAGGCATTTTGTCGGACATAAGTTCTGGACTCGTTATGAATACGCTACGCATACACCCAACATCCAAAGAATCCATAGAAAGTTCAGCGTATGTCGGCGTTTTAGGGGATTCTGGGACGTCAGGAATATGGTGGATAAATCGTCAAGGTGTGACAGGTTCCCTAAAGGAGGTTGAGATCTGACAGGTTCCTCCACCATGCTGGAAGTTCCATAGATCCTCCCCAAAGTGTCTCTCAAAGTTCTCGATGGACATTTTAATCGCTGTCTGCTTTGTGGAGGCGAAGCTTCACTCTTGGCACCAACTGGACTCCTCAGAGCTCGCAGCTCTTCTTCTCTTGATGATCCAAACCGTCTGCTGGATTCATCAGATCCTCGCCATCCCTGTTCCATTTGGGTCCCAGTCTGTCCTGGATGGTGAAGGTCTCCTCCTTACAGGCGCAGCGCCGGCGGCCACCTGGCTCTGCAGCGCCCTCCTCAGGAGGAGACAATGCTGGTCTCTGACCTTCCTGGATGCTCTGAAGCGGAACCTCTAAGCTTCAGGTTCCTCCAACAGATCCTCTGCTGCCCGGATTCTTTCACAGCTTCACCTTAGCCGACCATGTGGTTGAACAGACAGGAAGTGACATCATGGGAGACACGGTGACAGCCTGTAGCACAGCGTTAGCCTCCATGACGTGAAGCTTATCATGTTTCCTCCTTTCCTGCTTCCTTAAACACATCTGCATGAAGCTGAGCTCAGGTCGCCTCGCCCCTCCTCTCTGCGTCATCTTCATCACATCAACGCGACCTTCTCCTCTCTGCCTCATCCTCACCGCTCAGACGATCATCTCCTCCATCTGCTGATGTTGTGAGAAGTTCAACCTGTTTTCAGGTCTGACCATCAGTGACTGTGTTTGTCTCTTAGATCCCAGCGTGAGGCTGCAGACGGAGACGACCAGCTTAACTAAAGGTGATCTTCTCACTCAGACGGCGGGCCTTCAGGGCTGCAGGCAGTACAGGTTCAGGAGGAACCAGCTGGAGGTTCAGGTTCTCCTCTGCAGAACATCAGACTTGAGCTTTCAGAGAACCCATCTAGTCTGATTCCAAAAGTTTGAAGACGTTTCTCTTCCATCCACGAAGCTTTTTTAATTCAAAATGTCAGAAATAGCGTTTAGTTCCAGGTTTTATCCAGCAGCCCAACAAAGCCTGGTTTTAGTTTAGAAAACATGCAAATAGAAACGGATGAACGGGTCCCCCCCTTTGGAATGGGGGTCATTTGGCTTCTTTGTTAGCCTGCAATGCCCCATACCTGTCTATGTCTCTGAAAGTGGGTGTGACGTTTCACTTCCTGGATGGGAAGCAAAACGTCTTCAAACTTGAAATGAGACCTGGATGACTGAGAATCTTCTGACTGTAACAGCTGAGGCTCCGGATGTTAACTTCATATGTTCTGCAGTTTTATGCTAATCAGTTTCGTTCAGAAGTTCAGTTCTGTTCCTGTTCAAAGATAGTTTAGTTCTGTAGTGCGTTTCAGTTGCATAAAGCAACGCAAATAATTAAAGAAATAAAGGATCAATCAATATAAGATGACTTTATGTAAAAGAGAAGCAATTATTGATAATAATGTTTAGATTTCACAGTTTAAAGGCCTCTAAACAAAAAAATTTGTAAACTGGATTTAAAGCAGTTTCAACACTTTATTCCAGATTAGTGGAGCCTAAGAACTAAAGGTTGCTTCTCCAGGTTTGGTTCTGGTTCTGATCCAGCAGACCTGAGAGGTCTGGCTGTCGATCCCCTGCCAACCAGTCTGTAGTGTGTGTAGTGTGAGCCAATCAGTGATTTCTCTACTAACAGAAGGATTTTAAATTCTATTCTCTGAGATATGAGGAGCCAGAGGAAGGACTATAGACCTGGGCTGATGTTCTCTACTTTCTATAGTTCTAGTGAGGACGCAGGCAGCAGCGTCTGGATCAGCTGTCTGATCTACTTTCTATAGTTCTAGTGAGGACGCAGGCAGCAGCATCTGGATCAGCTGTCTGATCTACTTTCTATAGTTCTAGTGAGGACGCAGGCAGCAGCGTCTGGATCAGCTGTCTGATCTACTTTCTATAGTTCTAGTGAGGATGCAGGCAGCAGCGTCTGGATCAGCTGTCTGATCTACTTTCTATAGTTCTAGTGAGGACGCAGGCAGCAGCATCTGGATCAGCTGTCTGATCTACTTTCTATAGTTCTAGTGAGGACGCAGGCAGCAGCGTCTGGATCAGCTGTCTGATCTACTTTCTATAGTTCTAGTGAGGACGCAGGCAGCAGCGTCTGGATCAGCTGTCTGATCTACTTTCTATAGTTCTAGTGAGGACGCAGGCAGCAGCATCTGGATCAGCTGTCTGATCTACTTTCTATAGTTCTAGTGAGGACGCAGGCAGCAGCATCTGGATCAGCTGTCTGATCTACTTTCTATAGTTCTAGTGAGGATGCAGGCAGCAGCATCTGGATCAGCTGTCTGATCTACTTTCTATAGTTCTAGTGAGGACGCAGGCAGCAGCATCTGGATCAGCTGTCTGATCTACTTTCTATAGTTCTAGTGAGGACGCAGGCAGCAGCATCTGGATCAGCTGTCTGATCTACTTTCTATAGTTCTAGTAAGGACGCAGGCAGCAGCATCTGGATCAGCTGTCTGATCTACTTTCTATAGTTCTAGTGAGGACGCAGGCAGCAGCGTCTGGATCAGCTGTCTGATCTACTTTCTATAGTTCTAGTGAGGACGCAGGCAGCAGCGTCTGGATCAGCTGTCTGATCTACTTTCTATAGTTCTAGTGAGGACGCAGGCAGCAGCATCTGGATCAGCTGTCTGATCTACTTTCTATAGTTCTAGTGAGGACGCAGGCAGCAGCATCTGGATCAGCTGTCTGATCTACTTTCTATAGTTCTAGTGAGGACGCAGGCAGCAGCGTCTGGATCAGCTGTCTGATCTACTTTCTATAGTTCTAGTGAGGACGCAGGCAGCAGCGTCTGGATCAGCTGTCTGATCTACTTTCTATAGTTCTAGTGAGGACGCAGGCAGCAGCGTCTGGATCAGCTGTCTGATCTACTTTCTATAGTTCTAGTGAGGACGCAGGCAGCAGCGTCTGGATCAGCTGTCTGATCTACTTTCTATAGTTCTAGTGAGGACGCAGGCAGCAGCATCTGGATCAGCTGTCTGATCTACTTTCTATAGTTCTAGTGAGGACGCAGGCAGCAGCGTCTGGATCAGCTGTCTGATCTACTTTCTATAGTTCTAGTGAGGACGCAGGCAGCAGCGTCTGGATCAGCTGTCTGATCTACTTTCTATAGTTCTAGTGAGGACGCAGGCAGCAGCATCTGGATCAGCTGTCTGATCTACTTTCTATAGTTCTAGTGAGGACGCAGGCAGCAGCGTCTGGATCAGCTGTCTGATCTACTTTCTATAGTTCTAGTGAGGACGCAGGCAGCAGCATCTGGATCAGCTGTCTGATCTACTTTCTATAGTTCTAGTGAGGACGCAGGCAGCAGCGTCTGGATCAGCTGTCTGATCTACTTTCTATAGTTCTAGTGAGGACGCAGGCAGCAGCGTCTGGATCAGCTGTCTGATCTACTTTCTATAGTTCTAGTGAGGACGCAGGCAGCAGCATCTGGATCAGCTGTCTGATCTACTTTCTATAGTTCTAGTGAGGACGCAGGCAGCAGCGTCTGGATCAGCTGTCTGATCTACTTTCTATAGTTCTAGTGAGGACGCAGGCAGCAGCGTCTGGATCAGCTGTCTGATCTACTTTCTATAGTTCTAGTGAGGACGCAGGCAGCAGCGTCTGGATCAGCTGTCTGATCTACTTTCTATAGTTCTAGTGAGGACGCAGGCAGCAGCGTCTGGATCAGCTGTCTGATCTACTTTCTATAGTTCTAGTGAGGACGCAGGCAGCAGCATCTGGATCAGCTGTCTGATCTACTTTCTATAGTTCTAGTGAGGACGCAGGCAGCAGCGTCTGGATCAGCTGTCTGATCTACTTTCTATAGTTCTAGTGAGGACGCAGGCAGCAGCGTCTGGATCAGCTGTCTGATCTACTTTCTATAGTTCTAGTGAGGACGCAGGCAGCAGCATCTGGATCAGCTGTCTGATCTACTTTCTATAGTTCTAGTGAGGACGCAGGCAGCAGCATCTGGATCAGCTGTCTGATCTACTTTCTATAGTTCTAGTGAGGACGCAGGCAGCAGCGTCTGGATCAGCTGTCTGATCTACTTTCTATAGTTCTAGTGAGGACGCAGGCAGCAGCGTCTGGATCAGCTGTCTGATCTACTTTCTATAGTTCTAGTGAGGACGCAGGCAGCAGCATCTGGATCAGCTGTCTGATCTACTTTCTATAGTTCTAGTGAGGACGCAGGCAGCAGCGTCTGGATCAGCTGTCTGATCTACTTTCTATAGTTCTAGTGAGGACGCAGGCAGCAGCATCTGGATCAGCTGTCTGATCTACTTTCTATAGTTCTAGTGAGGACGCAGGCAGCAGCGTCTGGATCAGCTGTCTGATCTACTTTCTATAGTTCTAGTGAGGACGCAGGCAGCAGCGTCTGGATCAGCTGTCTGATCTACTTTCTATAGTTCTAGTGAGGACGCAGGCAGCAGCGTCTGGATCAGCTGTCTGATCTACTTTCTATAGTTCTAGTGAGGACGCAGGCAGCAGCATCTGGATCAGCTGTCTGATCTACTTTCTATAGTTCTAGTGAGGACGCAGGCAGCAGCATCTGGATCAGCTGTCTGATCTACTTTCTATAGTTCTAGTGAGGACGCAGGCAGCAGCATCTGGATCAGCTGTCTGATCTACTTTCTATAGTTCTAGTGAGGACGCAGGCAGCAGCATCTGGATCAGCTGTCTGATCTACTTTCTATAGTTCTAGTGAGGACGCAGGCAGCAGCATCTGGATCAGCTGTCTGATCTACTTTCTATAGTTCTAGTGAGGACGCAGGCAGCAGCATCTGGATCAGCTGTCTGATCTACTTTCTATAGTTCTAGTGAGGACGCAGGCAGCAGCATCTGGATCAGCTGTCTGATCTACTTTCTATAGTTCTAGTGAGGACGCAGGCAGCAGCGTCTGGATCAGCTGTCTGATCTACTTTCTATAGTTCTAGTGAGGACGCAGGCAGCAGCGTCTGGATCAGCTGTCTGATCTACTTTCTATAGTTCTAGTGAGGACGCAGGCAGCAGCGTCTGGATCAGCTGTCTGATCTACTTTCTATAGTTCTAGTGAGGACGCAGGCAGCAGCGTCTGGATCAGCTGTCTGATCTACTTTCTATAGTTCTAGTGAGGACGCAGGCAGCAGCGTCTGGATCAGCTGTCTGATCTACTTTCTATAGTTCTAGTGAGGACGCAGGCAGCAGCGTCTGGATCAGCTGTCTGATCTACTTTCTATAGTTCTAGTGAGGACGCAGGCAGCAGCGTCTGGATCAGCTGTCTGATCTACTTTCTATAGTTCTAGTGAGGACGCAGGCAGCAGCATCTGGATCAGCTGTCTGATCTACTTTCTATAGTTCTAGTGAGGACGCAGGCAGCAGCATCTGGATCAGCTGTCTGATCTACTTTCTATAGTTCTAGTGAGGACGCAGGCAGCAGCGTCTGGATCAGCTGTCTGATCTACTTTCTATAGTTCTAGTGAGGACGCAGGCAGCAGCGTCTGGATCAGCTGTCTGATCTACTTTCTATAGTTCTAGTGAGGACGCAGGCAGCAGCGTCTGGATCAGCTGCAGCTCTATGATCTAGTTTCTAGGCTGACCTGTGGAGACGTTGCTGCAGGGATCAATTCTTCTACAGATGAATGAAACAGGAAGTAGTTTTTCCAACATTAGTCCTTTGATCCTGAAGATGTTCTTCAGATGATAGAAGGTCCACTTTCTGCTCGTCTCTATGAGTTTCTGAAGGTTCAGGTCTGAGTCCATCACTGCACTCGTTTTAGTCATCAATATGCTTCCGTAGAAGAGAGTTTTAGTTGAAGATGATCCATTTTGTTGTCCAGTGAGCGGACGTTGGAAGGCAGGATTGAAGCGAGCGGCGGTTTGTAGGGGTTTGCTTTTAGCTTTGCTGTTAGCCCACCTGGACAGCCGCGCTTTTGCAGCTGGTAACTCTGCCTTCGCTTGCTCCTCCTGCGGCGTGTGCTGCTTGGCAAGTCCGCTGGATTTTGGACCTGTGGGCCATGTGCCCCGAGCAATCTGGAGCTATGTAAACAATTGAGATTAGTTTTAAGTTACCTACTGCGCTGCAAAAAGGATCTATATATATAAGTAAAAAAATCTTACATTAAGGGTATTTAGCCTTAACTTGAGCAGGTAAATAAGACGATTTGCCAATGGAATTAGCATATTCACTTTAAAATAAGATAATTAGATAAATTCACCTCAAATAAGACAATGAAATAGTTTTTTTTTTCTTATTTTATATGTAAATCTTCTTGTTCCATAGGCAAATAGTCTCACTTACCTCAATACAAGAAAAAAAAGACTTATTTAGATTTCTATTTTTTGCAGTGTAAGTTCCTGTCTTTAGTAGGATTTAACCCAGTCCGATTCCAGACCATTAAAGCCGACCCAGATTTCCAGAGGCTCTAATAATATGATAACCAGTAATCATTTCTGCATTCATACGGCCTCTAACGGTGCTTCTCTCCATGCAGACGCCTGCCTCCTCAACCAGGATCCAGGCAGCTGCCAGGACTACACCGTCATGTGGTTCTTTGACAACAAGCAGAACGAGTGCCAGCGCTTCTGGTTCGGCGGCTGCGATGGGAACGCCAACCGCTTCCAGACGAAGGAGGATTGCGAGAAGTTGTGTCTGAAGCAGATTCTATGAGGAGGACGAAGGTCTCAGCTGCAGGAGAACCCGCAGGACTGCATGTCACCAGCAGAAGGCATTTTCTGCTTCACTGTCTACGGGGCTCCTGAAGGGTCACGCTGAGAAGGTTTTCCAGCAAAGGTTCCGTCAGATCCGCAAAAAAGAAATTTGTTTGTGAAGATCTTTGTTCCCCCTTAAGAAAATCTTCATCGTCTGAAACGCAGCTACAAGAAAACACAACAAACATAAACGGAATCACCACCAAACCATCAGAGTTCTTCTTCCAGGAGGAAGAATGAAGAGATGCTGAGCAAATGTCCTCTAAGTGATGATCTGGGTCCGGAGGCCGGATCCTTCTTGGTTCTGTTCAGGCTTCAGCTGCTTTTTGATCCAGAATCATCAGAAACCTTCAGTTCCTCTTTTATACCTTCTTCATTTCTGCTCGGACCAAACCAGCCTAATATGGGGGGAATTTTATTCCATTATTGTTGCCAAGAAAACAATTTTTAAAAGAAACTTTGAAAAATGTTTTAACCACTTTGATTTTCTCTCAGATTTTATTTCCAACTATATTTTTCTCGAATATGAAAACAGCAAAGTTACTCTAAAAAACCTTTTTATTTTTATCAAAACTTTGCATTTTTCATACATTTTGGTTAGTTTTTTTTTTTTTTTTTTTTTACAAAAATGGAACTAAAGTCCCTCCATACCATAATGAATCAGAGGAACTGAAATCCAGAAGAACTTCCATTCCAACCTGCAACTTCCATACGGCCGGTTTTCCATCCTTCAGACGGATGTTTTAAGTTCTTCTCAGATGTTTGAACTTTATTTGGAAATGTTCCTCAGACCTTAAATAGAAAAACCCTGTGTGACCCTTCAGGACCTCCGTAGAACTCCCCGGACCGCAACCAAAGACTCTCTGATCAGGTTCTCCTGCTTCTCCTTGTACGACAGCGTATCAGGGCCATTCAAAGACGGGGGGAAAAAATTGGAATTTAAATTTTTGAGTCTAAAGTGGCATGTTTACGAGAATAAACAAGCAAATTTACGAATAAAAAACCCCCCAAATTTACCAGATTATTAACATGCAAATTTAAAAGGAAACAAGTAGCAAATGTACGAGAATAATTAGACAAATTTACAAAAAAACATTACGAGATTATAAATATGCTAATTTATTGTATCATTCATTTGTACTTTAAAAACTTGTATGAGGAGGCCATTGCACTGCTCATTTCATCGTAAAGCCCCTAATTAATTAAACATTTCCATGTGCTTTATGTAGCATGCTTTAACGTGTATTATCTCACATTGTTCCAAAAATGTATGTTTAAATCGTGCAAATTTGTTACTTTTTTCTCCTAAATTCCTGTGTTATCTTTTTCATTTTCTACTTTTTCTCATATTTGTGTTTTAATTTTGTTAGTTTGCGTCTTTTAATTTAGTAAATTTTAGTGTTTTAATTTTGTAAATTTGCGCATTTTAATTTTGAAAATTTGCGTTTTTCGATTTCGTAAATTCAAGTGTTTTAATTTCGTAAATTCGTGTGTTTTAATTTTGTAAATTTGTGTGTTCTAAGTTTTTAATTTGTGTGTTTTAATTTCGTAAATTTTAGTTTTTAAATTTTTTTTAATTTCAGCGTTTTAATTTCGTTAATTTGCGTGTTTCAATTTCGTAAATTCAAGTGTTTTAATTTTGTAAATTTGTGTGTTCTAAGTTTTTTAAGTTGTGTTTTAATTTTGTTAATTTGAGCGTTTTAATTTCGTAAATTTGCGTGTTTATTCTCTTAAAAAGGCCACTTTAAACTAAAAAATCTGAATTCCAATTTCTTTTTTTTCCGTCTTTGAATGCCCTTAATATGCCGTCGTATCCTTGCATCAGGTGCTATTTTTATATATATATATAAAATAAAAAAAAGCGGGTGAATTTAAGGTCCATATGTTCATATGTTAAATGTTTTTAGGAAATTAAAGTTTCTATAAATCAGTTCTAATAAAATGTTGGTGTTAATGGATCAGAACCACCTCTCTAGAAGATGTTCCCGCAGGTCTATCTGCAGCGTGTTGCCATGGAAACGGTTCCTTCAGTCCCATCTGTGCAGCTCATTATCTGGATGCACACCCCCTGCTGGTGGACAGGTGTTACTGATAATAAAAGGAATGAAATCATCTGGAAGAGATCTACAGGTCTCATGTCCTGGTGTTTCAAAGAGTCCATAACAACCCGCTCTCTAAAAAGAACAGGCCCACAGCATCACCCATCCTTCTCTGTGCTTAATAGTGGGTTTCATGTACCTTTTTTCCAACCCGAGGTAAAGAACTGGTAGAAACAGGATTTCATCTCCTTGCTCTCAAGCGGCTGGTGCTGATCCGTCTCTGCTAACGGGTCAGGAACGGGATCAAAAAGCAAAAAGAATTGGAACCCAGACATGAGACCAAAAGTCTGAGAACCGGGTTGTAAAAGCTGGAAGTGGAAGAAAGTCCAAACATTCGGACAAGTTCTCTAGCAGAGTGGCCTTTACCGAAACCAGAACCCTAAGAACATCTGTAATGTAATGTTCTGCTGGAGAAACCTGAATAAAAGAATCAGATCTAGTGATTGAATCTGTCTACTGACTCAGTCTGATGGTCTTACAGATATAGATGTCTAAATATTTTTATTTATACACAAGCGGACCAAATTGTTGGTCCTCATTTAATAAAAAGAAAAATCCACACGCTCACAGAAATAACTAGAATCTGAAAAAAGTAAATAAAAAAAATCTGTGAAAATAAAAAAGATGAAACTGTTTTCAACCAGATTTTAAGAGAATGATTTAAAAATATGTCTTAAAGCAAGGTTGGAATAAAAAAAATGGTTCCCCTTGAAGAGATTGAAAATAATGTGACCAAATGGACATGTTAGATCAAGGTGTGTCCACTAGTCAGCATCACAGGTGTCTAATCTGGTAACAAGTCATCTGGGTTTGATATAGGGCTACAGGTCGTCACTGTGCTGTTTGGTGACATGGTGTGTACCACACTCAACATGGACCAGAAGACACAAAAGAGTTTTCTCAGGAGATTAGAAGGAAAATGATAGACCAGCAGGTTAAAGGTAAAGACTATCCGACCATCTCCAAGCAGCTTGATGTTCCTGCGACTCCAGCTGAACATATTTTACTGTAGCCAGCCTCCCTGCCTGTGGCTGCAGGAGGAAAACCGACGACAAATCAAAGACACGGATAATAGGAATGGAAACGAACCCAGAAAAACTAAAGAGATTAAAGATAAACTTCAACCTGAAGGAACATCAGTGTCTGATCGCAGCATCCACCATTGTTTGAGCAAAAAAATGACCTAATGAGAGACGACCAAGGAGGAACCATTGATGGAAACAAATCATGAAAAGTAAAACTGGAATTAACCAAACTACATGTTGACAAACAGAGAAACATGGAGCTTAATGCCAAGAAACATCAGCTCTATGTTCAAGAAAAGATCACCGTCCCTGCTGTGAAACACGGAGGAGGCTCTGTTATGCTCTGGGCTGATTTGCTTCATCTGAATCTCTGCAGGGTCCAATGAAATCTCCAGACTATCAGGGATCGTAGAGAGAAACGTGCTGCAGAGTCAGAAAGCTTGGTCTCAGCAGCAGCTCCTGGGTTTTCAACAGGATCAGGAGCCAAAAACGGACAAACAGCAACTAAATATCAAGTTAATAATAAAAATATGAAGTTGTCCGTGTCTATACATACATGCATGCATATACAGACACAGATACACATTCTCATCTTGTAGTGAGTGCATTGAATCCCATTGATTTTGCAAAACCTAAATGTTACGGGTTCAAACCTCATCCTAACACCAAAGCTGGGCGTACACTCTGCGTTATTTTCAATCGTTGCACGCCGCTACAGATGAAACCACAGGGTCTAAAAGTTCCCAGCTCACAGTGTTTGTTTTCACACTGTGAGACCCGACGCTCGGATGCGATCTACCAGCTCACACTCTACGTCTAAAAACCAGGTCAGACTGAGCACCCAGAGATGGCGCTGGTCTTTGAAGGTTATTTTGTTTCAAAAGTATTTGTGCATTGTACGTGTGAAGTTGAAGTTTTGTATTTGTAGAATAAAAAAAAAATTCACAAGTACAAATTTGTTTTACGCCTGTTCAAATTTTAAGTATAAGTACACAAATTCTGTTCTAGAAGTTGCACATCAAAAACCTCTTACATTCTCTGTTTTGATCCCAATGTTCCAGAACTATTGTTGCAAAACTATTGTGCATCGTAACTTTGGTGTTTTGTAATTGTAGATTTATTTTATCCGTAACAATTGCAAAAAAAAAGTTACACATCTTCAAATTCTTGAGTTCAAGTACACAGATTGTGTTTTGTGAGTTGCGCATCAAAAATGTCTTCCATTCAGTTTTGCTACAGTTGATCTAAAACAAATGGTGAAAAACAAATTCAAACACGTGTATTAATATCTTATTTAAAAAAAAGGTCTTAACACAAATGCAAATCAATGCATAAAACTGCACTAATCTGCTGCTGTGAGTCACAGATTCAACTTTACAAATTAATCCTTCATTTTTACTTTTGTTACACTGGTAGAGTGATCTGTAACTTGTGGGTAGTACCCTTGATTGGACAGAAGGGGGCGCTGCCTTCTCAGCAAGAACCCCCTTGTTTCCACTCAAGGTTCTTGTAAATGGGCTCTAGTTCTCCTTGATCAGCAGGATTTGTCCACGACCACCTCACCACGGCCGACTGGATTTCAAACATGTTTGATTTTCTCCTGACCTCACGATTCTTGATTGCCCCTCGTTACCCCATGTGTATACTACATGACACAGGACACACAATGGCTCAGAAACTCTGCCAAATCGAAAAACTCTCGCACGACTTGAGAATCGGCCCAAAACGGGCAAAAAATCATACAGCTTATGTCCGGCTTAACCTAAATGACACCTTGGCCCTAAAACTAACCGTTAGCGATCTAACTTCAGGACCAGCAAAATGTCGACTCTATAACTGATCCTCAATGAGACGGAGAAATCAGAAAAAAATATATATATTGCTTTATGTTTTTGAGCAGTGTATATGTATGTATCAGGGTTCTCACCAGGATATTTTATGGAGGTTATATATATATATATATATATATACACATACACTCACCGGCCACTTTATTAGGTACCCCATGCTAGTAACGGGTTGGACCCCCTTTTGCCTTCAGAACTGCCTCAATTCTTCTTGGCATAGATTCAACAAAGTGCTGGAAGCATTCCTCAGGGAGTTTGGTCCATATTGACATGATAGCATCACACAGTTGCCGCAGATTTGTCGGCTGCACATCCATGATGCGAATCTCCCGTTCCACCACATCCCAAAGATGCTCTATTGGATTGAGATCTGGTGACTGTGGAGGCCATTTGAGTACAGTGAACTCATTGTCATGTTCAAGAAACCAGTCTGAGATGATTCCAGCTTTATGACATGGCGCATTATCCTGCTGAAAGTAGCCATCAGAAGTTGGGTACATTGTGGTCATAAAGGGATGGACATGGTCAGCAACAATACTCAGGTAGGCTGTGGCGTTGCAACGATGCTCAATTGGTACCAAGGGGCCCAAAGAGTGCCAAGAAAATATTCCCCACACCATGACACCACCACCACCAGCCTGAACCGTTGATACAAGGCAGGATGGATCCATGTTTTCATGTTGTAGACGCCAAATTCTGACCCTACCGTCCGAATGTCGCAGCAGAAATCGAGACTCATCAGACCAGGCAACGTTTTTCCAATCTTCTATTATCCAATTTCCATGAGCTTGTGCAAATTGTAGCCTCAGTTTCCTGTTCTTAGCTGAAAGGAGTGGCACCCGGTGTGGTCTTCTGCTGCTGTAGCCCATCTGCCTCAAAGTTCCACGTACTGTGCGTTCAGAGATGCTCTTCTGCCCACCTTGGTTGTAACGGGTGGTTATTTGAGTCACTGTTGCCCTTCTATCAGCTCCAACCAGTCTGGCCATTCTCCTCTGACCTCTGGCATCAACAAGGCATTTCCGCCCACAGAACTGCCGCTCACTGGATGTTTTTTCTTTTCCGGACCATTCTCTGTAAACCCTAGAGATGGTTGTGCGTGAAAATCCCAGTAGATCAGCAGTTTCTGAAATACTCAGACCAGCGCTTCTGGCACCAACAATCATGCCACGTTCAAAGTCACTCAAATCACCTTTCTTCCCCATACTGATGCTCGCTTTGAACTGCAGGAGATTGTCTTGACCGTGTCTACATGCCTAAATGCACCGAGTTGCCGCCATGTGATTGGCTGCTTAGAAATTAAGTGTTAACGAGCAGTTGGACAGGTGTACCTAATAAAGTGGCTGGTGAGTATATATATATATATATATTTTAGGGATGCACGATATTGGGATTTTGTCCGATATCCGATATTTTAAAACTCATGTAGCCGATAACCGATATCGATACCGATGTTAAAGCTGGACAAAAATAAGTAGTCATTGAAAATAGCAGTTTTGTTATCCATTTCTGACACTTTGAAAAATAATAAACTCAAATATATTTTCATATGCTGATATCAAATAGATTTTTAAAAACGCGGTATCGATCTATTTTACTTTCAAAATCTGGTGAAATTTCATCGTTCTGTTACAAACTCTCGTGATATTTTGCAAATTCTTGTGAGATTTTGTTAGTAAAATAGATCGATACCGCGTCAATATATCAACATATAAAAATATGGCAAAATTTGGTGAATTTTCGGGGGATTTCGTAGCATAACGATGACATACAGCAATAAAAGAGATTGATATGGTGTTTTTAAATGGCAATATATCAGCATATGAAGATATTGGGATATTTTAATGTATCGATATTTTTTCCCTCGTCTTTAGCAGTTTTTAAGTCTGTAAAAAAGAAGTTTTTGAGGAAGAAGAAGTAGTATTTTTATTTTTTTTTAGACTTTAGAAACTCAGAAGCTGATCAAATATCGGGTTAAATATCGGTGGGGTGGCCGATGTCCGATATTCAGTTTTAAGGCCGATACCGATAGGGGGCCGATTATATCGTGCATCCCTAATGTTGGGCACGTTACTTTGAAACAGTAATTAGTTATAGTTACTAGTTACTTCACTCAAAAGTAACTGGCTTAGTGAGTTACTCCAAAATAAAAGTAACGAGTTACTAGTAAAAGTAACTATTGCGTTACTTTTGCGTTTCTCGAACCTGCAGAGTTTAGCATTTATTGCAACTCAACGTGAACAACATCAGGGCGACGCCATCTGACGGGCCTATAAACCCCGTCAGATAGCAGGCTGCATTACCTCTACTAATGGGTGTGAAGTTTTTTAACAGGGCATTCAGATCTGGTGAGTTTATGAAATTAATAACTGGGGATGTCTGATTCTGAAATCCTGTGTGTTTGCGTTGTTATAGAAACTGCAACATTCATCCATCCAGATTTCTCCATGTTGAGTTTCTGTCTTCCATTTGGATCAGATTTTTATCCGTTCAGTTTTCTCAGCATCGCCTGGTTCTGCTAAACGGGTCATGGACTTCAGACAAACTAATCCTAGAAAAACAAGGCAGGTGAACAGAACCAGAACCGAGTCCAGCAGCTGGGAGGTTTTATTGAACAGAAAATGCAAAGATGCAGATAAGAGGTTTTGATCGTTCTGTGAACCGAACCAACAGGTGAGCCAGGCACTGATCCGTCCTTTGATTCTCTGCTGCTCCACCAAACGTCCCACAAAACCTCCATTTTTAGGGATAAATTAGTTATTTACAGCGTTTGGATCAAAAATAAACAAGCAGGAGGACTTTACGACATGATTGAACAAGATCTGGATCAGGAACCAGATCTGGATCAGGACTTGGAACCAGATCTGGATCTGAATAAGGATCTGGATTGGAACCAGATCAGGATCAGGAACCAGATTAGGATTGGAAACCAGATCAGGATCTGGATAAGAATCTGGATCAGGAACCAGATCAGGATTAGGAACCAGATTAGGATTAGGAACCAGATCAGGACTAGGAACCAGATCAGGATCTGGATAAGGATCAGGAACCAGATCTAGATCAGGATCTGGAACCAGATCAGGATCTGAATAAGGATATGGATCAGGAACCAGATCTAGATCAGGATCTGGAACCAGATCAGGATCTGAATAAGGATCTGGATCAGGAACCAGATCAGGATTAGGAACCAGATCAGGATCTGGATAAGGATCTGGATCAGGAACCAGATCAGGATTAGGAACCAGATCAGGATCTGGATAAGGATCTGGATCAGGAACCAGATCAGGATCAGAAACCAGATCTGGATCAGGAACTGGAACCAGATCACCATCAGGATCTAGAATCAGAAATGGATCAGGATCAAGATAGGGATCAGGAACCAGATGAGGACCGGGATCAGGAACCAGATCAGGGTCACAATCTGGATCAGGAACCATATAAGGAACTGGAACCAGATCAGGATCTGAATAAGGATCTGGATTGCAACCAGATCAGGATCAGGAACCAGATTAGGATTGGGATAAGGATCTGGATTAACCAGATAAGGATCTGGATAAAGATCTGGATTAGGAACCAGATCAGGATCTGGATAAGAATCTGGATCAGGAACCAGATTGGGATCTGCACAAGCAGAAGTTTGAGAGGAGAACGGACAGAAAACAAATGTTTTAGATCTGTAAAGTTCAAGTTCTTCTCCACGTCTTCACTTCCACACTTTGACGATGCCGTCCCGAGACGACGTGACAATGAAGCCCTGCGTCGTTTGGAAGGTGGCGATGTCTGTGATAATGTCATGATGGCCGACAGGAAGAGACTCCAGGCCACGGCGAGGAGAGTCCTCTGCAGCGCCGCTCTTCTGTTTGCTGTGGATCTCCTGCAGAGGTGAGAGAGCAGAGACATGAAGGCAGCGCTGTGGATGGATGTGGTTCTTAGTGGGTCTGAGCTTCTTTCCTCAGTACCTGAACCACTTCGGTCCCCTCGATGATCTTGCGGCTGTAGAGGACAGACGGACAGTGCAGCGAGTCGTGGGCTCCTCCTGCGACGATGTAGGATCTCTCTGGATAGGCCAGATCCCAGAACCTGAACAGAACCCCTTGATTATAACCTGCTGTTTGTTTTCTGTAGCTAAGGAGAAACGCGGAGGAATATATTTCCTCATCAAAGCATCATTAAAAATAAAATGTTTTTCCTGCCTTGGTAGATATTATTCACATGCAGTTAATTAGGTGGCCTGCAGAGGGCGGCATAGCCTCAGTTATCCACTGTATCAGAGGATTCCTTACAGGTTCTAACAGTCACAGTACGGCCTTCTTGGTAGATCCAAAGAAGGTTCTGGACGGGTTTCCTTCGTTTGAAGGTTAGGTGAATCCTCACCTGATCCTCATGTCCGACCCGGCCGTCAGCAGCAGAGGATTCCCGTCAGCCGGACTGCAGTAGATCCCGTGAACGCTGTGAGGAGAAGGCTGTAAAGGAACAAGGAGAGGAAGCTGAGAGGAACGTTTGCGGGTTCTAAGCCTTTACGGGTCGGATGAGCCCAAACGTACCTGCATCTCAGAGAGCGGCGGCGCCGAGCTCGCCCACAGGGTAAACTTCCGATCTCCGGTCTCCATGTCCCAGATGGACACCTCGTTGTTCCCCTGGACCGCTGCAGAGACAGAGACAGAGCAGATGAAGGCTGCTCCCCGTCCAGAACCTCCCTCAGAAGATCTGAGACGGACCTAACCTGCAATCACTGACGACTGGTACAGCGGGTGCATCAGCAGCCGCCGGACTCGGACCCGGGCCGGGTGGGAGTGGTTGGAGATGGGGAGCTGGAAGCGCATATCCCAGCACGCCATGGTGCCGCTGCTTGTACCTGCAGGATGAAACGCAGCAGGAGGGTCACAGAGGAGAAGCTTCCGGATCCGGTCTGAAAGCAGGAAGTGTTGCGGACCTAAGCAGAGCCAGCACTGGTGCATGTCCACGCTGAAGGACGTGATGAGGCCCAGCCGCAGGTCATGACGCAGCGTCCAGGCGTTGGATTTGGAGCGGAGGTCCCAGCCCACCAGGGATCCGTTCACCGTGGCGTAGGCCAGAACCGACTGAGCGCCCGAGTTGAAGTGGTGGATGTCCACGGCGCAGCCGTCCTCATGGAGGTCCAGAGTCCTAAAACCACAGATTGTGGAGAGTCAGGCTGGTCGATGTCCAGCTCATTATTTTTAACCTTTGAACCACAGAACCAGATTTTCATTTTCATTAAATTCATTTTTGCATTAAAGCAATGATTTAGGTTCTGCTGTTTTTAGAGGAATTTTGCTTATTTTTCTTTGTTACTTTTATTTTTACTATAATTTTATATTTACATTTTTTTTTTATTACAGATTTTATGTTTTCACAATATTTTTACAAATTTCTGTTTTTCAGATTGAGTTTTCCGGACCACATCCTCTTCTCTTCAGGGGGCGGGCTTTCCTCTAGATTGACGAGTGAAGATGCTTTTCTATTGGTTTGCAAAACGCTGGAAACAACATTTTTATTGGCTGAGAACCAGTTTTCACGTTGGGCTTGAAATGTAAAAAAAAAAAAAAGTGTGTTGTGTGAAATTCGTGAAACTCAAAATGAAAATATAAAATCTGTAAATGAAAAAACAAAATGGAAAAAAAAGAAATGTAAGAAAACAGCAAAGTTCCTCTGAAAGCATCTTTTAATTAACAAGTTTTTCCTACTTGCTTTGATTCTGTTTTATCTTCCTGTATTTTAATCATGTAAAGCACTTTACATTGTCTTTGTACTGGATTGTGCCTATATTTGGACAAATTTGGAAGGGATCGAAAATGATTGTTCACCGATTAACGCTAAATTCATTAAATCACCGCGAACGCATTAGTTTTAGGTATAAATAATGATCCAATGATTATTCCTGCTGAACGGACTTTTCCTTTAAGTGTTTGCATGTTGCTGTTACCTCATCTTTACTAACCTTCTGAGGACCGACAAGCCGTGTGAGACCAGCTCTAATGAAGCCAGCCTCCCTGATAAAGGTCAGTTTTAGGAATATAGCAGTAATTTAGGCATCAATGCAGTTAAAATGAATTGCAGTAGCAGTGACTACCAAACTTTTCTTGCTGGAACCCCTTTAGGAGCAATAAACTACTAAAATAAACTACCTTTACTGTGAAACACAGATCTACTGTGCTTGGAAAATAATGCAGTTTTCACTCAGTCTGTTTCACCTGCAAGGCCACACAATTCCCCTGAGTGACGGTGTTTTTAGACACAACATACCTTCTTCCCATAACAAACCAGATTCTTTCTAAAGATTTATTAAAAGCATGTTACAGTTTAACCAAAGTGTCTGTAATTTGTTTTAACTCTGATTACTTTCCATTATGGTAAGTAAGGAGAAACGAACGCTGCTCAGGCAGAACAGGGCTGATTATCGTGCAATAATTAGTATGATGAACTGATGAACTGTTCTCTCTTTGCAAACAGTGAAATCCATCCATCTCCGTTTATTTAACTGGAGTAAATAGTTGAATACTTTTTTTCCATGACTTCTACCAATTTTAAAATGTCTTTTTTTTACTGATTATCTAACAGAATGTAGTGTTTCTGTTAATACAGAGTTTTTAAATCAGCTGATTAAGGAGGAGTTGATGTTTATTCGCGGCGGCGTTCAGCATCTTACCGGCTCTGGAACGGCTGCACTTTGGGAGACTTGGGAGGTTTGTTTGCTTCGACGGCGAGCAGCTGGATGGATCCGTTATCCGATGCCGCCGCTAAATAATGCGAGCCCTGACAGAATGTCAGCGTCTTTACGTGACCCCCGATACGGGAGTAGGTCAACACGGACCTGCAGGAAGACGGCAGAAGGTCTGGGTTTAATCAGAACATTGGAGGTTTTTACATCAGGAAATGAAACTGAACCGCAGACATGAAGGAGAAAACACGTCGGAAACTTTAAAGAAACAGAAGCAGGAAAAACCGGAGGTTAAGGTAGAGAAAATGAGGAGCAGACATTTATTAGGACCTCTCCTGGAGGACTGGGCTCATTTCCAGCACCTCCTCAGGGTGGTCTTACCTGGTAGTGGTGGTCTTGCCCTCCATCTTCTGACTGTCCCACACTTTAACCGACCCGTCGTTGGACGCAGTGGCGAAGATGGAATGTTCGTCCGACACCCGGATTCTGTTCACCGCAGCTTTGTGTTCGTGCAGGTGGGCGACCAGCAGCCCCTTGGGATGCCACCCTGAAACAGAACGAGGGTTAGACGGCCGTGGACTCCGGCGGCGCCCCCTGCTGTCGCTCTCAGCTCCTTACCTGGAGGAGGGGGCCGGCTCTCCCACTCGGCGCTCTCCATCATCTGCTTGGCCATCCGCTCTGCGCTGCACTGCTCCCTCTTCTGCTGCAGCAGCTGCTGCAGCTCCGTCCTGCAGGTGTTGAGGCGTCGCTGGTAGGCGGGGCCGCCGGCCGCCACCTGCTGCTGCTGTGCCGCCGCAGGAGCCGCCGCCGCCTTCCGTATCTGAGTGACCGGACCGTCGGCGGACTGAAAAAACGGCAGCAGGATAAGATCGATGAGCAGGAAGCTGTTCTGGTTCTGACTGGTTCTGAACCTGAACCCATCAGGAAAAGTCCGGTCATCAAGGAATGATCAAAGGATCATTATTTATACCTAAAACTAAAACATTTGCAGTGATTTCATGAATTTAGCGTTAATCAGTAAAAAGATAAAAATATTTTTTAATGGTAGTCAGCGGCCATTTTTGCCCATATATAGTAACCCCTCCCTCCTGACACCTTCTGTTAGTGACGTCATGGTGCGGTAAGCCTAGCGCCATTCTTCCTTACCGTGGGGGGCTGCGCGGACGGTGGATCCTGCGATCCGAACATGCTCTTCCACTCCTCGTTCATGGCAGAGTCCTGCTTGGTCTGCCTCCGAGCTGCAGGAGCAAACACATTTGATTTTAATCCATTACCTTAATCTTTTTTTAATCAATTGTTATATTTTTTTAATTAATCATCTTATTTAATGTTTCACTTTGAATCTCTTTAATTTTTCATGCTGCCTCTACCCTGTGCCGGGTGCTTTTCCTTCTGAAAATTAGAAATCTGTTAGAAATAAAATTAGCTTCTATATCAGCGTTTTTCAAATGTCTACTAATCTAAATAAATAAAAAATCAAGCTATAATCAGTTGTCAATTAATGATTCATGTTTGTTCCATATGTGTCTTTCAGTGTTGTGGTGTTACTGCTGTCCACTAGAGCGCACCGCTGTTCATTCTTAATGGAAGCCCATGTCAGGGCCCCGTCACACCTAGCCGATTTATCCAGAGTATGGCCGACGTCCTACAATCTCCTAAATGCTGGCATACGCTGAACTTTCTATGTACTTTTTCAATTTTGGGCGTCTAGAGAATTCATAACGAGTCCAGAACTAATGTCCAACAATATCCTAACTTATGCATAAGCTGTCTGGCTGTAGAGATTAATTTCACTGTTTTCTACACATATTTTTGAAACTTGTTTGTTTTGCTAATGACCGACTCCATCCTTCACTAATGCATCGTATCTGAGACGTGAGCCAAAAACCCGACAAGCAAAGCAAAAAGCAGCATTTTTTAGAAGAATATTCCAAGCAATTAAAGCCTTTAAATCAACTCATTTCATGGAAACCTTTGTGTAGCTGCCATTGAAGACAGAATAAATAAATAAATAATAGATTAATAAATATTTAAGTAAAAAATATAGAGCTCATAAATGCATACATTTCTAGTAGGGATGCACGATATTGGGATTTTGGCCGATATCCGATATTTTAAAACTCATGTAGCCGATAACCGATATCGATACCGATGTTAAAGCTGGACAAAAATAAGTAGTCATTGAAAATAGCAGTTTTATTCATTTCTGACACTTTGAAAAATAATATACTCAAATATATTTTCATATGCTGATATCAAATAGATTTTTAAAAACGCAGTATCGATCTATTTTACTTTCAATATCTCGTGAAATTTCATCGTTCTGTTACAAACTCTCGTGATATTTAGCAAATTCTTGTGAGATTTTGTTAGTAAAATAGATCGATACCGCGTCAATATATCAACATATAAAAATATGGCAACATTTGGTGAATTTTCGGGGGATTTCGTAGCATAACGATGACATATAGCAATATTTCATTAGTAAAAGAGATTGATATGGTGTTTTTAATTGGCAATATATCAGCATATGAAGATATTGGGATATTTTAATGGATCAATATTTTTTCCCTCGTCTTTAGAAGTTTTTAAGTCTGTAAAAAAGAAGTTTTTCAGGAAGAAGAAGAAGTAGTATTTTTTATTTTTAGACTTTAGAAACTCAGAAGCTGATCAAATATCGGGTTAAATATCGGTGGGGGGGCCGATGTCCGATATTCAGTTTTAAGGCCGATACCGATAAGGGGCCCATTATATCGTGCATCCCTAATTTCTAGTAATAAAGGTTAAATATTAAAAGCATAATTTCATGTGTTTCTTGTATATCGTTTGTTTGATACGGGGGAAAGAGTCTTAATTAAGGGGGGAACCAAAAGGTTGCGACCCTCCCATTGGGGAGCAGCGGGCTGCCACTGTGCGGCGCCCGGGAAGCAGTGTGGGGTTAAGGGTCTTGCTCAGGGACCCAGAGTGCAGAATGTGGGCATCAAACCGGGTACTGTGCACTGCTCTGACCCACTAGGCTAACACTCCCCCCTGATTGTTGGAAATCCGACCTTTTTCACATATTTTATGCATCATTTGTTGTTATATCTTATAAATACTTTTCATAATATCTAAGAAAACAGATTTAGATTTTTTTCTGCCAGTATTTAATACGTCTGCTATAATAAACTTGTAAAATATAATGATTTACTAGTATTTTTAAATCAGCATAATTTGCTCTTCATGTTATGAACAGATCTTTTTAAAGCTGGCTTTATGAGGAATGGTTGATGCATTTACAGACGTCCACCATGAAGGTCTGCTGAGCATCAGCTGAAGCCCTCAGATTCAGCAGGAATCTGCCAACAGAACCACAGGAAACACCTCAGCGGTTCCCACCTCTCTTATCGTCCGACTCCGTCTTGGGTTTCACCAAGTCCACCTGACGGCCCGTGATGCCCAGCGTCCCCAGGTCGATGACTCCCGTCTGTCCCGCCTCTCCCAGGTGTCCCTGGTCGCCCATGTTGGCTTTGGCCTTGTTGGACTTCAGCATGAAGTCTTTGAGGGCCAGAAGCTTGTCCTCCTCAGCCTCCGTCATCCCCTGGAGGGACAGACAGGGACTAGAGACGTTATTCATAGAAACAAAGATCATTCTAAGTCGAGTTGAAGTTTAGTTCTTTATGAGTTACAACATTTAGTAAAGTATTTCAGAACCGATCTGATTTATCCGAAGATAAAATAAATAGGACCATGAATGAACAGATAGAAGAAGATCCCAGAACCATAACGCATCAGGGGAGGTTCCTGAGGTCTGGTTTACTTCTCAACTCTTTCATTCTGAACATCAAGCAGGAAAAATTCAGTCAAAATTCTGGAATCCTGAACAGAAGAACCTCCTTTCTCCTTCATCTGGAAGCTTCCTTCGGTCGGTTCGATTCAGGAGGTCCGCCAGGATCAGGAACATGACAGAACATTAGTCGTTCTACAGAGGAACCATGATGATAGAGTCACATGATCATGAGACCTTTCTCAGGTTATCCTGAGCTATCTCTATAGTTCTGCTGCTATAGGCTTAGACTGCTGGAGGACATAGGGACCCCTTTTTCATCATTCTGCTTCATTCTATCTCTATTCTCCCTCTCTGCAGAATCTGTTAGTTCAATCTCTAACGTTCTGCTCTCTCTGCTTTTTCTCATAGTAGCTTAATCTGGTCTGTTCCTGTTTGGCTGTGACTCCATCCTGGAGAGAAATATCAGCTGTGCTGCTGCCATCAACACCTTTGTTTATTGATGTTGGAGCTTGGCCTGTTTTCCAGTGTAGTCCTGTTTCTCTGACTGTGACTAACTGGAAGTGCTCTCTTCATCCTCTGACATGGGAGCTGGCTCGGAGCTCGTCTGCCTGGATGACCTGGTGAACTGTAAAGTGCCTTGAGATGACGTGTTGTAAAATAAACTGAATTGAATTAATTAGACGAGGTTCCTGGAAACAACGAACAGCTACAAGTCCACACAGAACCACAGCTAACTTTCGGATCGTGTCACGCCTCTGACCTGTGACAGCAGCTTCTTCAGCAGCTGAGCGATGGCCGGGTCGTCGGGGGTGGGGCACTCTGGGATGGACCCGATTCTCTTCTTCTGGCGCAGCAGCAGGTGGCGGAAAAGGCTGGCGATGTCTTTAGAGCGCAGGGCGTAGTCGAAGATGGAGCGGCTCACCGGCTCCTTTAAGACGCTCAGCAGGACCAGCTCCTTATCGATCTGAGGGGAGACGGACGGGTGAGGGAGGGGGGAGCGGGCAGTGTGAGGATGATGAGAGGAGGACTCACCTGGATGATGGGCTGTGTGACGAACGGGTTCAGGTGCGGCATCAGCTTGCAGTAGACGTCGGCAACGTTAAGGTGCTGCGCCACCATGGTGATGAAGCCCACGGCGCCGTAGCGGATCCACAGGTTGGGGTGACACAGGAAGGGAGCTACGGCAAGCAGAGGGGGTGGTGAGACAGCAGATACAAACTGAGGAATGGGACGGGTCGCTGTGGACGCCGTTACTGAGGGAAGAAGAGTTAAACAGGAAGCTGGGACGTCAGAAGTCATATCAGCCTGCAGGAAGCCGAGAGCGAGCGAGACTTCCAGCAGGTTACAGAAACCCTCGCTGACGACCTCCGAGTGAAAAAAAGCAGGTTAGATCTGGATCATCAGTCAGTTTCAGTAGGACTTATGTTCAGCATTAGATGCTAACGCTGGAGGAAAATGTTGGTTAACAATTTATTCTATCTACGTCTAAAATAAATAATCGGATAAATAGATTATTGAAATAATCGTCAACTAATTTATTAATTAATTAAGCGTTAGCTGGAGTATAGAGACTGTAAAACATACCTTTAGCTGACAGAGCAACCCACTTTTGAGCAGGAATTATATCAAAATTATAAAAAAAATATACAACCATTTTATATTTAAAAAATAAATGACAGATTAATATGGAAGAAAAACAGGCTAATTGGAATCTGCCTTTTTTTAACACCGAATTTTAAACACAGAATTTTTTTAGACACTGAATTCCTTACACTAAATTTTTATCTGGTAAAAATTCTCCAGAAAAAAAAAACAGATGCAAAAAAATTCAGCTGCAAAAGTGTTGACCTTTTGGTGAACTCAAGCCAAAGCAATCTACACTCGAGCAGCTTCTAGCCAATGAAATTAGCTCATTTGGTCACGTGACACAACGGCTGCGCTCAGCGCTGTTCCCGGCTGAATGAGGATTTATTTTTGTTAAACAGATAGAATTACAAAACGTCAGTTAGCTACTAACAGACAGCTATTAGAGTGAGTTCAATTTGGCATTACTTTTAATGATAAAAATGTGGAATTTTTATTTAATTTTATTGTCATTATGGGAAAATTCTTTATCCACAAGTGCAGATTGTTTAAAGTTTCTCCAAATTTTCAAGCATTCCAAAATGATATTAAAAGTTTTCATGCATCAATTAAGTTACTGGAGAACAACAAGGCCTTAAAGTTTTTAGACTTGATAGCAATAAACTTTAGCTAAACTCCTGTGTTTTTTTTATTTTAATTTTCTTTCTAATTCTTTTATATTGTTTCTTTTTCTGAAAGAAAACTGTTATGGATTGCATATGTTAAATTGTACGTTTCAGCTTTTCTGAAAGTGTTTTTTGGATTTATAAAAAAAAAAAAAAAAAAAAAAAAAAAAAAAGACAGCTATTAGAGTTTTTCCTCTTATCAGACTGGGTGAAACAACTGAGCCGATCACAGCTGGTACGGCTCCCCTGTCTGCCGAGGCTCTTGGTTTGATCCGGAAGAAGCAGCCGGCGGCAAACTTTTTTTATTCTTCATTTCGGCCAGAGGCAACATGGTGGCGGCAAACAGACAGGGGTGCCGTACTAGCTGTGATCGGCTCAGTCGTTTCACCCAGTCTGATAAGAAGAAAAACTCTAATAGCTGTCTGTTAGTAGCTAACTGACGTTTCGTAATTCTATAAAAAAAAATTAATAAATTTCAGCCGGGAACAGCGCTGAGCGCAGCCGTTGTGTCACATGACCAAATGAGCTAATTTCATTGGCTAGAAGCTGCTCGACTCTATCGAGTGTAGATTGCTTTGGCTTGAGTTCACCAGAAGGTCAACACTTTTGCAGCTGATTTTTTTTGCAGCTGATTTTTTTTGCAGCTGTTTTTTTTTCCTGGTGAAGTTTTACCAAATAAAAATTAAGTGTAAGGAATTCAATATCTAAAAAAAATCAGTGTTTAAAGTTCGTTGTTAAAATAAATTCAGTGTTTAAAATTTGGTGTTAAAAAAAATTCAGTGTTTAAAGTTCGTTGTTAAAAAAAATTCAGTGTTTAAAGTTCGTTGTTAAAAAAATTCAGTGTTTAAAGTTCGGTGTTAAAAAAAGTTTGGTGTTAAAAATTCGGTGTTAAAAAAAATTCAGTGTTTAAAGTTCGTTGTTAAAAAAAATTCAGTGTTTAAAGTTCGGTGTTGAAAAAAATTCAGTGTTTAAAGTTCGGTGTTAAAAAAAATTCAGTGTTTAAAATTCGTTGTTAAAAAAAATTCTGTGTTAAAAAAAATTCAGTGTTTAAAGTTCGGTGTTAAAAAAAATTCAGTGTTTAAAATTCGTTGTTAAAAAAAATTCAGTGTTTAAAGTTCGGTGTTAAAAAAAATTCAGTGTTTAAAATTCGTTGTTAAAAAAAATTCAGTGTTTAAAGTTCGGTGTTAAAAAAAATTCAGTGTTTAAAATTCGGTGTTAAAAAAAATTCAGTGTTTAAAGTTCGTTGTTAAAAAAAATTCAGTGTTTAAAGTTCGGTGTTGAAAAAAATTCAGTGTTTAAAGTTCGGTGTTAAAAAAAATTCAGTGTTTAAAATTCAGTGTTAAAAAAAATTCAATGTTTAAAATTCGGTGTTAAAAAAAATTCAGTGTTTAAAGTTCGGTGTTAAAAAAAGTTTGGTGTTAAAGAAAATTCAGTGTTTAAAATTCGTTGTTAAAAAAAATTCAGTGTTTAAAGTTCGGTGTTAAAAAAAATTCAGTGTTTAAAGTTCGGTGTTAAAAAAATTCAGTGTTTAAAGTTCGGTGTTAAAAAAAGTTCGGTGTTTAAAGTTCGGTGTTAAAAAAAGTTCAGTGTTTAAAGTTCGTTGTTAAAAAAAATTTAGTGTTTAAAGTTCGTTGTTAAAAAAAATTCAGTGTTTAAAGTTCGGTGTTAAAAAAAATTCAGTGTTTAAAATTTGTTGTTAAAAAAATTCAGTGTTTAAAATTCGTTGTTAAAAAAAATTCAGTGTTTAAAGTTCGGTGTTAAAAAAAATTCAGTGTTTAAAGTTCGGTGTTAAAAAAAGTTCGGTGTTTAAAGTTCGGTGTTTAAAAAAATTCAGTGTTTAAAGTTCGGTGTTAAAAGAAAGGCAGATTCTAATGAGACTGTTTTTCTTCCATAGATTAATCGATTTACAAAATAACCGTCGGTTGCAGCCCTAATTCTATCGCTACTCTGCAGACAGACAGACGTCTGCTGCTACATTTTTGCTCCTGCCTTTTCCTGAAGAAGTGAGACTTCCTGAAATGAAAGTAAAGCGGGGATCAGCTGATGTTACCGATGTCGCTGACGAACTCGTAGATGTGCGGTTTCTGCAGCAGACCCAGCTGGCACATGCAGGTCAGGGCGTTCAGAGCTTTGTAGATGACGAACTCCTCGGTGTCGCTCAGTCCCTGCTGCAGCAGAGGCTTGAGGATGGAAGAGCTCTGCCAGCCCACGTACGCCGCCACTCCTGCAACACGACAGCGATGAGAACCACGAGTTGGCGGGCCGCCACCGTGCGGCTGCCTCTGCCTGATGCTCACCCACGATGCTGTCGAAGAAGGCTCCCCTGAGGTGCCAGTCGTTCTTGTCGTTCAGGAAGGTGATCATGTGGGACAGCAGGACGTCGTTGGCCTTCTGCCTGCCAAAGAAGACGCAGAGCCGCGTGATGCCGTTCTCCATCAGCGTCTGTTTGACGATGTTCTCCGAGTCGCTGAGCAGCGTCACCACCTTCTGCTGCACCATCTCGTGCAGCGCCTGGAGCTCTGCGGGTCGGAAACGCGGCAGGTTCAGGGAACCGATACGGCAGTAAGATGCTGAGACCCCCCCACCTCCCACCGGGCTGTACCAGAGTCGTAGTTTTCGTTGGGATGGTTGTTTTCCTCCGTCTCTTCTCCGCTTGGATCCTGCTCCATGTTGACGTTGTTCTCCTGAACCAGTTCCAGGAACCGCAGCGCACTCTCTGCCAGGTGAGCAATGTTCTCTAAGCAGAGACGACGTGAACATGGAGAGATTTTAGTTTCCAGCTCAGAACTGGGAAAGTTACAAATACGATGGATTCAAGACATTTTAAAATCTTCAAATTCTGCTCCTGACCTGCGTACGCCAGCCTCACGATGGTGGCGTCGTCCTGGGCCAGGTGGGCGATGCCCGGAAGGATGTACTCCGGGTAGATGTTCACGTCGTTCCTCGGCACCTCCTTCACCAGCGCCAGCACTTTGGTGAGAGTCCTAACAGCCTGGGCACGCACGCGCGGCGCAGGGTCGTTGCAAAAGTGCAGCAGATACGGCGTGATGCGGTCCAGCAGGATGTCGACGGAGAGCCGGGGAGCCAGGTGCAGGACGAGCTCCAGCGCCGCCAGCTTGGAGTCACAGGAGTGCAGCGTCTGCAGGCAGGAGGTGATGACCGACACCAGCACCACCAGGCCCTGCTCCTCCCTGGAGCTTAGTGCGTTGCCGCTGCCGCCGCCGCGGCCCGGGGAGGAAGGGGAGGAACCTGAGGGGAGAAAACGTGTCAGTCAGGAGTTCTGGGATCTCATCTATAAAACAAATCCAGATAAAACAAAAAAAGAAAATCCTTGTTAGAAAACAAAAGCAAGTAATTTTCTTTATTGTTGATTTATTTGATTTCTAATCTTCTATTTATTATTGTGGATCTTCAAAATGGGCGGGGCTTAAAGCGGCAGTCAGTGTATTAAAGGAATAGTACACCCAAAACATGATTAGCCTTCATTTTCTACTCACCCCCATGCTGAACAACACTCTGGAGTACTTTTTTGATTTCTCAAAATAAAATACGAGCAGTATGGAGGAATATTGACACGTTTTTTGTGGACTTTTATGGACCTTTCTGCCTCGGGTGCCATAGACCTCCATTATTTGAATGTCAGCAGACAGCAAGAAGCCTCCCAGATCTCCAGATGCATTTGAGAAATCAAAAAAGTACTCCAGAGTGTTGCTCAGCATGGGGGTGAGTAGAAAATGAAGGCTAATCATGTTTTGGGTGTACTATTCCTTTAAACAGCTTTTTTCTTCAACATTTATCTAAACAGGCAGTTCCATTGAGATCCAAGATTAATTTGATGAAAAGAAACAAAAATAATATTTTACTGATGCAGGAACGATGCATATAATTAGGGCGGAAACAATTAATCGGATTAATCGATTGTTGAAATAATTGTCAACTAATGTGGTTCCTAGAATTTCTAAAAGTAGAATGGGAGGCAGATCTTTTAGTTATCAGGCTCCTCTCCTGTGGAACCAACTACCAGTTTTAGTCCGTGAGGCAGACACCCTGTCTACTTTTAAGGCTAGGCTTAAAACTTTCCTTTTTGATAAAGCTTCTAGTTAGACTCTTTCTCCGTGCAATTAACAGATTTTATTTTGTATTTTCCCCCAAAGCGGATGTGTAACCACGTCTCTCCTTCTGTCAGATCCATGAAATTTCAGCTGAAATGCTGCGTAGCTCCGACAGATAGAACTGGGCTCTATCTCAGTCGGAGCTACGCTGCCCCCTACAGGAAATCATCGCCATTGACTTTCATTGAGAGCTAAATGCCACGACCTCATCAGACACTATTTTGTGTCGGGTCGGACGCAAAAGCAGGTTCGGTGTGTTCTGGCCTTAAGGTTGTAGGGAAGCGACTGTTCCAACCGTTGCATTTCTGAATTCTCCTGAGTGGTGCACGACTTTACACGAGTGAATAAAGTGAACGTGATCGGTCGATTATCAAGGGGGCGGGATTGTTGTGGCGGAAGGTTAGCAAGCAATTTTGATTGTGGCCGGTTTGTTGGAAGCATCTTGCTAACCAGTTAGCAACTTAGAAACAACGCTGTCAAGGAACGCTATGGACAGCGGAAACATGCAAGAGGAGGAGAGTTTAGTGTCGGAGGTCGTGGATGAGTCTCCTCCGTCATCCATTTTTTATTTAGAGGAGGAAAGCGGGGACGAAGATGTTGTGGAAGAGCACAGCTACAATTTTTTTTTTTTTATGCAACTTTTCTACTTCTGTTATTTGCTGTTGTTTCTTAAAAAAAATGCATAACGATATTACAGCTTTCATTGATTTATTTCAAATTTGAAACAATGTCTAGCCTCTAAGGTTAGACAAAAAAAAAGAAACAATCGAATCGTTTCGTGGTGTATTCTTGAGTAATGAAAATAATCGAATCGTTGGGTCAGGAAATCGATCCTGAATCGAATCGCCATGATGGATGTGATTTACACTCCTAGTCGTCTCTCCAAAGTATCTGCGGTCCTACAGAGAGATCAAGCTTTATAAAAGAGACCTACGGTCTGACAGCCGCGGGGGAAGGTTGGTGCTCACCTCCTCGCAGGTTGAGCAGGATGTTGTCCAGGTCTTTGCGGATCACCAGAACCCGCTCGTCTGCGGACTGGAAGGTCTCCTTGGCGAACTGGGCCATGTACGGCTGCAGGAAGGTGTAGAAGATGTCAGGGAAAGCTTTCCCTCTCTGTTGCTTTAGGTACTCCTCAGCACTCAGACGCTTGTCGGGCTCCCTCTGAACCATCTGGGCCACCTGAGGGGACGGAACGGAGAACATGTTGGAACCCGGAGCCTGCAGAACATTCCCCACTTCCTGCAGAACCTCAGCAGAACCTCAGGCAGCCAGAGGGGCCTGTTGGAGCTAGAACTCCTGGTCTTTTCCTTAAAGTTAGCTGGATCAAAGGTTCTGCTGGATTTCTTTGGACTTTTTCTGTTTTTTATTCAGTTCTGGTTCTGTGGGGTAAAAATAAACTGGAGCAAAGCAGTCCTTCAAGGAACCAGATTACACTGGATCTAAAAACCTGAACGTCTACGATGTTCCAGGTTCCTGAAAATCTGAAAGGAACCACTTCGGATCTGCTTCTGTTCTGTTCAATAATAATAAATCTGCTGTTCTGTTCTGACGTCCAGGAGTTCTGATCATCTACTGTCCAAGTTCAACTCTTCTGGTGTTCTTATGTTGGTCCCATGGAAGGAGACGCAACAGGAAGCAGGAGCTACAGTCGGATCGAGCTCTTCTTCCTCAGGTCAGCCTGATGGGTTCCACCATCTGCTGATCAAGAACCTGGTTCCTTCCAAGAACAGCTGGATGGACCTGCTCAGTGAAGCCACCAGGAACCGACCCATGAAGACCATTTTTAGGTCCAGAACAAGTAGACTGAGCAGAGCAGCGTCAAATCTGAGAGCCAGGAGGAACCAAGAGGAACCTGGAGGAACCAAAAAGAACCAGTAGGAACCTGGAGGAACCAAAAAGAACCAGTAGGAACCAAAAGGAACCTGAAGGAAACAGTAGGAGCCAAAAGGAACCCGGAGGAACCAAAAAGAACCAGTAGGAACCTGGAGGAACCAAAAAGAACCAGTACGAACCAAAAGGAACCTGGAGGAACCAGTAGGAGCCAAAAGGAACCCGGAGGAACCAAAAAGAACCAGTGGGAACAAAAAGGAACCTGGAGGAACCAGTAGGTGCCAAAAGGAACCTGGAGGAACCAAAAAGAACCAGTAGGAACCAAAAGGAACCTGGAGGAACCAGTAGGAGCCAAAAGGAACCTGGAGGAACCAAAAAGAACCAGTAGGAGCCAAAAGGAACTTGGAGGAACCAAAAAGAACAAGTAGGAACCTGGAGGAACGGGTAGGAGCCAAAAGGAACCTGGAGGAACCAAAAAGGACCAGTAGGAACCAAAAGGAACCACTAGGAGCCAAAAGGAACCAGTAGGAGCCAAAAGGAACCTACAGGAACCAAAAAGAACCAGTAGGAACCTGAAGGAAACAGTAGGAGCCAAAAGGAACCTGGAGGAACTAAAAAGAACCAGTAGGAACCTAAAGGAACCAGTAGGATACCAAAAGGAACCTGGAGGAACCAGTAGGAGCCAAAAGGAACCTGGAGGAACCAAAAAGAACCAGTAGGAACCTGAAGGAAACAGTAGGAGCCAAAAGGAACCCGGAGGAACAAAAAAGAACCAGTAGGAACCTGGAGGAACCAAAAAGAACCAGTGGGAACCAAAAGGAACCTGGAGGAAACCAGTAGGAGCCAAAAGGAACCCGGGGGAACCTGGAGGAACCAGTAGGAACAAAAAGGAACCTGGAGGAACCAAAAAGAACCAGTAGGAACCTGGAGGACCCAGTAGGAACCAAAAGGAACCTGGAGGAACCAAAAAGAACCAGTAGGAACCTGAAGGAAACAGTAGGAGCCAAAAGGAACCCGGAGGAACAAAAAAGAACCAGTAGGAACCTGGAGGAACCAAAAAGAACCAGTAGGAACCAAAAGGAACCTGGAGGAACCAGTAGGAGCCAAAAGGAACCCGGGGGAACCTGGAGGAACCAGTAGGAACAAAAAGGAACCTGGAGGAACCAGTAGGAGCCAAAAGGAACCTGGAGGAACCAAAAAGAACCAGTAGGAACCAAAAGGAAGCTGGAGGAACCAGTAGGAGCCAAAAGGAACCTGGAGGAACCAAAAAGAACCAGTAGGAACCAAAAGGAACCAGTAGGAGCCAAAAGGAACCAGTAGGAGCCAAAAGGAACTTGGAGGAACCAAAAAGAACAAGTAGGAACCTGGAGGAACGGGTAGGAGCCAAAAGGAACCTGGAGAAACCAAAAAGCACCAGTAGGAACCAAAAGGAACCACTAGGAGCCAAAAGGAACCAGTAGGAGCCAAAAGGAACCTACAGGAACCAAAAAGAACCAGTAGGAACCTGAAGGAAACAGTAGGAACCAAAAGGAACCTGGAGGAACTAAAAAGAACCAGTAGGAACCTAGAGGAACCAGTAGGATACCAAAAGGAACCTGGAGGAACCAGTAGGAGCCAAAAGGAACCTGGAGGAACCAAAAAGAACCAGTAGGAACCTGGAGGACCCAGTAGGAACCAAAAGGAACCTGGAGGAACCAAAAAGAACCAGTAGGAACCAAAAGGAACCAGTAGGAACCAAAAAGAACCAGTAGGAACCTGAAGGAAACAGTAGGAACCAAAAGGAACCTGGAGGAACCCACTTAAACTCCATGAGGAGGACCCCCACATGGACCTCTGTTCTCCACCACTGTTTCTAATCCTTAGATGTGAAGTTTACGAAACAAAGTTTTCCAATAATGGAAACTCCTTGAACTAAATTCCAGGACATTCCAGACCTTCAAGGCCATTTGTTCCTCACAGACCAGAGGGAAGGAGCAGGAACCTTCAGCTTATTCTGGTTCTGCCTCCATGTTGGATTCAAACTTCACGGTTCTCACCAGCTCCCTGATGCTCTCATCCTCGATCTTCATGAGGACCTGCTCGGCCTGGAAGTGTCCCTTCCGGTAGGCCAGCAGCTGGGACAGGTCGAAGAGCGGGACGCCCTCGGTGAAGAGCTCAGCGACCACGCAGCCTGAAACAAACACAAGCCTGGATCAGTGTCGCCGTTCTAGCAGCCATCTTCACGGTTCCTCCTGCTGGTCCGTACCTGCAGAGAAGATGTCCATGGCCGGCCTGAGCTCTCCACGGCTCCTCTGGTTGTTGTTGGTCAGGTCCACCAGCGGCGTGTTCTGGTCGCTCTCCGTGGTGAACATGCTGCCGTCCACAAACCTCTCGGGGGCGATGTAGCACGTCCTGCGCCTGGACGTGTCGAAGAAGTAGTTGAAGTCGGCGGGGTTGTCCTCCGGCAGGTAGGTGGGCTTGAAGCTGGCGAAGTCTGTGAGCAGCACCCAGTTCCAGCTGCTCACCATCACGTTCTCCGTCTTGATGTCTCCGTGGCGGACGCCGGCCTTGTGCGCCTGGTCCACGGCGTTGAGGATCTGGAAGGCGATCCAGCGCTTCTCCACGTTGTTGAGGAACGGCCGCGTGCTGATGCGGTCGTACAGGTTGTCCCGGACGTACTGGCGGAACAGGATGGCGGCCTTCTCCGTCAGGGACGTCTTCTGGAAAGGAAGGCAGTTCTGGCAGGAGTGCAGCCGGATCTTCAGCTCCTCCAGCTCCTGCTTGTAGCTGGTGAGCGGCAGCGACGGGTCCTGGATGGCGAAGACCTTGACCACCACCAGGCCCTCGCGATGTTTGGCCCGCGCCACCTTGAAGAAGCGAGTGCTGCCTAGACTTTTGTCGTACTCGTGGTCGTGGATATCTGAGAAGTAGCTGTCCACGGAGAGGATCTGAGAGGGGGCGATGCCCGCCAGCTGGTTCCCCATCGCTCTGGTCCCGTCTGCGGAGACAGGATCAGAACATTCAGTAACGGCAAACAGTGAGGGTCAGCGGGGGCAGCTTAGCTGCTCATAAGATCTGAATCAGGGGTTCTACACCCTGGTCTATATATATATATAGGGGAGTGGCGGCCTAGTGGTCATAGCCTCGTGAGACCGTCCTGATCTCGCGAGCTTTCAAGGTTTCACTCGCTAATCAGTCTGGAGACTCTCCGTTAAAGAAAATTTGGAGCCGTTCACCAAACGAACGTCCAATCAGCGTTGGCTTTGAGGCGGGTTGAGGTGTGACGCAACGAGAAGCGCGACAGTTCAGTCTAAAGAACATGGCGGCTTCAGCCGATGAAACTAGCGTTAGCGTGGCTATCGAGTAAGTTTTATCGGAATTACAGAGTATTTCTTCACTGAAAGAAGAGCAAAACACTGCTCTGGAGGCTTTTCTCATAGGAAAAGATGTTTTTGCTCTTCTCCCGACTGGTTTCGGCAAGAGTAGCCTGACTTGTGGTTGTGTTTTCGTCGTTGCTCTGTTAGTACGTCATATGCTTCGTTGATCTGATTGGTTTATTTGGCCCGTCTATCACCAACATAGGCCAATCAGCTAACCAGTATTTTCACCCCTTCCCAAAATTACTTCAACGGAAGGTTTCCAGATGGATATGCGGAGCAAATCCATCTGGCGGAGTCAGGTTATAGTGGTTAGGGCTAGGGATGCACGATATTGGGATTTTGGCCGATATCCGATATTTTAAAACTCATGTAGCCGATAACCGATATCGATACCGATGTTAAAGCTGGACAAAAATAAGTAGTCATTGAAAATAGCAGTTTTGTTATCCATTTCTGACACTTTGAAAAATAATATACTCAAATATATTTTCATATGCTGATATCAAATAGATTTTTAAAAACGCGGTATCGATCTATTTTACTTTCAAAATCTCGTGAAATTTCATCGTTCTGTTACAAACTCTCGTGATATTTTGCAAATTCTTGTGAGATTTTGTTAGTAAAATAGATCGATACCGTGTCAATATATCAACATATAAAAATATGGCAACATTTCGTGAATTTTCGGGGGATTTCATAGCATAATGATGACATATAGCAATATTTCATTAGTAAAAGAGATTGATATGGTGTTTTTAAATGGCAATATATCAGCATATGAAGATATTGGGATATTTTAATGGATCAATATTTTTTCCCTCGTCTTTTGAAGTTTTTAAGTCTGTAAAAAAGAAGTTTTTGAGGAAGAAGAAGAAGTAGTATTTTTTATTTAAAAACTCAGAAGCTGATCAAATATCGGGTTAAATATCGGTGGGGTCACCGATGTCCGATATTCAGTTTTAAGGCCGATACCGATAGGGGGCCGATTATATCGTGCATCCCTAGTTAGGGCATAGGGCTTTGAATCCTGAGATTGTGAGTTTGATCCCCCACTCCCACAGACTGCCACTCTGGGTCCCTGAGCAAGACCCTTAACCCCACACTGGTCATGGGATCAGAGATTGCATGAATGATTGAAGAATATTCTGCATTATCTGCTAAAAATGGCAACCGATTGTATATTTATACAAGTTAAAAAAGCTGGGCTTCTGAGGAAGATACTCAGTTACAGATTAAAATGAACACAGATCTGTTGTTTTCAGATTGAACAGAGAATGCGACTGCAGATCTTCTAGAGATCCTGAAAATGATTTTCTCTGGCATCATTATATTGCTAGACAGGTTCATCAATCTGTTTTTAAGCAGAGCAGAGACACAATTAGGGACGGCTGCTGATTTAAAGGTGAAACAGATTTACTGGGATATGAAACACGCAATAAAATTTACAAAAAAAAATACGCAATTCTACAATAAAATTCAAAATATCTTATTGTCTTTTGTAGTTCAGGAAGACTCAGAAATAGCTGCGCAGCAACCCAGACAGACTCAGTGGACACAGATTTAAAATTTAAATATAAGAAACCTACAAGAATTAAAGCACAAATAATAAAAATCTGTGTATAAATCATTTTTTAAATGAAATATAAGGTTCAATATATAAACTTTGGCTGTCAATGACATATGGGACAAATTTCTAAATTATAATTTGCTGCTTGTGAAGGAGGATAATCACTGATGCAGCTTAAAGGGAAGCCATGCATGGATGGATTGATGGAAGTGAAGTTGTGTTCATACCAGGGATGCGGGATATATTGATGTTAGCATCAGTATCGGCTGTTATTCATCATTTTTTATACGTTAATGTTTTTGAGCCCTTTACAAATAACGCACTAAAGGCAGGAATATGTCTATAAATATCAGTGTATTGTGGTTCTCTTGTCTTCATTCAATAAATATATGATTGAGCTCATTTTTGGAAAATTTAAACCCTATTGAAAGCGTTGAGGTGGAGCAGCTGTAGCCTCCACCCTTAGATTGTCCCCCCTACCAACTTTTATCACAAAATTCCAGGCTTGGATCCAGGTATAGCAGCTGGTGTGATGTCATCTGCCTCTCATGCAGGTAGAGCTGTTGGTCCTCCATCAGTGTAACAGACCACCTTTATTCAGACTCCTACAGTGATCTGCTGCACTTCTTTGATCTGAAACGTCACCTGCATCACTGTATCTATATGTAAGGTTATCACAGGCACCCTTTTTAAAACATTTCTCTCTAAAATTAAAGGAAAAGATAATTATTTTTGTTCCCAGCGCCTAGAGAAGAACCCGTACATCAGAGATTATTATTATAGATGTTGGAGCTGGGCCTGTTTTCCAGTGTAGTCCTGTTTCTCTGACTGTGACTAACTGGATGTGCTCTCTTCATCCTCTGACATGGGAGCTGGCTCGGAGCTCGTCTGCCTGGCTGTGTGTTTCCTGGACGGGACCGCCTGTGGAGCTGGTTGACAGTTCATTCAAAGGGAGTTTTTCCTCTCCACTGTCGCTACAAGCATGCTTAGTGTGAGGGATTGCTGAAGAGTCAATGAGTCGATGCAATCAGCTGGTTTTCCTTAGATAGAAAACTTTGAATCAATCTGACTGGATGATCTGGTTGAACTGTAAAGTGCCTTAAGATGACATGGGTTGTGAATTTGGCGATATATAAATAAACTGAATTGAATTGAAAATTGAATTTCATAGACAGCGGTTAGCTCTGCTTCCTGCTGTTTAATGATTATTCAGGTTCTTCTTCGCGGTTTCCGTGTCCTCCTCTGTCAGCACTAGCTTTTGCATCGCGTTTTAACCTCCGGTTTCCCTTAAAATGTAAGAAATAAGGCTTTGGTGGTGTTGTATTTGGGGCGCTTACCTGTCTAATTTGTGCTGTTTTCGGTTCCTGCGGATCACGTGACCGCTCTTCTGTTAGCTAGAGCTTGTTAGCATAAGCTAACAGTTTCTCCTGCTTCCGCCGGAGCTAACGCCAGCTAGCGGCTTCCTAATTCCCTCGCGCTGACTTCTTCATCTCCAGCACAGCTTCGGTCAGAGTCCAGGACCGGTTAAAAATAAAATATCTCATAAAACCACCAGCTTGGAACAAACAGACAGCGATCAACCGTTTCCAGCTGTTGTTATGAATCCGGGTCACAACGGAAGGAGGGGCACAGCAGCACCATCTGTTGGTCAACCATGAGAATTTGGATCCGTAGTGTGGAATAACAGATATTCATAAACAGAAAATCTGACTGGTATAAAGAAAAAGGTATTTTATTTGAAACGGACTAAGGCTGCGTCTCAATTCGCAGGCTGCGTACTACCAAGTACGCAGCCTGCGAATTGAGACGCAGCCTAAATGGACAGTAATGGTGTTTTCCTAAATCATAGAGATTTAACCAACAAATTTAATCTTTTCTGTTATGAATATCTAAAAGTACTCAAAGCTCATCCAAAACACCTTAAGTTATTCAAATGTTACTGCATCTTTACCTAAATTGAAAACCAGAGAATATTTTGTGACTGATAAAAAAAATTTAATAATGCTATGCTGGTGATTTCAAATATACATTATTTCCTGATTACTATAATAGTTTTTTGACAACAACTAATTTGCCCTTATTTGAGAAGGCATTCTCTAATTATGTTAAATGGCCGCTTTCACCAAAGGTTAAAGAGACTCACTTAAAAATCTCTCACAATATTTACCCAGTGGCTGAATTTTTGCACAAAAGATTTAAATTTTAATTTAACATGCTGTGCGTTTTGTGAATGTGCGGATTAATCCCTTAATCATCTCTTTTTTTCTTGTCCCTTTTGTTTTAAACTATGGAGAGACATTAAAAATTGGTTGTTCCTTAAAATTGAGGACACCCAAGAAGTAACAATCACCCACATGACAAAGTAAAAAACAAAACAAAAATATGAATTAAAAACGATTAATACATTTCGAAGTGATTTTTTTCTAAGGAAAAGACTTTAAAGAGCTATAAAACTGGGGGGAAAATCTAGTTGGAAAAATAACATTTGGAAAAAAGCAAACTTTCAAAATATTGGTACAACTTAAAAAAAAAAAGCTATAAAATAGACATTGCTCTCAGAACCTTCTTTTTTTCTCAAAACATTTTTTTGTTGAATAGATTTTAAAGCTCAAATTTTAAACACGTTATTTAAATGTCAGTTCAGCTTTCAATGATATCGCAATATGTCTTCCCATACACATGCGGGGCTCTCCGTCCATTCCTCTTCCAGGAGATTTAAAGGAAAAGTCCACTTACATTCAGAATTCAAACTTCTGAAAGTTATTTAAATCTGAAATTATTCCATCCTGTTCAATAAATGATCTGTGTTTTTAATTCAGAGTATTTTTCATGTGAATGTGCTTTACTGGAGGCATCCATGTTTGTCCAAGAACACTACTGCCACCTACTGGTTAGTGACGTCACGGTGCGGTATCGGCTGTTGATCAAGTCCCAGGGCTGTATCTGGTGTTTGTCACAACGCGCTATTATCCAAGTCATCTTGAAAACATTCTTCTTCCAATGTTTCCAGAACATTTCATACTTCATCAGAAGCAGCACTTCTACACAAGGATGGATTTACCATTAGGCAATACTAGGCAGATGCATAGGGCCCCATGACACCATAACATGTTTCCATGTATGGTTAATACAACTATTCCTTATTTGTGCACATTAATTATGTTTTTGATAAAAATCCTTTGGCTAAAATCCCATCAGAACGCTGATAATATTAAGTGTGTCTCAGCCCCCCCCCTTCAGTGTCCACCACATTGGATCAGTCCATTTGCTGCACATGTTCAGAAAGGTCCAAACAGACAGCAGCAAACCATTTGAAAACAAACGATGCAAAGAACAGTGTTGCCAACTTAGCGCTTTAGTCGCTATATTTAGCCACTTTTCAGACGCCTCTAGCACTTTGATTTCTAAAAAGCTCCTAGCGCCAAATCTAGAGACTTTTTTCTGCTACTGGAGACTTTGGAGACAACATCTAAAAGCAGCGAACTCTGCTCTCCAGAGCGAGTAGATTGGTAACCCCGCCTCCTGCTCTCCTCTATCTTGTCTGCTGTCATGATTCATGCAGCTATTATTTCATCCAAATGAAAAATGGAGAACAGATAAGCAGATCATGGCTTGTCTACAGTGAAAAGAAGGACTTTTGCTGTCACCTTTTTGACTTACACTTAGACTTCCTTTATTGTCATTGCACAAAAAACACAAGGTGAATCTTGACAACAAAATTTTGATTACTTGGCTACCAATGTAACAGAGCTAAGACCTTATTCCTGCACAATAAATATGTTTTCCATGAAAATATGGTTTCTATGAGGAAGAGCTAGCTAAATACAGGGTAAGTAGATTGGTAACCTAGGGCCCCAAATTTCCTAAATCCCCCCCTGCTTCTACAAAGTCTTTATACCTAAAGACAGTAAACTTACAGTCGTTTTTTGTCACCAAAGTCTCCAACAACATAGAAAAAAACAATAGATTGATTTCTCATTACTTCACATTACTCATTACTAAAAAATAATTTTCTATTAGACCTAGTTTTATTTCATACGGTCATTTATTTGTCTATTTTTTTGAAGAAAGTTCCTCTAATCAAACACCAGCGGTTTTATTTTGAAAGTCTTTTTGGTTTTATTTTGTGAGTCGGCTTGGTGCTTTTACTCAGAAGGGCCTCCAGCCTTCCAGTCTAGCTAACATGGTGGACTCTGCCCTCTTCGGTACAATCTCTCTGCGGTGGGATTTCACGGAAGATGCTGAAGAAACGGGAGCTGTTGGTGAGTTCGACACATTTCATGTCACTTTTCCAAAACGAAACCAGGTCCTAGAAGCGATTAAAGCCTCAAAAAAGCCACCGGCCGTCCGCGGTGGGAGAACCGTCTGCGGCGGCGAGTAGTTCAGGGAGTTTGTAGCCGGAGTGAAGGCTGTTAGTTAGCCGCTCCGGTTACCGGGGGAGCGGGCTGGCGGTGGGGGGATAAGCTTCCTGTTCTTACATGTTACCCTGTGGGGTCTCACTAATATGTCACATGTCTGTTTCTAAGATGTTATCTTTCGGTTCGGTTGGTGCTGGTTCCGCCTCTATCCGGGTTTCCCCGACGGTTTCCCGGAGCAGGCGATAGCTAACGAGCTAGCCGAAGCTAACATGAAGCAGTGTCCCTGATTAGGCTGCAGGTGGTTGAAACGGGTTCCTCTGGTCCTACTGATGATCCCAGAGGGGTCCCCCCAGGGCCGGATTTAAGACATTAGGGGCCCTAGGCAGAGACAGGCAGGGGGCCCTTTGAATGGAGAAGACACACATAAAACAGCCCCATTCTCCAGATGTAGAAATGTTAATAGAATAGACATCCGTGATCTGTTCTAGGTTGTGTCCCTCTCTTCTTGTCCCTTTTCTTCTTGTTTTCCTCTCTATGTTTTGTACTCAGCTGACTTTTCATGCTGTCTCTAAAGGAATGAAAGATTTTTTCCAAGCACTAAGCTCACTTAGCTGATTGCTCCTTCCTGTGTTTCCAAAAAGGCCAAAGTAAATAACCCAGTCCTTCTTTTCACTGTAGACAAGCCATGATCTGCTTATCTGTTCTCCATTTTTCATTTGGATGAAATAATAGCTGCATGAATCATGACAGCAGACAAGATAGAGGAGAGCAGGAGGCGGGGTTACCAATCTACTCGCTCTGGAGAGCAGAGTTCGCTGCTTTTAGATGTTGTCTCCAAAGTCTCCAGTAGCAGAAAAAAAGTCTCTAGATTTGGCGCTAGGAGCTTTTTAGAAATCAAAGTGCTAGAGGGGTCTGAAAAGTGGCTAAATATAGCGACTACACTGCTCTTTGCATGGTTTGTTTTCAAATGGTTTGCTGCTGTCTGTTTGGACCTTTCTGAACATGTGCAGCAAATGGACTGATCCAATATGGTGGACACTGAAGGGGGGGGGCTGAGACACACTTAATATTATCAGCGTTCGGATGGCATTTTAGCCAAAGGATTTTGATCAAAAACATAACACAAAAACACACAAAGTTTTTATTGGGCCCCAGGGAACTTGGGAAGCTGCCCTTAGTATTGCCTAAATGTAATGTGTTTGTGTTTTGTCTCCATGGCGTCTCACATGGTACTCCGGCTGTTTGGTTAACTGAGACACTTAATATTATCAGCGTTCTGATGGCGTTTTAGCCCAAAAGGTGTTTCTATTGCCCATTTTACTGACATGTTTCCATAAGTGATTGAAACAGACTCCTGTCTGTTTTTATCAGGTCCTCCTTCAGTCATGAAGTCCCTCTTATGACCCTCTTTAAGTCCCCCTGTGGACCAGGTATTCCAGGAACCATTGTGTTTCCATTAGGATCACCTGAGGATTCAGGTTTATCTAATAAATCCAGTTTTCCTCATAAGAGGAAACATGCTTTAAATCCTCCTCCTAGCCTCATCTGTAAGGTTGGTGTTTGGTTCTGGCCACCTCAGATCTGTCTCCATAACCTGTTTTTTTTTATTTATAGTCGTTTCTTTTTTCTCCTTGGTTTGTTTTTGTATTTTTCTGTGCCTGTCAGGAAGCTGTGAGAATCAATGACTGCTGGTAGATGGTTCATCAATAGTGTGTTAATGTTAACGCAGCAGAGTCGGCCTGTCGTTATTTTAGGTCGCATCAGAAATGAACATGAGAGCATCTCTCAGAGAGAGCCAGCTGTGGCTTCTGAAAACTCTTGATTAGATTAAAGAGGGAAGGTTCTGATGAGCGGAAACGTGTAAACTGATCCCATCCTGATGGACTGGATTCCCAGTGATACCGCCCCGGGATGTGGTTGATTATCCATCAACATCGTTTCTAAGAACCCAGCTCTGTCCTCATGACCTGTTCTGATGCTGAATCTGTCGCCGTTTTCCCGTCTGAGCTCGTCTGAACACCCAGCTGTGATGTTTACACGCCGCCCGACAGACCGCCGCCTCGGGGCTGGGGGGGGAGAGAGAAGAAAAAATCTTCCTTTCTGCTGACTGTTGTTAAATGTGTAGATGTTCCTGTGAGGTCCTTCAGGGAGAACGGAGCTGGAAGGTCTGCTGACATGGAGGACGCCTCAGAGAGCGTCACATGGAGTCTGATGGAGGTCACACTGAGGGTTTGGATCAGGTCCTTCCAGATGTTCCAGCTGCCTGATGTT